TCAGGACTGAAGATGATTATGTTACCAGAATACTTGTGCTGTCCAACGTGAGAGCAACGCCTGAGAGAGATTTGCTCTGAGAGTCCACGAGAGCCAATCTCCTCCTTGAACCTCTCTAAGATCACAGGTCCACAAACACCACACCTCTTATCACGACTCGCATGAGTACACACGAATACAAATGATCCAGATAGCTTTTCTTCTCTCCCAAATCTCCATGGCTTCTCATTCACAAGCACATCTTCAACGAAACTCTCCACTTCCACTTCCTCATCCTTAATCCCTCTTTTTATTATCATGAAATCAACACGAGAATTAGCATTTCGAGTCAAACTTATGCAGTTTCAGATCTACAATCGGATTTCTGCAACTCTAAAATTAGCTTATGCAATCTAATTACGAGTCAATCATGGTCTGGTCAACTGTTTTTCCTCAGAACAATTACGCCGAGAAGATTCGATTCATGAAAGATGTATACTCAATTGTTTAACGCTGAGAATCGAAAAACTAGAAGAAGACGAACTCACTTGTATCTGACCATATCCGGGAAAATCAATACATCTCCATCGGATCCACCTCCTTCGCAAACATTCAGCTTCGTCTACAACAACAAATTCAAAAAGCCAAAAGAGTAAGAAAGAGATACCGATGAAATTTTGAATGTAAACGAGAGCGAATCTGATGTTCGTATACCGGAACAGGGAGATCGGATTTGCGATCCTTGAGCAACGTAGCGAAACGCTGAGGCAAACCTTCGTCTTCGATTTGTGAGAGCCAAGCTTCAGGAGTTTTGTAGAAGACGAAAACATGGCGACCGTAAGAGTTGATGGAATTAGCGATGTCTGCGCTGTACATCTCCGGCCGCTTAAACCCAAACTCCGTGTCTTCCGACGCCGGAACAGAGCTCAGATTCTCAACATTCGCCATCGTCGGAGTAGAATAGCTATCAGGGTTTCGCAGAAGCCAAGAGACACAGAGAGAGAGAGAGAGAGAGAGAGAGAGAGAGAGAGAGAGAGAGAGAGAGAGAGAGAGAGAGGTTGAAGAAGCTAATTTTCAAAAATGGAGGAAGCAGTGCAACTTTCGATTTCTTTTGAGATCCTCCAAACACGTCTTGAGGCGCACACACGAATATGTGGTCCCACATTTTGTGATGTGACAGGTCAGTGATATATAATCTAGCTCACAGACGGATTTGAAACAACTGACTCGTCCGTCTTATTTTTGATCTGTGACAGACAGTAGCTTTAGTCAAACAATTCCACGTTTGTCAACGGTGCTCTAATTTAGATGCAATCACACGATTCACACGTATTATATCATTTTCTTGCAAGCAAATTGCCTCACGATGACCTTAATATATAAAGATTAGTCTTACCTCTGGTGATAATATTAATAAACCATAGTTATTAATACATGGGACGTATTGATACATGGGACGTATAAAATTTACGCACCTGGTGTAAATTCTTAGTTATATACATTGCCTAATCGTATAGTTTACGAATGAACTCGTCAATTTGACGTTGTTGTTTGGGTATTTCTCTACTTGACTCGTGCAAGAGCTGAAATTCTTACTTTTTTAACTAAAACTTAGTAAACGTTTCAATTGTCAATGCTATTCATTTAGCTAACGGAGTTTTGACGAAGTTTGTTTGCAATAAGCTACGAAATCATGTCGTCATCACATCACATTATGAAAGACAAAATTATATCATTGCATAGTTTTATTACCATTACCACAATGAGGTCCATGACCATAACAATGATTCATCGTACAGCTTATTTTGATTAAATTTACAAATGATTTGGGTAAAAAGGTTAAGAATTTTGGAGCAAATTGTCGAAATAAAGGTTTAAGACGTATCTAGCGGCGGAGAGAACATCGAGCCGCCTCTCACTCGGCTCGTACTTGCCTTTCCGGAGCTGATACCGATGAGTCACCGCCGAGATTGTGTATGTTTGCCCTTCTATCATCACATTCTCTCCGCATTGAAGATTCTGCAAATCACAGTGTTTTTTATTTAAAAAATCATCTAAAATTTTACACAAAGCCAAATCAATCTGATGAAAGATTATCAGTTCGAATACCTAATTGGAATCGGTAATTGGAATAGTTAAACAGTTTCAAAAACTGTAGTTGAGAGTTTTTAAAGTTTTCTTTTTTTTTCCTAGAATTTTCCCGGAAAGCTAAATGGAAGAAAATGAAGATTGAGAGTGAAGGGTTTGCATATTCAAGTTTTTCAAATTATCTCAGATTTTGACGGGAAGCCAAATCAATTTGACAAATTCGCAGCTCGAATCTGCGATTGGAAGCAGCATGGATTTTCTATTTTTTTTTCTGGAATTTTCCCGAGAAAAAGTTAAGTGAAGGGAAGAAGATGAAGATTTTTGAGACTCACATGAGGAAGGCAACGAACGCCAAGAGATTTAGGGGGAGGAGTAATTTCAATGACTTTATAAGGAGAATCGCTTTGATCTCTTCCTTTCTCTTTCCTTCTGCAATTTATCTGCAACCCCTTCACCTGCAAACATCCATTCACCCAAATCTCTTTTACAATCTTTGGAGGTACAAAAAAAAAAAAAAAAAAAAAAAAAAAAAAAAAGGATTCGCGATGGAATTCGTTACTTTTCCGATACAGACGAGATTTGATGCAAGTGTTGCCATTTTCAAAAACAGAGACTGGATTAAGAATATGAAGAAAAGAAATCGACTTTCTGAAAGTTTCCTGAAAAAAACTTGTAAATTTGTATCTGATTCGCGAAATGGAACACGAAAATATAGAGAATCAGACAGACAATTGCGACAGATATTTTTTCGTCTCTATATTTTTGTGGTGAAGAACAAAGCAGGAACCTTCGGATGTAATCAGAGACTTCTCAAGAAAAATATGGAATCATACAAACAAGAGAGAGTGAGAGACTAAAGAAGATTTGGAGTCAAAACTCATACAAGCTAAAATCTAAGTTGTGCCACAAGGGTGAGAGTTAGGCCAACAAAGTTATCTAAAAATGTTTGATAAAATTCTCTCTACTCAAGAGGGAATCAAACCCTAAAGCCTCCTCTCTCACAATACAATACATGACCTAAGCATGACTTAAGAAGAAGAGTGAAGCTTTTATGAAACTTTCTCTACCTTCCATAAGGATGGTACCGACCAGAACCACCACCATATCCACCTCTACTTCCTCCTCCTCCACCATAAAACGAACCTCCTCCACTTCCGCCGCTACCACCACCAGCACCGTAACCACCTCCAAGACCACCCATGTCATAGCCACCACCACCACCTCTATATCCTCCTCCACCAGCACCACCATACCCACCAACACCAGCTCCACCACCATACCCTCCTCCGTAACCGCCACTCGGTCCACCGTAACCACCTCCCGGCTCACCGTACGGTCCACCATACATATCACCAGGTCCACCACCATACCCACCACCTCCCATGTTCGTCGGTGGCCTTGCTTGGGAGACTCAGAGTGAAACCCTTCGCCGCCATTTCGATCAGTACGGTGAAATCCTTGAAGCCGTCGTCATTTCCGATAAGAACACTGGCCGATCCAAAGGTTACGGCTTTGTGAGTCTCCTCTTCTCTCCTTCTCATTCATCTTCCTCTGTCTCTAGAGATGCTAAAATGTTGCTTTAAAGATACCTAGTTTCCGTAGTCTAGATTCTTAGGTGATGTCAATTAGAAAGTCACTAGCTTTTACTCTGTTTTCAAGCTTGTAGAATGACTCAATGCTCTGTTTTCAATTTCATATGGAGGAATTTAGGTGACTTTTAGAGATCCAGAAGCTGCTAGGAGAGCTTGTGCTGACCCAACTCCCATTATAGATGGTAGACGTGCAAACTGTAATCTTGCTTCCCTTGGGAGACCTCGGCCTCCACTACCCTATGCATTGGTACCTAACATGCCTGGTCAGTCTTATCCTCCATTGCCCTTTTCTCTTATTAAGACTGGCTTGTTTTGGTCTACTAATATGTTGTAGTGTGGATCATTGCCGTTGTATATTTACCTGTAATTTTAGTGGATTGGTGGTTTTTTTCTTTGGTTATTAGGACGCTTAAGACCTGCTTCTTCGCCGTACATTGGAAATGTGCAGGGTCCTCGTGGTTCACCTTTTGGAACTTATCCGTATCAGCAACCACTCCCATATAACTACCAACAAGGAGTTGTGTATCCTTATGGGTGAGTCATGCGTTACTCTAATGTATGTGTCTGTGGTTTCAGTAATGTGTTTCTAATGTTTGTTTTTATTCTCCCTCTCTCTCAGGGTTACAGCATATGGACCTGAGTACATGTACTCACAGTCACCACAGGTTTGTAATGGCTCTCAACATTTGAATTTGAAGTTTCTTGTTGGTTTCTCTCTTTGTATCTTATATCTTGTTTCATGGTTTAGGGTTTGTATGGTCCATACATGGGGCAGCAGTACCTTCAGGTCTACGGAGTACCTGGTGCAGTTAATTCACCGGTTTATCAATACGGACAGTTAAACCAGAGTGGCCACGGTTATACAGCAATTCAAGGGTATTCGGTTCCAGGAAGCCATGTTCTTCAGCTTGGTGGACCAACTGCCACTGCCATGACCACTTCCTCTATGTCTGCTCTTCAGTCTCCATACCCTTCAGGTGCATTTTACTCTCTTTCACTGATATAATCTCAGAGTATTGGCTCTAGACTTCTGTGTTAAGAGGCGTTATGGTGAAGATAAAGTTTAGGTGCAATTTGGTTATGTCCTCTTTTGAATGTTTGTTTCTCAGGCCCTGCTCCAGTACAGTCTCATATCATTGTCCATTCCCCTCAATTTATGCAGAGTAACGGTTCTGACCAAACAACAAGGTCAGAATCTGTAAAATGCTATATTTATATTGGTGTAACACATTTGATCATTTCATAACTTGTATGATTGTAATGGTTTCAGTTATCCATGAAGACTGAGGAGAAAGGAAGTTAAAGCGGCAGAGAAATAGCTATTCAAGGTGGCAGCAACAGAGGCTTCCTGTTTAATCAAGTCTTGCATCCTTAAGGTATGTGCTTCTTATTCAACATCACTGTAACTGGCGTTAGCATCATTATAACGTCTTGATCTCATTTACATCCAAGATGACAAGATCTTATCACTCTATAGGTTATATAAACTAGTCTTGCTCACTGGGAAGGCACAGAAGGAAAAAGAAAAAGGAAGTTGGAGTTTCAGGGTTTGTGCTTCCATTCCGTCAAATGTGTATATATCTAAACACATCCACACAAAAATGCTGCTGGCTCAAGCTCAGGTTGAGTTTGCAGGCACTAAAACGGCTTTTTCCACTGGGAGTGAAAAACCGTTGGTATACAATATGCATATATATATATATATATACATACATACACAAGCATATACATGGTAGAATCAAAGTCTGATTCTTTTTTTTAGTCACTAATTACCATTACACTTCCTTCAGGTTAGAGGAGTGTAGTGAGTAAACATTCATAAGTATATATATATAGCCTTGTCTCTCAAGTCCTGCATTGTAAGTAAAAGCATGTTCATGTTCTTGTCTGTGACTGCATATATATTTATATCCTTAGCTGTTGTAGGGTTTCTCTCTTCTTCGATGTCTTTATTACACTGATGTATTGTTTATCCGAAAGCTTACTTCAATGTATGGAGTCAGCTTTTTTTTTCTCAGAATTTGATTGTAAAAAGCAAAAAGTGATTGTTCAGTAAACAAAATGTTTGATCAATTTGGTTCCACTGATAGATATGAATGACATTCTCTCATATGAATCTGAAAGACTTGACTGCCTGCAAAAACAGAGGAAAAAAAGTCATAAGCAACAGGTTTTAGTTAAAATCCCTCATTGTTGTTGTGTCTTGAGTTTTCTTACCTTCTGGATCTTGGAGCTTTGTTCAGCAGAAGATTCTTCATCTGTAAACTGTAACATCCAAAGTGTTGTCATCATTGTATTAAGACATAGGAAACCAATCAGAGAGATTAATGTGGAAGTTAGGAACTAGAACTCCACCTGTCCTGTGACAGTGTATAAACGGTTGTACCAACCGTTTGTTGCCATTCCAATTGCAGAGTACAAATGCTTCCGAGCTTCTCCAGGGTTTTGTAATGTGTACTCAATGTAATAGAAACCTGAGAGCTAACTTGTGTCAGTGAACAAACAAATACATCAGAGAGAGTCCTCACTAAAGTTTTTGTTTGTTAACCTTTAGAAGCTTTGCTATCGACTAACTTTGCAGTCACTCCTGCTGGTTTCTGCCAGCTTCTATCCAATCCACTGACCTATAATAACCATATTTACATCTTTAAGAAACTCTTGTCTGTTTGAATTTGGAGGTGAGCAGAGTTTAAGAGACTTAACCAGTGTTTCGGCGAAAGCTTCGACCTTTCCAAAAGATTCCATCCGAGTGAAATCCGGGCCTAGTCCAGTGATCGCCACACTCACTGATACAATCCATGTCAACTACAAGTTAGCTTCTGATTTCTTACCAAATGAAGAAAGATGAAAAAAAGGAACCTCCTTTGTGATGATACTACCATTGTAAGTTGAAGTTTCTTCAGGGTAAAAAGCTGTGATTGACTTGAATCCGTTTGGTTCTGCTTGCCCAACTTGCCAGTCTTTGATCATATTCATTCATCATCAATCAAGATTTGGTCACTACAATAAGTATCTAAAAAAAAAACAGAGGCTTTAATAGTTTACCTTGTGGGATTGATATTTCGAACTTGTTCGCTTCATCTGTGTACACACGGAAAGTCTCTGTTGCGTCTGATAAAAGAAAAACAGAGTTTAAATGCTTCCATACTCTCAAGGAATCAACATGAAAGCGAGCTTTTTTAATCAACAATACTTGTCTCTGCAAATGCAGGTGAAACGATCAACGGAAGGAAGAAAGCAGAGGAAGCTATCTGTAACATGACTTCCCTTCTCTTCATGTTAACATGATCGCTAGACCTGGTTACAGAAGAAACACAAAGACAAAGACTTTAATCAGAGCAAACCCAGATAAAGAAAAGTAGAGGGACATTAATAGAGCTTTTTACGAAATCCGATGTTGTTCCTCGTTGGAACTGTCTAGAGCAGAGGAGATGATAGCAGGAATTGATGTACATCTTCTGGAATCTGCTGGCAAGAATTGGCTTACAAGAATATGAATTGTTTGTACAAGAAGGACGATCAGAGAAAGAGAGATTGAGGACCTGTAATGGCCTTAATATGACGAGGATTCGAAGAGCTCAGCGGAGAAGAAAACCATGGAGAAATGGCTGCCATGTGTTTCAAGATATGTCCGCTTCTTTGATTTCACAAAATCTAAAATCTATCACCTGTCTGGTCTTTACTGTCTATTTATTTTTTCAATTATAAATTAATTTTGTATTGAGACAAAAAAATTATATTTTCGAATGAGTTACATAAATTATTTAAAATTTTAGTACTGCATTTTTAAAATACTCTAACTGTTGACCAATAAAATATTAATTAATCTTCATTTGTAGATATTATAATGCAACACTCTTGAAAAAATATAAATTATGTTGAAACTTTTGTTTCTGTTTTTTTTTTTCCCACCAACATTTAACTTACATATTGCATAATATCGGATTCCGCTCATAAGAAAATGACACAACATATATATTCGAATTAATTGTTTCCATACAACATTAAAAAGGTTAAATGAGTTCAGTCATCATGTAAAAGAAACAAATTACTTTATAATTAAAGCAGCAGTATGTATGATATAACGCTTAGTCACTAGACTGGCCATGAGTTCGTTACAAGACCTTCTCTTATAGTTTCTTGCTTCACTTCCTTGGCTCTTCTCAAAAGCAATCGAAGCGAGAACGTAGCAAGAAGCAGCGTCCGCCAAAACCAAGCCTTTGCATTCTTCGGATCCACTCTCCTAGCTAACCACAACGCATAGACCGCTTCACTCACGTGTGCTGTCACCACAATCATGGACGCTATCCGCAAAGCCAACATCGACCTGAAGATAAAAAGCGCAATGGTTCGAAGGAACGGTATGGGTCCAATGTCCGGTAGCCACGCGACCGATAGAATGCTAGGCAAACCAATCACACAGAAAAGCCACGCGTAAATGCTCGGTCCATCGACCTCTCTTCTCTTCTTGTCTTTAAAATATGAAATGGTTTCGGTCATGGCTTCTTCCGGGTGTGTCTTGGGCTCGTACCCTAGTTCCTCCTTGGCTTTCTCGATCGAGTAGTAATGAGTCACACCAACCTGTTCCGTTAAAGAAAACACTATAAACTCACGCAAATCGTTTTTTTTCTTGATTAACAAAAAATAGAAAAATAAAATATAAAATCGTTTTATGTTGTTGTTATTCTCAAGATTACTCTCTAACAAACCTTATAAACTTCAGGTGGAAGAATCAATGGTTGTGGAATCCACGGTTGGTTCAACAATGGTGATAGCAATCTGTAAATGAATTTGCATATATGTCCGAGTGTGACCGCAAGAGATATAGATAGCGATGACTTAGGCATGTCATAACCTAGATCCTTCAATAGTGGCTGGAGAAACTCAAAGAAGTTTATCGGATTACCTTTAAAAAAAAAAAATCAGCCTCTAGATGAAATGATCAAAGGTAAGTATAAGAAACAAATTTGAGCGTTTGAGTACAAAGTAGGCCTTTCCTTCAACGTTTGAGTGTTGTGAATGTAAACCGATGGTTGCCAACATGAGCGCGAGTACAATGTTATCGACGTTAATGAAGTTGGTTTTCGAGTTTGGATCGCCGATTTTGAAGAGTAATAAACGTAATCTTGCATCAGAGATGAGCCTATCAAGAAACTTCTCTTCACCCGGTCCATATACAATCGGGCAACGAATCACACACGTAGACAAAAGACTCTCACGTCCATCCCTAAAATTACCGTAATAACTTATATTTATATTGTGACAAAAAAAAAAAAAAAACTTATATTTATAAAACCTTAGAATAATAATCCCATAATGACATACATAAAATCTTATAGCATTAACTTGATTTGAACCAATCTATGCGCTTATTGTAGTATTTTTTTATTTAGGCAAGTTTAATGATTTTTATTTTTCGTATAAATCAAGTTTTCTGTTTTCATTTCACATATATAATTTGTTCAATTTTCCAAATTTTCCGCAAATTTCACATAATGGAAACAAAATAGACAAGAATGTTTATTGATTTGCACTTACTCAACAGTACGACCGTTGTTCTTCAAAACCAACTGTTCGGCAGTAGATTTGGTCGCATCATATGGACTGACGTATTGATTGGAAGCCAAGTAAGGGAGAGTTTCATCTCCATTCTCAATCTCTTTCCCACCGAAAACGACACCGTTGGAGCTCAAATACACAACCCTCGTGATCCCTTTCTTCACACAGGCTTCCAAAACGTTACGCGTCCCTTCCACGTTGACTTGCTCCATCCGACGAGTCCGAACCATTTCTTTACCCGAACCACCGTACGAAGCAAGATGTATCACACAGTCTACTCCTTCAAGAGCCTCCTCCACGTCCTCTTTACTCACAACATCTCCTGACATACATAAAGTATATTGTAAGAAGCTGATAGAATTATAACATCCATAACTTGTAACAAAAGAAAAAGTATATTGTTAGAAAATATTTCATAACCGTAGAGATAAATCTAACATATAGTGTATAAATGTTATAAACAATTCATTCATTGAAGTTCATGATTCCTAAGATATACATTCATCTATGGTTAGAATTAACAATAGTCTTGATCAGCTGGTTGATTAGGATATAAAGAGTTAAAGCAATTTAAATACCGTGTATGCAGTGAACGCCGGATTCTTTGAGACGGTCAGACCAAGGAGAGGTTTTGCGGCAGTCGAAAGAGCGGACTTGGAGAGCACCACGGAGGAGGAGCTCAAGGCACACGACGGAGCCGACTAGTCCAAATTCACCCATCACAGCTACGACTTTGCCTTGTATACCTCTGTTCTCCTCTTCTTTGATCTCCATTTTGATTGTTCCAAAAATGGTCAACGAAGAGAGTTCAGTATTAGTATTGGCATGTTATGGTATGTATTAATGTATATATATATATATATATATATATATATATATTGTCGTTCGAAGCACCTGTTTATGCCAGCAGGATCACGTAGAGTTAATTGATAACGTGTTCATTTAATATCAGAATCCGCGCGCAAGTTATGCTAATTAATTGGTAATTAAGATTTATAGTTAATGAGCCAACGACAAAAACGAAGAAAATGTTGCTTAGGAAGACTATAATTAGCTAGTGGAAGTTCTTTTGATCTACCGGTTGACCAATAAATCTTGCACCATGTTTAAGTTTTAAAATCTCGAATATGATTATATATGTGCTTAGGACATGCAACACGCATATTAGCAAAGACCTCGGTTGTTTAAATTTTGGATCAGTATTGTTGTTTAATAAGCGCAAATGACTGGTTGAGCTATTATAATTGCTTTATTCATGACAATTTTTTTTTTGTCATTGTCAAGACATATACTTGAAATGTTTGAACATCCAAAAAAATTATAACTGTTGCGGTTAAAAGGAAAAAAAAAAGGAAAATTAAGTTGATTTTGTGTTGTTGTTAATAGATACTTAAAATAAAATTTCTTTATTTCTTAGTTTTTCTAGTAATAATATATTATAAGCCATAGATAGTTAAATATACATTTGAAATCATTATTTTAAATTAAATAAATTTCATAATCTAATACTCCCTCCGTTTCAAATTAGTTGTCGTTTTGGCAAAATGTATCTGCAAATATTTGGATGTATCTGGACGTGTTTTGCATTGCAGATACATCCAAATAATTGCAGATACATTTTGTCAAAACGACAACTAATTTGAAACGGAGGGAGTATTTAGTTAACCTTTTGTTTTGTTCATAGAAACATACATAAATTATTTATCTCCTGTATTGTTTTCTATTAATAATCTCTTCTAAAGTACATATGATTAGTTATATAATTGAGATCATTACCTTAAACTAAGATTGCCATACATTTTCTGGAAATATTTAGCCACAATCCAAATCATGAAATTTCAGCTATAAAATCCCAAAATCCAACTATATTAAGAAACTAAAACACACATTACAATAAAAAAATCTATTCATAATTAGTCAATTCTACTCATTTCCCCTACTTGTAATCGTGTATATATATACTTTGTACATCATTAGTAAAGTATTCATTCAACCTTTAATCATATAAAGAAAAAAATTAAGAAGAACAACTAGAAAATGATGAAGTTGTTAATTTGTCTCTCTCTCATCGTGCTCCCTCTCATTGCCGGTGCGGAAGTTCGTGAGCCCCCGGGATGCTGGAAGCGGATCAGAACTGTATCAATATACGACGAGTATGCGCAGTATGCGGTTCGTAAGCATAACGAGATGACAAAGGAGAATATAGTGTTTGTACGAATCCTCTCGGGGAAGCTGCAATTGGACTACGGCACAAGGTACTATTTTATAATGGAGGGGAAGAATGGAGATGGTAAGTTAGGGAAGTATGAGACTGTCATATTTGAAAGAATATCGGAAAAATACATTCAGGTTGAGTATTTCAGACCGTATTAAATATAATATATCTAAGCTCCGAATGAATAAAGATTTTTACATGATGTTGTTGGTAGTAATAATTTTATTAACGTGTATGTTCATTAAATATCAGAATCAGTAAGTTATGCTAATTAATTGGTAATTTAAGATTTGTAGTTAAATCATACAAGGACAAAAACGAAGAAAATGTTGCTTGAACATTAGTAAAACGTTGTTTAGCTAATGGAAGTTCTTTTAATCTACCGGTTGAGCAATAAATCTTGTATCATGTATCCATGATTACGTTTTAAATTATCGAATATGATTATACATGTACTTAGGACTTACAACACGCATATTAGCAAAGACCATAGGTTATTTGAATTTTAATTGGATCAGTATATTATTGTTGTTTTATTACTCCAAAATACTGGTTGAGCTACTATAATTGCTTTATTCAGGACAGTTTTTTAGTTTCTGTTGTTGTTGTTGTTGTTGTTGTAACTAGTCAAGACAGACACTTGAAATGTTTGGATTACATATTTCAATCAGTAGTTTAATTGTTTTTTCGCATCGATTTTTCAAGTTTCAAAACATTGGTTTTTCTTTACACAAGGCACAAATTTGAATAAACTACCAGATACGTATTTTAATATGATTGACTATACATGCAAAGCAAAACACACACATATGAGGATTACCAAAAATAAGTTCAAATGTGGCAAAGAAAAAAAGGAAAATATCCTTAAAAAATATTGTGGGTAATTTGGTAACACTATTTCCTAATCAGAGTTGGTCACGTGGCGTCTTCAGATTGGTTAATTTGACCAAGAAAAAGGCTTCCCTCAATCCTCTTCCTGCCTCAAATACAAAAAACTCTCCAGTCTAACGGCACGACGGTCCTGAGACATAATATTCGCCGTCAACACCAATCGGAACCTACCGGAGATATCAACGGTACGCTTACCCCACAACTCTCCGTTTTCGTTATGTTCATGATTTATCTTCTTCGAGTGACTTCGTTTTCGCCTCGATGAATTTCCTGGTTTTTCTGTCTGAGACTTGTAGAATGGAGATATTAGGCTTTTTTCTTACTGAGTGTTGTCTTGATTCTGGATTTACAAGTCAGATCCTGACGAACCATTTTCGCCGCTTATTCTTAGGGTTTTTGAATCAGGCGGTACCAAATTTCTGGATGCCAAAAAGGAAGAAACTTTGAGAAATTTAAAAGCAATTAGATTCGATTGAGCTTAGATTGTCAATGAATTCCACTGATTTGTATACTATGAATCGCGTTTTGCCAGATTTGTCTTACTGTGTGTGTTTGTTTGCCCCCTTTCATTAAGCTTCTCGTCTCCTTTCAAAAAAGGGGCAATCTTGTTCATGAATCACTTAATATCTCTTTTTTCTTTAACTTTCAATTCCATGTTCTTTGAAATCGCCTGTTTTTGGAGAAGGAATTGTATACAAAATGTTGTTGAAAGGATTAAACTTTGCCTCTGAGAAATAGACCTTTATTACTCTCAAAGTCTCAACTTTGCTTTGACTCATTGCTTGTTAAGAAATATCTTATTGGCCTCTTTGGCTTACGTCTTCAAACATGACGTGTGCTTGATTTGATTGTTTGTTTGTTATCTTCCAGGTTTTGGAGACCATGAACACTGAGAATAATCAGAATCAGAATCAGACTTTTCAGTCGAAAGTGATCTCACATGCATTTTCATCTGGTACTATCAAGCAAAGCCTTGTGTTCTCTTCCCTGGGTCTTCTCGATATTGGTGCGAGCGAAAACGCCTACATCTTCAGAGTCCAACTCCCTGGCACTGGCAAAAATCAAAGTAAGTAAAGGCTTTCACTTTCACACTTCTTTTCTCCAAAGAGCCGTCTCAATACAAAACTTTCCTCTACTTGTGACATTGAAACGAAAGTTACATTCTTTTCACTATCTGACCACCTTAAAATGCTATCTATCTTCTTCTTGTGATGTATAAGCAGATAAGATCAAATGTGAGATTCAGAGGGACGGAAGAGTCATCATCCAAGGAGTGGTTCCTGAGACAAGGATCGCAAGTGAATCAGGATGCTTATACAGAATGCAAGTGCATCAGAGCTGCCCTCCAGGTCCATTCTCAATCGGGTTCAATCTTCCGGGACCAGTGGATCCTCGCTTGTTTTCTCCAACGTTTAAACCTTTTGGGGTCCTTGAAGTCGTTGTCGTCAAGCTCGGTGTACGCATCCCTCCTCCATAGTTACTTATCAAAAACATGTTTGTAAAAAAACATGTTTTTAGTAATCTAATTTCGTAAGACAGTTAAAGAAAAAGTTATGTACTTTGGATGTGAAATGGAACCAAACGCAAACGGTACTCTGTTTTTAATAAAGTTTGGATTTTTAACCTTTTCCATCTTTAAAAGAGAAACCTTTTTGTGCCCATCGTGAGAACATAAAGAGAAAAAAGTGAACTTTATTAGATTTTATGATCCGAATAACGTTTGAAGAAGTCAACTTTAAAGTAGTGGACTCGATCCATGTAGCTAGTCAAAATCAAAGCATATTCCATAAGCTTTCAAAAGTAGAAAAATCAATGAAGAGAGACACAGACTTCAATTGTTTCTCAGTTTGTGTTATAAAAAAACGATTTTTTTTTTTTTAAAGTCCGACGAAGATGCCGGCGATAAGAGTGTTATCGGCGTTAGATGCGGCGAGGATACAGTGGTATCATTTCAAGGCGATAATAGTCGCCGGAATGGGACTATTCACGGACGCATACGATCTCTTCTGTATAGCTCCGGTTATGAAAATGATTAGCCAAATCTATTACCACAAGGACTCAATCGGAACCGCCGTGCTCTCAACTTCCTACGCCATCGCTCTCCTCGGAACCGCCATGGGCCAGCTCGTTTTCGGTTACTTAGGCGACCGAGTCGGACGCCGACGAGTCTACGGTCTCTGTCTTCTCATCATGGTGTTCAGCTCCTTCGGCTGCGGTTTCTCCGTCTGCACGACTCGTCGTTCTTGCGTCATGGCGAGTCTTGGATTCTTCAGGTTCGTGCTCGGTCTCGGGATCGGCGGAGATTACCCTCTCTCGGCGACGATCATGTCGGAGTTCGCTAATAAGAGGACGCGTGGAGCTTTTATCGCCGCCGTGTTCTCGATGCAGGGGCTTGGCATTTTGACGAGCTCTGCCGTTACGATGGTTGTGTGCGTGGCGTTTAAGAGCGCCGGAGAGGGGAGTTTGGGGAGTAAGAAAGCGGCCGGGGTGGAGACTTTGGCTCCGGCGGATTCAGATATTGCTTGGAGGTTGATTCTGATGATCGGTGCTCTTCCGGCGGCGTTAACGTTCTATTGGCGAATGCTCATGCCTGAAACCGCCAGGTTCCATTCATTTCTATTATCTCTTCTCTTTTTTTTTTCTTGTTTTTTCATAAATATTTTAAAAACTATTTTCAGCCGTATATTAATATTTAGTTTATGTTGATGAATGTCTTGCGTGACTTGTTGCACTTTTGTCCCCATACAAAACATTTCACATTTTCAGATTTTCAATGAAATCTTGAAGTATTTAAATCATTAAAATTTTAGTCAGTGTGTTAAACAAAAGTTCTACATATGTTTCTGTTTCCGTACGAAATAATGTTGGAAAAATTGAAACTTATGTGAGAGAAGAATTTATGATTTAACCTAAATTCGATTTGATATTGATCCTATGATAAACATAAAATAATATTTATGTGTATAATGAATAATGTAAAGAGTGGGAACTTCGTGGTTTATTCCTAGGAAGTAAGTTGACTTATGAGAGGGAGATATACCGAACACAGTGGTATATACCTTTGAGCTACGTCTCATGATCTCATCATAACGTATTCACATAGTATTCCCATTTTTATATGTATAATATATAGTTTTAGTATCCCTTTGTCTGTGTAAATTATTCTTCCCAGGTATTAGTTCCAGCTAATTAACAGGATTTAATCTCTCCAACTAACACGTACTCTCTTCCTATCAAGTTCTTCCACTTAATCCTTTACTTGATAAGAAAAAGTCGAAGCTATTGGCCTTTGTCCCTTTCGTGACACTAATTATTTAGGCTATCTATGACATTTTTCACTATTAGTAAGTAAAACCCTAATTTGATTCCACTTAACTTTAGTAAATCTTTGTTACCTATATAAAGCAAAAGTAACTAATAACTTACTGATTTTGTATCTAGTTAACTAAATTCCACATCCTAAAAAGATATATAAATCTACATATAACTACATTCTCATCCAAAAGCTGTGAAATGCATGCAGATACACAGCACTTGTAGAGAACAATGCAACCCAAGCAGCAAAAGACATGCAAAGAGTCATGTCCGTATCCATAATATCTCAACTAGCCGAAGATTCATCGTTATCGGAGACACAACTACAACTACAACCACCATCTTCATCTTCCTCCTACAAACTCTTCTCTCGCCGTTTCCTCAGCCTCCACGGCCGTGACCTCTTCGCAGCCTCCGCCAATTGGTTCCTAGTCGACGTCGTCTTCTACACCAGCAACCTCCTCCTCTCTCGAATTGTCAATTTCTCAAACGAACCTCTCAAACCCACAAACGTCTACGACTCCGCCTTCGAAGTAGCTAAGCTCGCAGCCATCGTAGCCGCTTGCTCCACCATCCCCGGCTACTGGTTCACAGTCTACTTCATCGACAAAGTCGGTCGAGTCAAGATTCAGATAATGGGGTTTTTCCTAATGGCCGTTGTTTACTTAGTCGCTGGGATACCGTACATTTGGTATTGGTCTAAGCACGAGAAGACTAACAAAGGGTTTTTGGTTCTCTATGGATTGATATTCTTCTTTAGCAACTTTGGCCCCAACACGACGACGTTTATCGTCCCGGCAGAGCTTTTTCCGACGAGATTTAGGTCAACGTGTCACGGGATATCCGGAGCTGCTGGGAAGTTTGGGGCAATTGTTGGCACTGTTGGTTTCTTGTGGGCCACGAAACACGACAAAGACCACGAAGAGGACGTTTTCCCCGACGTGAATCGCGTGAGGGTCGCGTTTTTGATCCTCGGTGGCGTTTGTATCGCTGGAGTGTTGGTGACGTATTTCTTCACGCGTGAAACTATGGGAAGATCTTTAGAAGAGAACGAAGAGGACGAGATTGGTTCCACGTCAGCAGCAGGATCATCTTCTGCGAATAATTTGCTTCCAAGACAATAGTAACACAATCGTCTTTTGATTTTTCCTACTCTAATTAACTCTTAATGTTTCTTGGTTTTGATTTGAATGTTTGATACTCAAGTTTTTTTTTTTGGTTGCTTTCTCATGTTTACTTGAAATTTTGTTTTCCCTTTTTACTAAAGGAGTATATAAATGTCAAAGCTTGATAATTCTCTTTTTAAGTTTTCATAGGAGCTAGCCATTTCTTGGGTAAGATCGGTAATTGTTTGTTCTGTTTATACAAGTCTCTGACTCTGAGGATTGATCATTGATTGGGTAACAATAGTGAACCCATTTTGGCCCATATGTGAAACGATATTTGTTGGATACACAAAAGCTAAAACACTGTTCATATGTTAAATTTATTAATTTCCAGAACAAGAATATATCTAGAAAAAAGGTGGAATGCAATTAAAATATGAAATATAGCTTTGAAACACACTAAAAAATACAGCAAATGTGGAAAGACTTTATCTGTCTTTCCCTAGCCTACGCCGGCTACGTCACATGCGCACTCTGCCTCTCTCTACATATTCACATTCGAGTTACATATATGGGGTCACACCGATGTTATCATCATCCTTAATACCAATTTTTATTGATCCAATAGTTTACAGATTACGTTTAATATCATAAACAAAGTGCCGAGATTATTGATAAAAAAAAATAATGCATGTCCCGTTATGTGCTCAAATCTCAATACCGTTCATTCTTGAATCAATTTTCTTAAGAGAATAAGAGGTAACACTTTTTTCAATAAACAATAGAAAATTCTGTTATTTTACTATTAGATTTGGACATCATGCATGTATTCCTTAGAAGTTATCTTTTGTCACTTGTGTAGATAGATATCCAGTTTTTGTTAAAGAGTCTCAGTACGGTTTTGAGAAGATAGATCGTTGTGCATTCCTCTTTCAGTACTTCTTTCTATAACCATATCTTCTATCAGCCTTAAAGTTGTAGCAACGAAAATAGTTATAAGAGTACAAAAATCTCACATAGTTAAAATCTTAATTCTACATGTGAGGGTTGAGCAACACATTCACATAGTAAAGTATCATTTAAACGTTAGAAAAAAAAACTGAAAAGCTTAACGGAATAACGGATTAATTTGTCCACCCTTGGATCTTTATGACATGATATAGATAGTAGTTATACTCGTTAGAGATACAACACAAGCATACGATTATATAAGCTTTATAAAGAGATTCAATGAAGTGTATAAAATGATATATGTGCATGCACGGTTTTATATTGGTCCCCCCCCCCCCCCACCAAGTTTGCAACTTCTCGCACATATTTATGAAGGCTTCGTCTGTCCCAATATCCTCTAAACCTTTCACATTTATTGCCATCCACTGTACGGACGCTTGTCAATGTCCTACTACTAATATTATTCACAAACCCACATTCGCAACAAGCAGGTATCATTAAACTGGACTAAAATTAACCAAATATCATCATACATACTGTAAGGTATTATAGTCCAGACTTTTTTTTCTGTCAAACCTAATCAAGACTCTAAGAATCGGACTATTTGTATGTATAGGCTATGATTGCTACCCCGAGATGAATGATGAAATGATTATTATATAGATTTGTAACTTTGTATCAATCTTAAAACTAATGATATAGAAGATATATAGCGATTTATGTTTAATCAGTTAAGCTTCACTTTTCCATAAATGATTTCTCACTCTCTTTTTTCAATATACGTACGATTTTACTGTATCAATGTATTTTCAATTGGAATCGAATAAGATAAACTTTATCGGTTAGTTAAAATGAAAATTTGGATAAAACCAATTTCGTGGGAATAAAGAAGCGAAAGATAGCTTGTGAAGGGAAATGAGCGAGAGGTCGTTCTCTGGTGGAGCAGGTCGGTGCTGCCATTGTCCTTTCCTCTTCTTCCTTCATTTATTATTTCTCCACCATCTCCTTCTACTTCCTCTTCTTCTTCTTATTTTTTGCGAATTTTCTTAAGATTTAGTGATGGAGAGTGACTTTATTAGATTTTGTACATAGTCCAATTATTTTTGTAAAAACGTAAAAGTTAGGTGTTCTTCAAACAGTCTAATTCGATAAAACTGTCCTAATAAAACACAAAGTTAATTTGGATATGCGAAACGAGAATGCCATGTGTACAATTATTCTCAACATTGATTTGATAATGCCATGTACACATTTATTGGAGATGATATACATATAAGGTAAAATTTAGTTATAAACTTTTTGAAATAAACTTCAATACAGACATATATTAAATACAAACAGACAAAGACGAGCAAGGGACCCCCTTGTCATTTTGATTGACATATACTATAATAGAAGTGTGACAAACAGTATTCTATTCATTTCGTTGATTTTTGTTTCACCTAATATCTCAAAGTTTAGTGTCACATATACTGTGTATAATTGTATATTCACTAGCTCAGTAACTGTGAACAAAATGGACTATTATTAATACATTAGTTCTGTTACACAAGAGTCCAGTCCCGTTTCTACTTGAATAAAATAGTGTGTTACGGAAATGACGTACGACTATGAACAGATTTACAAAGTAAAGTATACCAGCCTTTGCTGTTTTAAGAACTAATTAATATTCAGTCAAGTTTAATGATAATACAACAGACGACAAATTAATTCACTAAAACTTTTTTTGGTTTACTTTGTTGACACTTGACAGGGCCAATAATATTGTTTACGACGCAGAGAGGAACAGCACTATAATTTAGTAGACCGACGGTATCACTTGGGCAATAATTAACTGAAATAGAAAAAACTAACAATTTTGAGAAGGATAAAAAAGAGAGTCACAGATATATCATCAGAGCTAGAGTAATAGACCCCCAGGAGAAAAAAATAATTTAGATTTTGAATAGTACAGAAAATATTTATAATAAGCTTTTAATAATGGATAGGCTTAGGTAAGCCTATGCAAGTACAGCAGGTTATGAATTATTGGATGAAGCAAGTGTCCGATACACAGATTTACTTTCACAAAAATAATCTATTTATATAAATTATAGGGTTGTGTAGGGGTTAGGGCAAAAGAATGACTTGGGAGATTTAACATAAGATCGTGTGGGCAGTTAATATTTAGTGAGATAGATAGTGTACAGTACGTTTGCATTTATTATACTTTTACCTGATTCTTATATCATTCTACACACGTGCCACCGCCGACATCTGCTTTCTTATACTGTTCCATTTTATTTTTGTGGTTTTCTGTGTTTAAAATCATACAGATTAAAAACAGAGTTCCTACAAATTACTTGTATTTCTTAAAATTATTGGCGTATAAAACAAAACACAACCAAAGTTTTTATAAAATTGAAAATATCTCTGCCTAAACTCAGAGAGGTACTACAACTAATTTTTGTAAATTGATCTAGAACTAAATCAATGTTTACTATGATTACTGTTTCTTTAAACTGAAAACTCAACAGTCCAACAATCACTGAAACCGAGATAAGTCATTTCATGAGCTAAAGAAGTGAGCAGTCTAAACGCATAGAAAAAATATCGTCGTAAACATCTAATGTGCAGCCACTGTAATCGTGATTCATAACCATAGAACCAACCAAGACTACTCAAGAAATCGTTGACATGCTAAGATCCATCGATTTGGCAAACTTCACAATTATAGACTGCTTACAAAAATCTCTAAATTTACTATTGATACCCCATTTTCACTGTCTTTGAACTTAAAACTCGCTACCTTTCACATGTGATTATATTTACATGTGAACACGCAAACAAACAGTCAAATTCCTAGGAATGTTTTCATGGTTTGTTTAAAATTCAATTATATGATGAGAGAAGTGCATGTTATCAAACAAAACCATTTAAAATTTAGGAAACAGAACTGAGTTAACCGTTGAGAAATACTTATAAAAGAAAGTGGTAAAAGTGAAATAAGTTAAAGTAAATAAAATAAAAGGAATTGGGATCTCTCAGGGCGAATGTGTATAAAATAATAAATAAAAAGGTCTGACTCATGAATGTATAATGATATGCTTACACCCGCACGCATAAACCTCTGCCATCTTTACTGCACACTCTTTTCCTTTTTCTTCTTAAAAGTAAAATCTATTTGCTTTCGTTTTGATGATAACCATAAAATGCAAACTTCTTTAAATGACATTGTTTATTTCACATTTCTTGAAATCTGAAAACTTTTACTGCCACAACAATTTGTTGGATAGAGAAACCGATTCGAATGAGAACCTTATTATCAGTATAACGGTATACTCACTTAAGACTGCACATTTCTAAAATTTATATGATTTCCTTTTAAAGGTTGGATCAGATATAATTTCGATTGATTCTGGAAAGCACATAATTTGGTGTGTGGGATACGATAAAGTCATTAGCATTAAAATTCGTTTTCTATTTATGTAACACTATTAAGTTGTTACACAGTTTTCTTTCGCTTCTAAAATGAAAAGTATAAGAAAAAAGTTGATTTTTGTTTGAAGAAAAGGAAAATCCGGATTTTTTAAAATACTATTAAAAACAACTAAACAAGCATACTTTATAAATGTGACTGGAATGACAATTGACCAATCGAGCAGTCATTAACGAAAGATCATAACTTAACATCACACAGTCTCAATCAAAACTCCAAGAGACCAAGACCATAAGAATTTCGATAGAGCAGTATAGTGATAAAACACAAAACGGCAAAAAGTTGTTCTACATTTTAGAATGCTACACGAATAATTATTTGCATAGTAAATGAAAAAGAGGAAAAAAATAGAAAGAGACTCCTGAAAGCTCCCCAGGTGAGGGCAAATAGCAGCCTCTCTGCTCCCTGAATTTCACAGCCTTTATCATCAATGCCCCTCTAACCTCAAACACTCAAAATCCACACATCTATACACACACCTCTACATACACTCCCCCTCCCTCTCTCTCTATTATATCTTCGATATATGTGCCATTTTTGTATATAAATATATGATCTTGCACGCAAATAAGGTTAAACTCACCATCACCTTTTGTATCATTGCTCTCTTTGTTCTACTTTTTGGTGTCTCTTCGTGTAACAAGACTTCAAAAGTCTCTTTTCTGTTATAATACACCAACAACTTAACGATGATGCTTGCGGTTGAAGATGTGTTGAGCGAACTCGCCGGTGAAGAAAGGAACGAGAGAGGTTTGCCACCTGGCTTCCGGTTTCACCCGACGGACGAAGAGCTCATTACTTTCTACTTAGCTTCCAAGATCTTCCATGGAGGTCTCTGTGGCATTCACATCGCCGAAGTTGATCTTAACCGCTGCGAGCCTTGGGAACTTCCCGGTAAAATACTCATATACAAATCTCTTCTTACCCTATAGAACTAGAAGGGTCTTTTTGTTAAACTCATATTAAATGTTTTTCTATTTTGTTATATGAAGAAATGGCGAAGATGGGAGAGAAAGAGTGGTACTTTTATAGTCTAAGGGACAGGAAATATCCGACGGGGTTAAGGACTAATAGAGCCACTACTGCTGGATATTGGAAGGCTACCGGAAAAGACAAAGAGATTTTCGCCACCGGCGGCGGCGGAGGAGGAGGAGGAGGAGGAGGAGCGCTTGTGGGGATGAAGAAGACTTTGGTGTTCTACAAGGGAAGGGCTCCACGTGGCCTCAAAACTAAGTGGGTCATGCATGAGTATCGTCTCGAAACCGACCATTCACACCGCCACACGTGCAAGGTAAAACTTGAACTCTATTATGACAATAATTAATAGAAACTGGTTTTTTCTTGTCAATTTATGAGTTGACTTTTTAATAGAAAGGTTAAACTGATCCTGCTTCACTTATGTTTTCTTTAGTGTTGTTAATTTAAACTCTCTTCTGTTTACTTTCCTACCACACGTGCGTCTCTTCATCATTAAATTTAACGAAATACAACATTCTTTTTAAAAATGCGAAATTGATAGTATGAATTTGATGTTTATATTGCCAAATTAATGAGTTGACTTTTTACAACGATATGTTGAAAAGAAAGGTTTAACCGAAATATTTCACCTTTTCCCTATCTTGATTTGTTTTCCAAATAGTATTGTCATTATTTGGTTTGGCTTGTATGGGAAGGACAGGGGAGAGAGACTAGAGAGCAGTTTAGATTTGATAGATTTGATATAAACCTGTACGTGTGGATGTCAACACCAAACACACCTTGCCGTTTCCTGTTCTTCAATTGCTCTTGTTGCGTCGTTTTCATCACTATTGCTTTCTTTAATTGATTACATGTATCATAAATCGGTCAGGCTCACATTTCAAACAAGATCTATATCGATCTTGATTTGGCGTAATTATTATAAAACATAATGACATTTTTTATGTTAATTTTTTTGTGGAGAAACAGGAGGAATGGGTGATTTGTAGAGTGTTCAACAAAACAGGAGACAGAAAAAATGTCGGACTCCATAGCCAAATCAGCTACCTTCACAACTCTTCACTCTCAACAACACATCAGCATAACCTTAACCATAGCCATTATCATCATCATCATGAAACGTTGCCTCCTCTTCTAGAAACTTCCAAAACCCTAACCACCTTCCCTTCACTACTTTACGATGATACCCACCAAAATTACAATAGTAACCTTCTCCATGGATCATCAGGCCACAACGTCGACGAGCTCAAAGCCATAATCAACCCGGTCGTGTCTCAGTTCAACGGATTCATCTTCTCGCCGGGAAACAACAATGACGAAGACGATAACTTCGGCGTCAAGACAGAGCAATCTTTCAACGGCTGTAGTAACGATCTTGACGTACGAGATTACTTGGAGAATCCTCTGTTTCAGGAAGCGGGTTACAGTCTGTTGGGTCTTTCGTCTTCTCCTGGACCTCTCATGCTGTTAGATTCTCCATGTCCTTTAGGTTTCTAGCTGTAGAATCCTGGCCTTTGGATTATATATTTTGTCGTTTACCTAATTTTCAACTTTGTAATATATAAATATTATTATTCCTAAGATCCAAGATCTTTTGTAGATTTGGGACTTTCTGATTAGAATTATTAAAAATGTTATGTGGCTGCTGCGACCTTGCAGGTAAAGCTACTAGTGTGTTACTTTTAATGAACTGTATTTTGTGGGCGTTACACTGTTCGATGTGATGTCATAAATACAAGTAATATTTGTAACTATTGTGACGTCATTCCTTTATGTTTTTTCCTTTTGATCTACTATTTCTTGTTTATATTTTTCTTTTTCTTACTTGTGTGTTCAATATATCAACTTCGGTAACTATAATAAGAAGAAGATCCACTTTGATCAGTTTGTTCCAGTTTTGAACTACGATTGCCCATTTAACGTCAACGAAGCCCATCAATCGATGATAAAATGAAATACTACGACATTGACCTCAGCTCTATATTTCGTGACCGGACTAAATTGTTATGTTAAAAAGTGTAAATTAATTGAGTTGATAATAGCAGGGAAAAGGTAAAAAAAAAAAATTAAAGTGGTATGTGACCTATAAAATCCTCAAAAATAGTAATGCAGGCACATATAAATTCCATAACAGAAGTTGCTTAGTGCATTAGAAATCTAATCTCATTCAAGAATGCAATTTCTAGTGCATGAAAGAGAAATTCCTCTGCCGATCAAATTTAAATTTGAACATTAAGTTTGCGTTCTGAGAAAGAAAAATGTACACATTCTTAAACCTTCGTATAAAATATTCAATGGATGATGATTTCGTTTAACTATAACACCACTAGCTAAGGAATAAAGCATTCAAAATATAAATAAGTACATGAAATGTAGCTAACAAATTATGCAAAAACAGGAATGTGGGATTCTCCCGCCAGATTTGGATATTTGGTTCCATCATTTCTATTGAGAATTTAGAGTTCCTCCTATTGACAAACACAAAGAATCTCTTCATTTTCTACTTCCTACTCTTTCTTTGTGATTCAATAGAAACAAATATTCATTCATATTTAATATGAGAAAGTATTAATTAGAATCACATTTAGTAATATGACTAGAGAGCAGCTAGGAAAATAATGCTATCATCTGTCAGAGCCAAGGGCTAAGGTAACAGATCATGCACATGCATGCAGATAGCTGAATGTTAATGTCATTCATACTGAATTTTGATGCTATTCAGCTATATCATTACCACTACGAGTTATCATCAAAATTCAAAGCTCTAGTAGTTAGAGGAAATATCTGTTAGATATTTTGTGATAGAGTGTGTTATATTCAATGTCAAGTATGCAATTTAGTTTACTTTTATTACAAAATTTACATACACATTGCAATTATAAGAGTTAAATAAGATTAGCACTTGGCACATGGACGCACTTTTCATAGTGGAGAAACTCGTGATGGCTGATGATAGCTCTGCGATGGTGGACCATCATTATTCGTACGTGTTTTACTTGATGGCTACACGGAGAAAGATAAATTAATCCATATAATTAGCTTCTTTTTCGTCTGTGTAATTATCTAAATCTTGACTAATTATTTTATCATTGTCTTAACTCGCACTTTAGCTGTACACTTGTGATTTTGGCGATCTTTTGTTAGGTCAGTGTTCGAAGACAAAATAAGACCATCTTCATGGTCATCTTCGAAGTCCTAATAATTTAAAGTCGCGTTTTGATGATTTAGTGGGATACAGGCTCGTGTTCCCAATCTTTATAATAAAAAAACCTCTTTAACCGAAAAAAACATGAATGAATTTAATATATAATACCCGACAATTAGTTTGCTGCTTTATTAGTGGAAAAGTGTAAAGAGAAAACTCACACAATACACATCACACCATCTGTTACAAGTATACTGGTCCATCTGTCAAATTTCCCATATGGAAAATTCAAAATTCCATTATGTAATCGAACTTGTAGCAACGAACAAACCAAACATACCAAACGAATTTCCGTTTTATAATTTGTTTTTATGAGGAAAAATCCATTCATAGACTATGATATTTAAAGAAGTGCGTATGGAGATAAGCATGATTAGTTAGATACTTATATAAGATATTTAGTACAGGTTCTTAATTCTTTTGGCACGACACATGATAAACATATTAAAATCGGTACCGTCAATGAACACATTCACGTAATTATCGCATATTCTCGCAACCATAAGTTAATAGATACAGACAAAAATTGGAATCAAGCATCTGGTTATTTGGCACCAAAGTAGTTACGTATAAATTGTGTGGTCCAACGTCTCAGTTTCAAGTTCTTGAACTGTTTCATGGTCTCTAGCTACGTCACAAATCATGTCTATATATTGATAAGAGAAAAGGAAAGAAATCCTTAGAATCTGTAAGAAATAAAGGGGATATTTGGATAAATAACATTTTTTTTTTCATTTGTAAAATGATGACATTACCTTTCGTTCTCAATACATTTACAGTAAATAGATATATACATGGCATAGTAACATTATCCTTTTGAAAATGACAAGGAACATTTTTTAAATAGAAATTCATTAAAAAGAAAGGAAAAAAAAAGCATAAAAAATGGGAAAGATTTGTCTAAACTAAGGTAAGAAGTTATTAGGATCATCTTCAGATTCTTCACGTTGCTTGATTCGGGTATCGGGTTCGGATCCTGAGCTCGAACTACCGGGTAACCCGCCACATTTATGACACCTGGCAACCACCAAGATCTGACGGCAGGAAGGACACGAAGAATGGGACCCAAGCCACGTGTCGATGCACGACACGTGGAAACCATGACCGCACTGCGGCAACACCCTGAGCTCGTCTCCGGCGGCGAATTCCGTCAGACAGATCGCGCACTCGGCGAATTTCTCCGCCGGCGGAGAATCCGGCGAGTAGGTGAGCTTCGGTATAGATCGGAGGACTTTCTTCTTCAATCCTTTGTTGGCCGCAGCTGCCGGCGGTGGATGAGCCTGATCCGAATTCGCGGCGGATCTGTTTCCGGCGGCTAGACGACGGAGCCAGACGCATCGAGAGACCGCGAGTAAGCCGAGGACGCAAATCATTGCACAGAGAAGAGCCGCGAGGATGACTACGAGATTGGAATTCAAAGCCGGAGAAACTTCCGCCGGTGACGGAGAATTGGCTTCCTGTAGAAGACGGAAGAGAAGACGCGCCATTGTAGAGAAAGAGAGAGAGAGAGAGTCTGAGTTTTGATTGGTCGATTTGAAAAATTGAGAGGGTTTTGGAGTGTGATTGTTTTTTTGTAGAGGCAAAGAAGAAAGGGATTTATAGTGAGCGAACTTCTTGGTATCGCTTTCGGTTGTGGGGTTACTTTCGTAATTTTGTATTATTAGTTCAAATAGTTGTCTTTCGGACAAAATGACTCAAAACAGTGAAGACTCGTAGTGTTTCAAAAAAAAAAAAAGAGTGAAGACTCGTGAAAAAAATCTGTTTTTTTTTTCCTTCATTGTTTTTTTTTTGTCTATCAAAAGCTCTCAAGTTATAAAATTTTAATACCTTCAAGGCTTCAACATTTTTTTTCTGTTCGAAATAATACCTTCAACATTTATAGATAAGTATATTGTTCTCACAAATTTTACTTGGTATATAATATTTACCTGATTATTGCTCCAAATTTATGGGATGTTTACGGTTTACCTAACACATGAAGAGATAAATATTATAAACAATCGTTATCAGAAAATATATGGATATTAATTGGAATGTTTTGATTTTGTTTATTGTTTTGGACTAGCTTATACTGGAAATATGGTCTAAATCAAACGTTTGTAATCTATTGGATTAGAACATAAACAAACAAAACAAAATAAATAAACGAAATAACTGTATGTAAATGATTAATAGTTTTGGTGGACTGAAAAACATAAGATAAGATGAGATAGTGGTCCGTGTGGGGCAGTGCACACACATGATGGAAGTGGCGGAAGCGTGTGTGTGCGATGCGATGCCTTGCTTGGACCATAGATCACCAAACCACGAGATAAATTGATAATGTGTGTAGCACTTATCCTATAAGTTGACTATAGCATATTTTTTTTCAGCTCATGTTCTTAAAAATAATTAATTGTCAGTTTGTTGTCATCCACAACAATTATATCGGAATCTACTGTAGATCATTCATTCCAATTAGCATGGTTTGAAGTTCATACTTTGAACTAAGGGTGCAAGATTAACCTTTTTTAAGAGAGATCGAACTAACGCCACCAAATTGAGCCTTACCTAAGAAAGATGACTTGGTATAGCCGTAAAGAAAGACTACGTACAGCAATTTGTTAGATGTACATTCCACTGGTAGATCCTACATTTTGAACTCATAAATTGTAATAATTCTTAATGGTACTATATTTAGTTGATAGCTATCTTAATATTTTGTTAGTTATTTACTCGAATATTTTAAGTAGCCCCATTTGATGATACATATGTTAGGGAGATACTTATTAGCTAGTGACGTTTGAATAGTGGAGAAATGTGATATTTCTATATACGTACTACAATACTGACCTTTGAAATCATGAAAAGAACATTTTGTTTTTTTTTTTATTAATGGCTGCTAGATAACTTTTTGTTGTTGCTAATGCTGATAGACGAAACCACCAGATCTAGATCGTTTGTTATAACTTATAATTAAAAACTGTAATAACAAGTACATGTTACGTTGGGAGATGGATGATTTACATTTTATCGACTCGTTATAATCAGAAGTGACAAGTATATAAAATCTTGTTCGTGTGTCCACAAAAATGTCCAAGATGTCTTGGTTTTAAAAATGGGTGAATTAGGTAGATAACCATATTGGGTTGTAAAATTAAGCTTATAACCATCATAATATTTAAATTAGCTGAGTAGTCATAGAGTATTTTTTGTTTTTACCCCTAAAAGCAAAAAAAAAATACCGATAGCAACACAATTAACAAACTTCTCCAACCACATAGATCATAGAATAACACAACGATCCAATGTTAATGTAAGGTGATTTCACATGTTACTAGTTCAGAAGTTACGATTAATCGTAGTACTACATGCCATTAACAAATGGAATAGACTAAGAGTTACAAATGGAGAAAACTGCAAAATGATGGAGGAAGAATTGAAAAGATTTAAGGATACTGTCTTGTAAATTTTGTGATTTTAGAGCTAAAGGCATGAAAGATATACTCTCTGTCGCCGTCTCTTTCATTGTCTCCATCACCATCTTAAACGCCACCAAACAAAATTACCATCTTGTTCTTGATTTTATTTGCTCATTCCTTTGGAATCGAAATCATTAACAGTAATCTATGTACGAATTTTTGCATAAATCTGAACCAGTTTGACCGTAGGAACGAAATCCACACCACTGTAGAAACCGAAGAGCCGACAAGCTTTAGTTTTTCATCGCCGTCAATTTCAGGATTAAACAAATAAATCTATAGGAAACAAAGACGAAAAGTAGCAACGAGACAGAGCTGCAACAGCCAAACTACAGAGGTTCCGGGAGACAAGATAGTTTTATGGTGACTGTTTTCATTCATTGACCTTGTCGGAGCTACCGTCGCGTCATCGGACAAGATTGGAGAGAAGGAAAATAATTTTTTTGTTTTTTCTTCGTAAAGGTTAATTTGAGAATTATTATAGAAAATACAGTCTGTATTCTATCCATAGTCTCGCTATGGTCAATTTGTTAATATGATGTTTTTTTTATGGTTATTGACTTATATTCCTTTAAAAATCTTGCTAAACATTTAAGAAATATGCTAATATATACTTTTTCTCTATGCTGGTCCAAGACTAGCAGCCTATCAAGCTGACATGGCATTCGTAATTTGGATAAAGACAGATTCACTGAGAAAACTTTTCTGATGTTTAGATAAGATCAGTTTTAAATCTTAATTAATCCTCCAAAACCAAAATATATATGAACCTTTATCTATATATGGAATATCTAAGTAGATCTGTTTGTGTATATCACACATATACGGTACCACCTCAAAGGGTCAGAGAACTATAAATCCAAGGAAAGAAATAAATTTATCTCTTTTACCTTTTTCATACTGTACAAATTAAAGGTCTTTTACACCAAGATAAGATAATACATCATCTGATCTTTTGACTAAAGAATTCAAGGGAACGTATCACCAAACCATAACACATATATACAACTGTAACAGAAAAAAAAACAACGAATGTAAATTTAGTTAGGTCCTTACATGCATATTTTGTGGCAAAAACAAATAGATAATTCACATGCATATTCAAAGAACCAAACATTTATTTGAAAAAAAAATATGTTAATACCAAAATTTTCGAAGCTAGTCCCTCCCAGGGCCTCCACTGTAATTGTAACAATGATTGACCATTGTGGATGTCTTAAAATGGTAAAAATAAACATGGCACTATAGTTGATCACTACATAACTTTAGAGGCTGGCTTTACAGTTTTCTCCAAATACTCTTAGCCATGAGAATCATGCCACGTACACACACAGAACGAACAACTGAGCTAACCAACGACAACAAATAGTTCCACTCCAGTTTCACCCTTAACACGTGTCCGGCTTATAAATAACGTTATACAGTATATTTCTGGCTATCCCAATTTTTTAATTATTTTTTCTTCTTGGTAACGAAAACCTTCTGGACATTACGTTCATAATTTCTTTGGATCAAGACCATAACAAGTTAAAATGCCCAATTTAGAAATAAAAATATTTCGGATTACTAAAACATCTATTGGCCGATTAATATAATTTTCTCCTGGCTCGAATAAATACTAAATTCAATCATAAAACATACATGGAGAACAATCACCTAATCGGCCTAATATGTAAAGAAAGATATGAAAGCTCTTTGTGGAACTTTTTGCTTCAATGGTCATCATTCATAGTTTGTGCGAAAGATGATAACAACAACTAACTGAAAAAAACATGCGTCAAGACTCAAGACTCGAAAAAGATTTGGCGAAGAGGGACGCTTGTCCATTTCTTATTCACAAACTTTTTTTCCCTTGACTTCTCACTCTCTTTACATACTCTTCGTTGTTTTACTTGTTAATTTTTTTTTTTTTTTTTTTTTTTTTTTTTTTTTTTGACAAATTTACTTGTTAATTTTGAGTTATCACTAATTTACCTTACATTTTTCTTATACTGTCATATGAGAGATATGTAGAAAATCTTCATCTTATAATCCAATTACTAATCAAAATTTTAATACTGCCACGGAAAAATATATATAAGCTCAGCTAATAATACAAACTTTTTTCCTTTGCATTATGTATATTTTCTAAGGACCATTTTTTTTTAAGGACAATACGGAGATGGAGGTGGAAGGCGATTTTAGGGTTGAAAACACTAAATCTCACGACTCTCATATGGAGGACGTCGGCGAGAAGGGACGGCCACCAGGGGAACCGCCCGATATATCGGGCACGTGGGCGCAGAAGGTAACGGGGTGTGGGATGGGAGGGATGCTGATTCCAGAGGAAGTAGTCGATGGGGCGTTTGTGGAGGCAAGGCTTCGAGTGGAGTTCCCGGATGGGGATGACGGCGAACCAGTGATAACAATCGGAGAGGAAGTGTTGGCGGCTATGAATGGTTTATGGAGAAATTGTATGATCGTGAAAGTGCTTGGGAGGAGTGTGTCGCTAGCGATGTTGAGTAGGAAGTTAAGGGAGATGTGAAAACCTAGAGGAGCGATGCATGTTCTGGATTTACCTCGCCAATTCTTCATGATTCGTTTTGAGACTGAGGAGGAGTACATGACAGCTTTGACGGGAGGGCCATGGAAGATGTTTGGGAGTTATCTATTGGTGCAGGCTTGGTCACCAGATTTTGACCCCCTAAGAAGCGAGATTGAGACAACGCCGGTGTGGGTAAGGTTGACAAATATTCTGGTGAATTACTACCACCGATCCATCCTAATGGGGATTGCCAAAGGTTTGGGACGACCGTTACGAGTGGATGGTGCAACCTTGAATTTTGAGAGAGCACGATTCGCAAGAATTTGTGTGGAAGTGAACTTGAAGAAGCCATTGAAGGGCACAATACTGATCAATGGGGAGAGGTACTTCGTGTCGTATGAAGGACTCACTAACATATGCTCCCTGTGTGGAATGTATGGACATTTGGTTCATTCTTGTCCGAAGCGGGTGTCGGAGGCAAGTAACGAATCAGTGACGTCAAATTTCCCGGGGAGGGATAATGGAAAGGAGATAGCGGTGGTGGAAGATGGATTCACTCAGGTCCGGCGTGGTCGGAGGCAGCCAATGACGGTGGTGAATCAGACAGTGGCGGATATTCACGGGAGCGAGAAAAGGAAAGAGTGTCTCACAGAATATCACGTTGGGGAATAGATTTGGAAACCTGGAGGAGAATATGGAAGTAGAGGAGATACAGGGCTCGAGCATTAATGAGGAGGTGAGGAAGGATAAGGCAATAAATGATCGTGTAGAAGGAAAAAAGAATGATGGTGTGAGTAGAGATAAGGAAAACCTTGACCCACAGAGTGGCGTAGGTCAAGACAAGAGTAGGGTACAAGGAAGTGAGGTTGTGTTTGGGGCTGGAACGGGCCAAGGCCCAAAATCAAATCGGATAAACCAAAAAGGGTGGAAGTCTGGGAATGGGAAGAGTGGTTTGGTGGGCTGTCCCAAGCAGGTGAATAATAACCGGCCCACTTGGGGGCTTGTCTATGGCCCAACTACAGGAGAGGTTGAACTCTCTGAGTCAGGGAAACGCCTCCGTGTAGAGAGATCGAACGTAGGTCGGGCCGGGAAATCTGTGGTCGCGGAGGGGCTGGCTGAGCAGGATGGTGGAGCTGGGTCTCAGGATCGGAACGGAAGTTTGGTGGGAGCTCCTCCGGTTCACACGCACGAGAGCCCGAGCACGGAAATGGCGGATCAAGGAATCTCTATGGCGATTCCGATTGTGATCAATGGAGCTTAACGGGTCGCCCCGGCTTTTCTATGTTTATACGCGAGAATGATGATGAATTGTCTTCTATGGAACTGCCGGGGGGCTAATAAACCTAATTTCAGAAGATCAATGAGATATATGCTGAAGAAGTGGCCGACAGATCTTTTGGCCATCTTCGAGACTCATGCTGGTGCAGAGAAAGCACGGCGTATCTGTGAAGGATTAGGATTCGAAGATTCTTTCAGAGTGGACGCGGTGGGGCAAAGCGGTGGCATTTGGTTGTTGTGGAAGAAGGCCATCGGTGATGTTGTGGTTCTAAACTTGTCGGAGCAGTTCATTCATGTGCGAGTAACGAAGAATGCTGAGGTGATGCACGTCGTAGTGGTGTATGCAGCGCCGTCAGTAAGTCGTCGTTCCGGTCTGTGGATGCAACTACGGGACTTAATTCGTCAGGTACATGAGCCACTGATTATAGGAGGGGATTTCAATACAATTGTCAGGGTTGATGAGAGAACTGGTGGTAATGGGAGACTGTCACCAGACTCGCTGGAGTTTGGAAGTTGGATCAATGAGATGTCGCTCATTGATATGGGTTTTCGGGGAAATCGATTTACGTGGAAAAGAGGGAGGGAAGCAAGATTCTTTGTGGCCAAAAGGTTAGATCGGATTATGTGCTGTGCGCAAGCACGATTGAAATGGCAAGATGCGACGGTAACGCATTTGCCTTTTCTAGCATCAGATCACTCGGCTCTGTACCTGCAGCTGACACCGACGGTGACTGGAGATGCTAGAAGACGACCATTCAGATTTGAAGCGGCCTGGTTAAGCCACACCAGCTTCAAGGACCTGCTCTCAGCGTCGTGGGATCCGAATCTTGACACGAGGAAAGCCTTAGCTAAGTTGGAGAGGGTTTTGCGGAAATGGAATAAAGAGGATTTTGGGGATGTTCAGGTCTGGAAGGAAAAGTTATTGAAGGAAATCCAGGAAGTCCAAGAGGAGCTGGAGAGCAATAGTTCTGATGAGTTGATTGTTAGAGAAGCGGAGTTGATGAAGGAATTTGATGTGGTACTTGAGCAAGAGGAGATTATTTGGACGCAGAAGGCCAGAGAGAAATGGGTAGTACATGGGGATCGAAACACTACCTTCTTCCACACGTCGACTGTCATCCGGAGACGGAGGAACCGTATAGAGATGCTAAAAAATGGGGACGGAGTCTGTGTCTCTGACAGGAATGAACTTGAGGATATGGCGGTTGAGTATTTCCGGAGATTATACTCCCTGGATGATGTTGAAGAAAACGTGGAAGCATTACCATCAGAGGGGTTTACGGCTTTGACGGAGACTGAGACCAGAGCATTAGACATGCCTTTTGCAGAAGAGGAGATAGTAGCAGCTGTTAGAAACATGGGGAGTTATAAGGCACCTGGACCGGACGGTTATCAACCAGTGTTTTATCAGCGATGCTGGGATGAGGTTGGAGAATCAGTCAAGCGTTTTGCCCTGGAATTCTTCCGGACAGGGAGGCTACCACAAGATACTAATGATGCGCTAGTAGTTCTCATCCCGAAGGTATCAAGTCCGGAGAAGTTGCAACAGCTACGCCCTATCAGCCTGTGTAACGTTTTGTTCAAGATCATAACAAAGACTATAGTTGGCAGATTGAAACCGGTGATGACGAAGCTGATCGGGCCTGCTCAATCAAGTTTCATCCGCGGACGATTGAGCACAGATAATATTGTCATTGTTCAGGAGGCAGTGCATTCTATGCGACGGAAAAAAGGGAAGAGAGGTTGGATGCTTCGCAAACTGGATTTGGAGAAAGCTTATGACCGGATAAGATGGGACTTTCTCGAGGATTCTATTAGAGCAGCAAGGCTATCTGAGCATTGGACCACTTGGATTATGCAGTGTGTGTCTGGACCATCCATGCGACTGCTTTGAAATGGAGAAAGACAGAACCGTTCAAACCTTTGCATGGGCTACGACAAGGTGATCCTCTGTCCCCATATCTTTTTGTTCTGTGTATGGAGAGACTATGCCATCTTATTGAACGAGCAGTGGAGTCGAAGAGATGGAAGCCAATTAGTTTGTCTCGTGGAGGTCTTAAGTTGTCACACATATGCTTCGCCGATGATCTGATTCTATTCGCTGAAGCATCAGTTGCACAAATACGTGTAGTTTAAGGTGTACTTGAAAGTTTCTGCCAAGCATCGGGGCAGAAAGTCAGCCTGGAAAAGTCGAAGATCTTCTTCTCTGAGAATGTGTCAAGAGAGTTAAGTGGTGCAATTAGTGCCGAGAGTGGTATACAGCCTACACGGGAGTTGGAAAGATATTTAGGCATGCCTATACTTCATAAAAGAATCAACAAAGATACTTTTGGGACAGTCTTGGAGAGAATGGCGTCGAAACTAGCAGGATGGAAGAGCAGGACACTTAGCTTGGCGGGGCGCATAACCTTAACAAAATCAGTTCTCTGCTCCATCCCGGTTCACTCTATGAGCTCGGTTAAATTACCGGAATCAACTCTGAACCGTTTAGACCGTGTGGCGAGAGATTTTGTCTGGGGCTCTACAGCCGAGAAGCGAAAGCAACATCTGCTTTGTTGGGATAAGGTCTGCAAACCAAAGGAGGAAGGCGGGCTAGGGATCCGAAAAACAAGTCTCATGAACATCGCTTTGTTAGCCAAGGTCGGATGGAGGGTGCTTCATGACAATAATAGCTTATGGTCAAGGGTGTTACGGAGTAAATATCTCATCGGAGATATCCATGATACAGCGTGGCTAAAGGGAAAGAGCACATGGTCCTCTACGTGGAGGAGTGTGGCGTTGGGGATCAGAGACGTTATCCTACCGGGCCATAAATGGGTTCTAGGGGATGGGTTGAGGGTTTCATTCTGGACAGACAAGTGGCTCATGGGTAATCTCTTAAAGGATGAGGTGGTTGCGGATGTCCCAGAAGCAATACTTAGCTTGAAAGCCAGTGAGATGTGGATCCCCGGAGTTGGATGGGACATACATAAGCTCGCTCCCTATGTATCGGATGCCACGAGACTTGAGCTAGCAGCCGTGGTGGTGGATAAAGTATCTGGAAGGCAAGATAGGATGTCCTGGGGGGACGCTGGATGGTAAGTTTACTGTCTCGTCGGCATATAAACTTCTATCTCGAGACCCTACACCAAGACCGGATATGAGCCAGTTCTTCAGGAGAGTGTGGAGGGTTCGAGCTCCAGAACGAGTGTGTGCCTTCTTCTGGCTTCTGGGCAACAACGGGATCATGACGAATCAGGAGAGGGTTCGTCGTCATATTGGAGATACTGACATTTGTCAGATTTGCAAAGGAGGAGTTGAATCTACCTTACACATTCTGCGAGACTGCCCTGCAATGAGTGGAATCTGGGAGCGTATTGTTCCACGTGGGAAACGTCAAACCTTCTTTGCTATGCCTCTTTTTGAATGGATGTTCGAGAATCTGAGTGATGGGTCAGACACAGGTGTCGGATCGTGGTCTACGCTGTTTGCTGTTGCTGTGTGGTGGGCTTGGAAATGGAGGTGTGGTAATATATTTGGAGAGAACAAGCTTTGGAGTGATCGGGTGAAGTTCATCAAAGAATATGCAAGAGAAGTGAGCCAAGCGATGGTGTAACCAGGAGGAGACAGAGAGGGAATACATGAAGAGAGATTGGTATCTTGGTTGCCACCGTTAGTGAGTTGGACGAAGTTGAATACAGATGGCGCATCACGTGGGAATCCGGGCTTAGCAGCGGCCGGTGGAGTTTTGCGAGATGGGGATGGCCGATGGATTGGTGGGTTCGCTTTAAACATTGGGAGGTGTAATGCACCTATGGCGGAGCTCTGGGGACTATATTATGGATTGTGCATCGCGTGGGAGAAAGGAATAACGAGACTTGAAGTCGAGGTGGATTCTCTGATGGTGGTTGGTTTTATTAAGACAGGGATTTGTGATACTCACCCTCTGTCTCCCCTGGTACACTTGTGCCATGGCTTTTTGATGAAGGACTGGGAAGTCCGAATTGCTCACGTGTATAGGGAAGCTAATCATCTAGCAAATGGATTGGCAAACTATGCATTTTCTTTACCTTTGGGTTTACATACGTTTGGTTCAGTCCCTTTGGACTTGCTTTCTGTTTTGCGAGATGATGAGTATGGAAACTCAGTATCGCGGCGTGTCCGTGTGTAAGACGTTTTTACTTTTTTAATACAATTGGGAGTTAGCTCCCGGTTATTCACCAAAAAAAAAGCTAATAGTTCTAAAGATCGATCATGATACCGGCAACATAAAATAGGAGTATTTCTTAAACTGTACGAGTATTTTTGTTATAGGCGACAAGAAAAGTATCATAAAGTTATCTTTGTTTTGTCGAAGAAAACCAATGTTATTAAGTAATTTACTGAATCGTTGCATGAAAATTAAGGGATTAAAGGAGTAAGAGGAACCCAAAAAAAGAAAACAAAACGAACAAAAGAGAGATTTAATGCATGAAACGGAAAGATAAAGGAGCAAACGTGTGAAATTACGAGTTTCTAAATAGAGTTAGATGACAAAAATCAAAGAGAGAATTAATTAGTTTTTGTTGACTCTTTCTCGTCTAGTGCACTCCCCACTTTCCGATTCCCACCGCCCGCTTTTGCTTTCCGTCACATGCTCCGCCTTTTTATTGGATTATTGCTAAAAAAACTATACTCCCTAATCTTTACATAAACTCGCTACATGATACATGATATATGTTGTTTACAAATGTTGTTTAAAAACAGTTCAAAAAGAACACATTGTTTAACTATTTTTTTTTCTTTTTCCATTTTAACATACACGTTATCACAAAAAATACATATAGTAGTTTGTAAAACGTCATGAACTCATGATTCCAATATTAGTTTTAGTTTCGAGCAAACCATTTTAACAAGCATAAGCATGTAAATTTTATTTTAGTTTTCTCAAGATAAGTTAATGATGGTTACGATCATTTACAAAAAAAACTAAAGTTAATTTTCGTACTTTGTGCTGAATGACTTACCACTTACAGTATATGATTTTTGTCGGACGGTATTAGCCTTTTCAAACAATCTATGAATTCATGATAGAATTTAGAAAATATTTAACTATAAACTGTTTGTACATGTCGATGTAGACTTGTAGTTATCGACTAACAATATCAAATTATTTAGTTATAATAACCCTTTGGTTACGGTTTTTTTTATCGTATTATTATTATAGGACTTTTTGGTATGCATCAGCCGAACTATACATATGCATAATGTGCAGGTCACATGTGAACATGTAAAGCACCTTTTTCTTTTTATATCTGAATAGTAGATATATGATAATAGTTGATTATACGAAGTTTTATATTATATATCGTTGGAATAGGGAAACCTGGAACTAAAATAATGGATTTAAAGAAAATGCATCGAATGTGACCAAATTAACTCAATATCAGCTTGTGAATTTCTCCATTCCCTCCATTAGTGGATTGGCTTATATATACAGCAGAAGCAACTTTTCCATATTATCTATCACTCAAAAGCCGACATGTCACTCCTTCTATTCAAGAAGTGGTTTGCCTTGTGATCAGCCTTTTCACCAAGTAGAATTCTAATAAACTATATATCATTCCATCCATATAACAAAAATATTCAATGACAGAAATCTTCGTAGTCATTACTACTCACAATGGATATATATCAGCTTTTCCTACGTATAATTATTTGAAAATGAGTTTACATGCTAAAAGGACATATTACCTGACATCATTTACATACAAAGATGATGTCTAAAAGACGAAAAAGATGATTCACATACATCACGACAAGAAGATAAATGCAATTACTTTCCAAAATAACTTTACAGGTTGAGGAATTAAAAGTATGTAACAAAGATTTGGGATAAAACTTGTCACATCTAGTGCAACTTCTTTTATTAACAACATTATTTTTTGGGATAAAACGGAAAGGAACCTCATAACTTAAAGCTTTTAAATACGGCCGCCTCTAATTAAAAACATTATGTTATATAGTTGTAATTTAAAGATGCATAGAGATCACGTGGATTTTTTAGTTAAAGCCACTAACAAATCTTAACGATAAAATTGGTGACTTGTCGATGATGTCTCTTTTTCTTTTACTATTTGAAAACGATCTTTGATCCTTTTCTCTCTTTTTGAGTGATGATGATCAGTAAGCAAATCTTGCGCACACCCCATCTTCGGATTCTGAAGATCAAACACTTTGTGGGGACTTTATAATCTCAGATTTTGGTACTGATGTTGATGTTCCTAGCAGCACCATCTCAAATTCAACCAAACCACCACACAAACCAAGATAAAACCGATTTGAGAAGGTTGGTTTTCAGATGATCCCGGTTTGGAATTGGTTAACGCAGCCATGATTGATTTCCGGTTTATGGATTGCAAGACAAAGAGGTTTGGCAGGTATTTACCGGTTAACTCGGATACGAGACCATTTGTGTGTCCAACATAGGAAGAGTCACATTTGTCTTAAGTTCATAGACCCTTGCAAATAGCAATTGAGATGATTTGAAAGATCTCTGAATTTGATTAACTGGTAGAATTAAAGTGTTTAATCAATAGTAGTACTAATACAATTCTCAAATGATGATGACTGAATATTATTAAACTGCAGTTACAGGTCAAACCTCAAGTTCCATTTCCCCTTCATGTTTGCGTTGAGAGTCCAATTGTTCTCTCTAATCTGCATGTAAGGGACCTGAAACAAAAAAAGAAGCAACACACTGTATGAGCAACATAGTTTACAAAGAAGGTATTCACAGCAGAGCAAGAACCAACATGCTTGAGCTACGAGAGAGTGAACCTTATCAAACATTTCGTAGCCAACTTTGATCCGTACATCTTGATCTTCCTTGAAATCCTTTATGCTCCAGGAAAATTCTGCAGCTCCTTTAGGGTTCCTCTGTTACCACAAAAATGAGCACATTCCTTTACTTACACATAATGACTTAAGAAGAAGAAAGTTGTCAAGACAAAAATAAACCAGAACCTGAACAAAGTCCTGATCAAAATCACAACGCCCTTTGATGTTAAAGGTGACAAGCTTATCACTTCTCACAGGAAACTCTTTTTTCCCGCGTACATGACATCGAAGCTTCTGGCGCTTATCATAATGCAATCCTACTCCAAGTCCTGTTGTAGCCTAAGGGGAAAATTTGTAATCATCACTATTAGTATTAGTAGTCTACGGTAGAAAATGTTTCAACGAAGAAGAAACTGAGATCAAACCTCAGGGAAAAAGTGTCTAATCATGGCACAGAAGTAACTTGGGGCACCAGTTCCAGTATCTAGCTCTCCATGCAGCTACCACCAAACCAAAAATCATCAAAGAAAAATATATACAACTACTGACAAGTAACGAATCAGAACCAACGTAATTCTATTTCCTACACTAAGCTACATTGTCAAAACTGTTTCGAAATGGTAAATACAGAATCAATCAAGAACTTCAAGCAGAGGAAGTGTGAGTGTGTGAGACATAGAGCCAAAACCATTTTTTCAACTTGGCTTCTGCAACAGCTCAATTCTAAAGAGTTGGAGCAGATCTCAGGTCAAATTTATAAGCAGCTTCGCTCAGGTTAGGTGTTATATTCCAAGAGTTGCTTCAAATTTCATCTTCTTAACCAGGTTAAGATAAAATCTGAAACTTTACACAAAAACTATTCACTTGTGTAAAATGCACATAAAATTTATCCGGAACACCACAAAATAAACCTTAAGATATACAAATTCTAGACCAATTGGGAAACGAAACTTAACCCCTTCAAATCTCAAGACATTTTAAGATTCATAGCAAAGAAACTAGTCAAACAAAACCAGAGAGCATTACACCACCGAAGCCAAATAGCTGAATAGAGCTAACAATTCCGCATTAGCAGCACGAATACGAAGTAGATACCCAAAAAAAGAAAAAAAAATTGAGAGCTGCGAAGAATTTTGTTTACCTGCAAATGGGTTTTGGAGTTGACTGGGAGCTTCTCCTTAGCGTGGATTTTCAAAGACCTGGAATTTCCGGTAAACCTCAGAGAAGTCTCCATTTTTTCTGCAAAGCGATTTTCTCCAAGAAAATCACTCACGGCAACAACCAAGCGAAGCGAAAACCAAAACCTCACCTAGAATTTTCACATTTTGACTTACTGTATCACATCATCCTCTACACCAAGATTCACCACAATCCAACCAATAACACAACGCCACGTGTTTCGTAATATTCCTTTACGGGTCTAGGCCCAATATATGGGCTTAAAACTATTAAATTAACGTCTTTGGGCGGGTAAACCCGACCCGGGAAAATTGAAGAATTTGTAAATGCTTTCTTTGGTCGGGTTCTCTCGGAGTGAGTAAGCTCGAGTCTCCGAGACTGGTCCGATTCATTCAATCAAAGACGATGAAGCAATCAAATGTCGATCTGTTGCTTCTTCTGCTAGCGATCGTCGTTCTCGCGACGCCTGCATACTCCGATCTGGTTCTATCCAAAGTCGAACGTCGTGTAAGTCTCTCTCTCAGTCACTCTCCCACAAATATCGTCGATTCGATCTGATTTCGATTCACGACGTTCCTAATCGATTCGCACAACTTGCATTTGTTGATCTATGCTTAAAAACTTACGAATCAGCTCAAAAATAAACAACCTTTCTCTGGTATCATTTCAGTGCTCAATTAGCTTCCTTTCTCTGATTTTTCTGCAGATCGATGTGACGTCACAGATTGCTCGCGTTACCAAGACCCTTAAGGTAAATTTTTAAACTTTTCCAGCTTTTCGAAGTCATATAGTATTGTGTTGGCGTATGTATCTAAGTTCTGTTACCAATTTGGTGTTTTAGGTCGTAAACTCTGGCTCTGAATCAGTCTCCGAGTTCATTTTAACCTTCCCTAAGTTTCTTGGCAACAACTTAGCATATCTATCAGTTGCACAAAGCGAAGGAAAAGGGAAATCTAAACGCACTTTAGCCAATCTCTCCGTGGAAGCAGCTAATCCAAAAGACATACCCGATTCGATCAGCGTTTACTCAGTCGCATTACCAAAACCACTCGATAAAGGAGACACCTTGACGTTGGACGTAATCGCTGCATTCACCAACGTTCTTCAGCCTTTTCCTGAGAAGATAAGTCAAGGCGATAGCCATCTCGTTATGCTCCAAGAAAGCGCACAGTATCTCTCTCCTTACGCTGTCGAGTCTCAGTCCTTGTCTATCAAGCTACCGAGTGCGAGAATCCAGTCTTACACCAATCTCGACAGTACAACGAAGCTCCAGGGGTCAGAGCTTAAATATGGACCGTACAAGAATCTGCCAGAGTATTCTTACTCTCCGATTGTTGTCCACTTTGAAAGCAAGGCTGCGTTTGCTGTGGCTGAGAAGCTTGTGAGAGAGATTGAAGTGTCTCATTGGGGGAACGTGCAGGTCACGGAGCATTACAATCTCGTTCACCGAGGAGCTCAGCTTAAGGGAGAGTTTTCAAGGTTAGACTTTCAAGCCAGACCTAATCCCAAAGGAGAATCTGCGTTTAGGCATTTACTTGCTAGATTACCACCGAGAGCACATTCCATATATTACAGAGATGATATTGGCAATATCTCCACGTCTCAGATGCAAAGTGATTCCAAAAAGGTTTGAGACTTTTGGATTAACGAGATTTTGATCTTCCAAATGATGTATGTGTTCTGACTTTTTTGTTTTGTTTGCTGGTTTGGTTGCAGACAGAGGTTCTACTTGAGCCACGGTTTCCATTGTTTGGTGGGTGGAAAACATTCTTCACCATAGGTTATGGTTTGCCACTTAGTGACTTTTTGTTTGCATCGGAAGGGAAACGTTTCCTTGACATCTCCTTTGGCTCTCCTATGCTTGACCTTGTCACTGATAAACTTATCGTACAGGTCAGTATCATACACTTCCTACGTGAAATGTGTTTCTTTTAGCGCCGTAAATTGTGAAGGCAAATCCTTCAAAGCAACGAACATGTATTCAAAGCAATGAGTTGAAATGTGCTTCCATTGTAGGTTGTCTTACCAGAGGGTTCCAAGGATATATCAGTTAAGACTCCATTCGCTGTCAAGCAGTCACAAGAGGTAACAGAGTCTTGGCTTTATCTTAAACATGATTTTTCCTCTGTGTCTATGATTCTGATATAGTTGAATACTTCATGTTTGCAGATCAAATACTCACACTTAGATATAGCTGGTAGACCAGTTGTTGTGCTGGAAAAGGACAACGTTGTCCCAGATCACAATCAGAACATCCAGGTATGTAAAGTACATCTGATCATGATAATTTCCTCTGTCTCTCTGTGTTATCTTAAAGCCACAATATTCGTACTTTTATAAGTGATCATGATATTTTGTTATCTGTACAGGTATACTACAAGTTCAGCAACATTCATCTGCTGAGTGAGCCATTGATGTTAATCTCTGGATTTTTTGTTCTGTTCATCACTTGCATCATATACACACGAGCTGACTTCTCAATCTCCAAGTCCTCTGCTTCGTACTTAGCCAAACTCCAATGGGATGAGGTACATTGGAGGAGCCTTTTCTCAAGCAATCTAAAGATGATCTTGTTTCTCTGATTATATGAAAAACGGCGTTCCTTTTTGTTTATCAGGTCCTAGCAACACTCCAGGAGATTCAAAGTATCATCCAAAAATGCTTAGCGGCACATGACAAGCTCGAAGCATCGTTGCGTGATCTCTCAAGAACCGGTGACATTCAAACCTGCAAAGCAGCTCGCAAATCCACTGACAGTTTACTGAAAGATCTTTCGAAAGAAGTGAAACCTTTGATGGCTTTCTTACAATCTTCTCAATCAGCCTCTCATATCTCTCCAAAGGTTCCATATTCCTTTCTCTCCACCTGTGACCTGTCTCTCTTCTCTTACTCTCAGCTCTGCTTTAACCATCTTATGTTGTTGTATCAGGTCGAAGAGCTAGTCGCTAAAGAGAAAGAACTTCAAGAGAAGTTGATGGCCAAACATACCACTGTCGTTGAAGGGTACGAGAAGAAATCCTCAGGGCGTGATATCGAACTCAGGATAGCTTCTCAACAGCAGAAAATCGCAGCTTTAAGGCAAGAAGTTGAAGATCTTCTAGAATTCATTGACGAGATCTAGAGAAAGTTAAAATGTAGCGAGCGAAACCATTTTAAACCTTTTGAGTTTTACTCCCACTAGAAAAAAATCCTCAATGAGAGCAGTGTTTATCAAAATTTCAAAGACAGCTTTAGTTCCTCTCAACAACAAGAATCAATCAATTTCTCTCAAAAATTTACAAGAATGTGCATATACATAAGACTTAACCAATGTTTGAGAATATACCAGAGAAGTTGGGAATCTTATCAATATGCTTCAACGCGTTCTCAGCGATCTGCCGCGTCCTGAAATCTGCGTTTTGGAAAGCGTCCACAAGTGCGGCTGTAACGTTCTGCTCTTCTCCCACTTCTCTAGCTATCTCTTCAATACGTAAGATCCTCTCCACCATCCACACAGCTCTAACCCTTAGAGTCTCTGTTCGATTCTCCAACAGAACGTTTAGTATAGGCGTGATCCCATCTGCTTCATCGATCAATATCACTCCTTTCTCTACTTCTAAACCATCTTCCAACAACGTAGACAGAGCCGCGAGTGCTGGTCCAACCACCTTCTCATTCTCATGGCCCAAGAGATCAACCAACTTATCCACTGCTTGTCCTTCAACAAGACAAAAGCTTTCTCTCAACGAACACATCCCTCCATGGATCTTGCATGTCCCAAGAACAACGGGAGGTTTGCTCAGACATGAAAAGATAGACACACAGTAGCTCGGAGGAGGAAGTTCCGGTATCTTTGTCAAATTCTTGGATTCAAGTGAAAGATTCTCCAAAGCTACCGCAGAAGCTATCTGTATGTTTTCTTGATTGTTGGACTGAAGGAGATCAAGGAAAAGCGAAGCGAGATTGTTCTCACGGCAGAAGGAAACGGCTTGAGTTTCTTTAGTGAGTGCGAACGTGATCCGAGTGAGGATACTAACAAGTCCTTCGAGAAACGTTCTCTCGAACCGTATCCCTCTGATTTCACCTTGGCGAATACCAACGATCTTGGAGATGATTTTCTCAAAAGCACCTTCGCTTAACAGTCTCTGTGTCAGACCCCAATCTCTCTCAGGAAGCTCAGCTAAAAGTCCAGCAGCTGCAGCTTGCTCCTCTGTGATCGTTGGTGTGTTCTCCGATATGATTGCAACAAGGTTCCCGAGCTGTCCAACACTACCACGCAGCGAATTAGCCAGCTCTTTGCTCATATGAGGGGAAATGTTATGAAGGAGCTTGACAGAAGCTAAACGCAAATCCTCATTCTCATGAACCTCAACGAACTGAACCAAGCTAATGATTGCACCAGAGTTTCTAATCGCAGAGACAACGTTTATAACCGAGTTTGAGCAGCTAGTGAGTCCAACAAGAACCACCAAAAGCTTCCCCTGGATCTCTGGACCAGTGTTGCTTATCAGCTGGAGCAGATTCTCCACTACGTCCTCTGAGACAAGCGTCTGGTGATGAGCTCCAACAGGGACCTTGTCAAAGTCGTAGCCAATGTTCACTATGTTTGCAAGAATCGTGGCGGAGACTTCTTTAAGCCGAATCGGAAGCTGGTTTGGTCCAACGTAGAACAAGTCCTTCATCAGCGGTGGAAGAATCCCTGAGCCGATCAAGACTTTAGCACTCCCTTCAAACGATGAGATATTGTTGAGAGCTCCCAAAGCAGCTTCACGTAGCCTCATGTCACGACTTCTCATAAGCTCGATGAGAGAAGAACCAACAGTCTGAGCCACAACAACTTTCACATCATTGTTTAACGCAAGCACTCCAAGATAAGAAGCCATTGAGAGTTTTGTTTCAGGTGAACCTTCAAGAAGTTTAGCAAGAAGAGGCTGGAGTCTACCATTAGTAGCCATCTCTCGAACATTCTCCTCAGACCTCTCCAAGTTCGTCAAAGTCCTATCAGCTTTCTCAACAGTTGAAACATTCTCCGACTTACTACTTGTCAAACCAACCAGTAATATAATAGCTCCACGAACAGATCCAATCTTCTCACACAAAGCTTCTGATTTCGACAGCTCAAACAACAAAGAAACAGCTGCTTCTCTCCCCTTTGGTGGCTCCTTTGATAAAAACTTAACAACAGTACGCACAGTGTCTCCTTCAGCTACAATCACCTTGCTTTGTTCATCTCCCTCAACTACAACTTGAAGAGTCTGCAACGCCTTATACCTCACATCATGACTACCACTCTTCAACATGTCACTAATCAACCTAACAAGCTGAGGATTATGAGAACGGTGTTTGATCAAACGAATGTTCCTGCAAATCTCTCTCACGTTCTTCAAAGCCTGCAAGATGTTGCTCTCGGAGTTCCCCAAGTAGAGAGACTGACGAGCAATGTCAAGCTTCAAGCAATCGTTTCTAGCTCTCCACTCTTCGATTGTAGCGCGTAAGGCTATGCTCGGGCTTAAGTCAGTGACACTCAGCTGCTTTGAAGTGATGGGGCAAGACAGAGGACGGCCGTTTTGGCGACACTCGTTGAACCATTTCTCGATTGCCTCACGCTCAAAAGTCTGACCACTCTCCAAAGTCACTGGATTTTGCATGACTTGCTTCGTCAATGGACAGAGAAACGCTTCGTATATGTTATCGATCCCTGGCTCGAAATTTGAGCTGTTATCTGATTGGCTCCCATCCCAACTTCCAGCCATTTGATAGATGATGATGATTCCTCTTCACTCACTATAATAAAGCAAATATACACATGAAACGGAACAAAGATTCAGCCTTTAAATCAAAACTATACATTTGAAACACAATCATCACTCCTATAACCTCAAAATGGAAACTTTTACCAAATTTAGCATCTCGGAATTCTTAAAGGTAGACACTTTACCACTCTTTTAGTGACAAAGACACGGAAAAGGTGAAATTCGGACGCGTACCAGTTACAAAAGCAAGAAGCCGTCCAAAAACCGATCCAACGATGATAAAAAAGGAAACTTTAGCTTCTTCTTCTTCTTCTTCTTCTTCTAGCTTGGGAATTCGATAACGAGCTTGAGTAATGGCGTGAAATCGAGTTACTTCATCGTCTTCTATATACAGAGCAACGAGCAAAGCTTTGCTTTTTCGCTCTTCCCAAAGTTTAAATTCGATTGGGATATTTTAGCTTAGCTCTGAATTGGGGAGAGAATGTAACGCGAGGAGGATTGGAGGAAGGAAGATGGAAATTGTAGAAGAGAGTTTCACTCAGCTAAGCAACGAGGAAAATGGGAAAAAAACCACCGACGAGAAAATAAATAATTGAAAATAGAAATATCAAAAGCGTTGACTAAAAATGGAAAAGTCATACGACACACAGTCGCAGAAACACGTCACACGTGTACACACTCGACTGCTGAAGAAATTAATCGGGTGGGTAATTTACCAACCCGGGTTTAACCCGGAAAATGTTGATTAATGCCATTGATGGGCTCTAGATTAATGTAGATTAACCCGGAGTATTTCTTAATCTTTCTTTGCACTTGCTGAGTACAAGAAACTTAAGGTGTACGTATGGATATTATTTTTACAAATATTTTCTTAGCTAATTAAAATCTGTAATTATTCCCAATAATGTATCAGAATTGTAGTTGGAATATTATGAGGCTAGTCGAGAGATGAAAAACAAAACAAAATAAAAACCTTTTGAATTCTGAGAAACCGTAATCTCTTAATTGCCAGTCCGAGTCTTTATACGTTACAAATAAACCGCTTAATTTAGCTCCAACGGAAAGAAAATAAATAAAGAACAACAAATGTTTGAATCAGACAGAGAATACAAAAACAGAACAAAGTAGAAACTAGAAAGAAACGACGACGCGTTGTTCCAAAATTAGGTCTCATGTTGTTCCCCTTTTAATTTCTCAAGATTTCTTAGCTTGCTCTCACTACTTTTATTCTTTTTTTTTGTTAAATCTTTCTCTACAGATTTTGCCATTAATTACAAAGAGTATAAAATCTGCTCCTTCCTCTTTTAGTATATAAAAGATAACATTTGTTGCCATTTGTATAATTTTAGATCTCTCCATTTCAGATTCTTTTCCTAAAGAAATCATAATTCAATCATCATTTTTTCCCTCTGTTCTGGTGGGATTTGTAAGTTTTCCTTATTTGTTTTCTGGAATTATAGAGAGAGATAGAGAAAAAAATAAAGTCTCTCTCTTTCCAATTGATAATTCTGGAGACAACTCTTATGTTCTTTTTTTATTATTAAAACAAGAATCCTCTGTGTTTTTTTTTTCTTTCTTTGGTTCTGTTACCTGTGTGTGATTCCAGGAGCTGTGTTTGGTGATAATGTTGACATAATCACAAACCAGCTCCGTCTCTGAATCTAAATCATTCCACCATTGTTGTTGTATTTACTTTTTGAAATCATCGGCAAAAAATATTTATGAGGAAAATGAAGTGTTTCTCGTGTCTCAACACAAGAACCAATGACATGCATATCAATATTGATACCCTTTCTTACGTAACCGATCGTTCCTCAGGTACAAATCTCTCTCCTTTTTTATTCATTAAAAGTTAAATCTCAAATTTTAGTTCCATCATTTGTGATTCTCTTGTCTCTTTGCAGTTGACACAAGAAGCGAATCATCAGGAAGAGGATCCAAATCGGGAATTTTAGGTTATTATTATTATTAAAAATATTTTCTGAGATTTCTCTTTACACGTGAAAATTCAAAATTTTGATGAAAAAAGAAACAAATGTTTGATTTTGGGTTTTGGTCAGTTGATGGGAAAGTGAATAGCCCTAAACCCGGCGGTGGCGCAAGGAGTTTCACGTTCAATGAGTTAGCCGCCGCAACCAAGAATTTCCGGGAGGTGAACATGATCGGAAAAGGTGGCTTTGGATGTGTCTACAAAGGACGTTTATATTCAGGACAGGTTAGTCACATCTCACAAGCTCTCATGTCTTTAATCAAAACCCTTTTTCTCTCAAAAATCAGAAATGTTAGAGGTTTGATCTATAGGTGGTGGCGATCAAGCAATTAAATCCAGATGGGCATCAAGGAAATCAAGAATTCATAGTTGAGGTTCTCATGCTTAGCGTCTTTAATCATCCAAATCTAGTAACTTTAATCGGTTACTGTACTTCTGGTGCTCAAAGACTTCTCGTTTATGAATACATGCCAATGGGTAGCTTAGAAGATCATCTTTATGGTTAGTGTGTTACTTCTTTCACATCCCTTTAAATATGTTGAGTCAAACAGTTTTCATCATGTTTGATTTAATAACCTCTCTTGTTCTTGGTGTTAATCTTGTTCTTGTTCTTGATGTTAGTCTTGTTCTTGATCTTGTTCTTGTTCTTGTTTTTGATCTTGATCTTGTTCTTGTTCTTGTTTAACTCAGATCTTGAGCCAGATCAGAATCCGCTAAGCTGGAACACACGAATGAAAATCGCGGTAGGTGCCGCTCGTGGGATAGAGTATCTCCATTGTAAAATAAGCCCATCAGTGATATACCGAGATTTGAAATCGGCAAACATATTGTTAGACAGAGACTTTAGCCCCAAGCTATCTGATTTTGGACTCGCCAAAGTCGGTCCTGTGGGAAACCGGACGCATGTCTCGACTCGGATCATGGGTACTTACGGTTATTGTGCTCCGGAGTACGCGAATAGCGGAAAGTTAACCATCAAATCGGATATCTATTGCTTCGGTGTCGTGTTGCTTGAGCTGATCTCTGGCAGGAAAGCTATGGATTTGAGTAGAGAAAATGGAGAGCGGTACCTTGTTGGTTGGGTAAGCTAAAACCAAAATATAGAAAACCGGAATTAACCGGAACTTAATTCTTTCGTTTAACCGTGGTTTTGTTTTTATTTTGTGTTCATGCAGGCTCGACCGTATCTCAAGGATCCTAGTAAATTTGGACATCTAGTGGATCCGTTGCTGCGAGGGAGATTCCCGAGGAAGTGTCTTAATTACGCTATTGCAATAACCGAGATGTGTCTGCACGAAGAAGCAAACCAACGACCGAAGATAGGAGATGTGGTGGTGGCGTTTGAGTATATAGCTGCTCAGAGCAAATCTCATGAAAGTAGAAGAGCGGCTCGCAGGTCTACGGACTCTGACCGGTCAAGAGGGGAGAGTTATTGAAGTTTGTGTGAGAGTCGAATGTGAAACCTCTGATAGGAACAGAAGGTTGCTGATAAAACAGCGTAATATTTGTTTTCTTGTTTATGGATGAGTTTTGGTTAGTCAGTTTTTAAAAATGGAATTTTTGCTTAAGGGAAATGGTGTACTAAAAAAAAGAACTCTTATGTTAAAAAAAAAACGTAGATACAACTTCCTTATGTGTAATTCATAAATCTTAAAACATGTCTACAAATTTATGTGTAAAAAAGTGATAGTTTTTTTTTTTTTTGAGAAATTAAAAAAGTGATAGTTTTGAATTTTGGTATATGCTTTTTTTTCATATGAATTAAAATTTAACAAATAAATATGTGTATCTCCAACTTTTCTAATCTGTAATGTATATCTCCAGTTCGAAACATCAATTTTCAAATTAAATGAGAATGTGACATACATGTTTCAAAAATAATTCAGTCAAGCGCGAAATTATTTGATTTTTTTTTCTCACAAGAGAAGAAATTCAAAATATTAAATGGAAGTAGATGACGAACCGATTTACGCGGACGTCTAATGTTTTATGTCAACTTGAATACATTTGCTTAGTCCGAGTTTAACATACAATTTTCCCATCTATGTAGAATTATTGATATAATATTCGCATGTTGCAAACTAGCAATCATAACATAAGAAGAAAAAAACAACATCCGCCCACGTTTTCTACGTGATCTTGTTACAAGATAATTTTAAAGAAACCCCTCTCATTCATCGGTTCTTAATATTGTTGTCGTTTAGGTATTAAACTTATGCATATTTAAGACTTTTACTTAATCTGTTAAACACTGTTTTGTTTAAAGTTGTAACTTGTAACCACTATCATTCTAACAAAAATCCACTATTTTTGCTTAATCTTGTTCTGCTCCCATTGTTTCCAACCACAACTATCGTTGCTAAAAAGAGATTCAAAGATATGATAAGGCTTTAAGTTTTGATGACCGTCGTTTTTCATATTGCTGTCATATATGTTACTCGGACCCGCCATTCCAACACACTGTTCTTCTTGTTTGACCTCTTCCCGCTGATATTTTCTTAGGTTTGCAATTCACCATAATATATGACATCATAATAAAGCTTTTTATAAATTTGTGGACGAAAAATAATCTAAAATATTCAAGTTTTATCATTAGTTTTGTTGTATATACTTTGTATTCCACACAACTAATAAATGTTCTATTTTCTTTATAGTATTTACTAATATTTGTATGTTTTGTTTTCCCACATATATAAAGTTATAAACAAAGCTTTCCTTGCTTTTTCGTTCTATAGATTTGTTTACTAATAATATGTTAGATTTGTTTGCTTTTATGACGTACACACTCAATATATGTCTGGTTTTCACACTTTTACTTCAGTTGTTACGTCATGAAGGTGACGTATTTGGCCCATAATCATATCTCATGAGATTTGAAATGCTTTGATTTCTCTCTAACTTAACTGGATAATTAACCAAATCAGACCATAGGGTTTTGAATTGGACATTTTTGTACAAATTAATGTCTAAGGATTTCCTAGCTCGTGTAAGAGTATATACATTATTATGTCGATCACAACTCACAAGTCAATTAATAGATCATACAAATTTAAGCGTTTTTCTCCTCTTTATAAATATAATATAAGTAAGATTAAGAAGATCACAGAGTCAATATACTATCACATAATATGCGAGTTTAAAGTTAAGAATTCTTTTTCAAATTAGCAGTAACATAAACTGAAAGAGGGTATCTACATTTATCTTTCAGACTTTATGCAACAACTTTAGTTGAATGCGACCTAACCTTTCTCACTTTAACAAAGAAAAAACCCAACCATTCTCTCTATACACATATATTAATATGTAACAATAAGGATTATCTATACATATCAATTATCATAGCTTAGAAAGGAAAACAAATATAGTCGTGACCACTTTTTTAGATGCCATTGTTTCCCGATCTGCGACCCAGCAGCCACTGACCACTGACTTGTAATTTTGTCACATTTTTTATCACATATCTCACCCCAATATCTTCTTTCTAAAACTACAACATGAAGTTTCCATCATACTCTAAATGAGAGTTGACATGATTATTCATTATTGTAAAGGACCGAAACGAGAAAACGTAACAAATGTGGATCAAGGAGACAAGGACTATCTAAAACATTGAAAAATGAAGTAAATGAAATAGATAAATAAAAGTCTAAAAATCAGCCAATCAATCCGAGCGGGTTGCTATATAACCACGACGAAAAAATCAAATAAATACACAACCTTATCAAAATGAAATAAATAATATATTTCCTAAAACGCTTTTGCTTGGTCTTTCCTCTCTGTTTCTCATCTTCTTCCTCCATCTTTCAATCTCAATCCCCACAAAAAGGAAGAAAAAAGGGTGAAGCAAAGATTCTCAAGTAACATAGCAAAGTCGAGACTTGTTTTGTCTTGATGGGCAACTTCTGTCCTGGTGGATCTTCCACTGTTCAACATGAACATAGTCCTGTCTCCACCAATCCCCTCCCAGGTCCACACACACACACACAATCTCTCTGTGTTTTGCCAAATCCAAACTCTTTGGATCTGTTTTCTAGTTCTTGCTTTCCGATGATTCACGATTGTCTTCTGAAAATGTAAACGATTTGCTCTGTTTTTGATCTTACAGTGGTGAGACGTATGCAAAGTCCAGTGAACGAAAAGCTTCCGCCGGCGTTGGTGGCGATGCCACCCGGTAGAGGACTGAAACCCAAGTTTCCGGCGGCGGAGACAGGACAAAAGACGAGATCCGTCAACAACCCTCCACGTGAAAAACCATTGCAGGGGACAAGATCCGTCGATAACCCGCCTCGTGAGAGATCATCGCTGCAGGGGACAAGATCCGTCGATAATCAACCTCGTGAGAAAACACCGGAGAGGACGAGTCCGCCATTAAAGCCGCCGGCAGAGAAACTAGGTGGAGGTAAAAAGGCACTGCCGCCGAGCGGGAAGATAGTGACGCCGAATCTAAAGATGTTCACATTAGATGAGCTTAAGACGGCGACCAAGAACTTCCGGCCGGAGTCGATGATCGGAGAAGGAGGATTCGGACAGGTGTTCAAAGGATGGGTGGACGAGAAGACTTTAGCTCCGTCGAGAGTCGGCGTGGGAATACCGGTGGCGGTTAAGAAATCGGATCCTGATAGTGCTCAAGGCTTACATGAATGGCAGGCAAGTAACTCCTTTTTTCTTGATTTAATTTGCATTCAAATCATTAAGACAAGAATCATTAAAAGATTCTAATTGGGGAAAAATAAATTAATTGGACATACCATATCTGTAGTATTTTTGCAAAATAGGGAAATTTTTTAGCTTTGGATAAATTTATGACAGAAATAACAAGAAAAAGTAGCACAGATTTGAGTCAAAATAGCTAATATAGTACTTTTTATGGACAACAAATAAATAAATATTTTTTCAACATTTTTCTGGAAACATTTTACCTTCCTACTTGTCGTTTTGTTGCTCTGTGTAATGATAATTTTTCGTTAAACATCTATTTAATCATATACTGATTAGGAGTCAGCAAATGATAAGTATTACTTTAGCATCAATTTAGGGGGTTTGAATGTATTTTCTGTTTGCATTTATGTTGATAAAACTATAACGTAAAATTCAAACTAAAGGACGTTTTGATCGTTTATAAATTAAATCTTCATTGGATCATCATGGTCTCACTAGAATTCGAACGTATTAAATACTTGGTTATTTTTGTCATATTTTTAGTAACTAAAGAGAAGGAGAAGAGGTCAATTTAACATTTAGCCAAAAAGGATGAGAAGAAGTCAAAGACTTCTCACGTAACTGTACTAGTCAATCAAGAAAAAAAATACATATGCTATAGTCAATGGGATACATTATACATACTAAATAAATATTTAATGATATGGTTAGATCTTTTCTTTTTCTTTCTTGTATTGATGCGTGGAAATAATCTTCTCATTTTATGTGTGTCAATGTCTCCAGTTCGTCATTCCGTAATTTCTAACTACAATATAAAATACAAAATATGTGAAAAACAGTCACGACCACATAATATGATAGATGGAACTTATAAATCTTCACCTGTTTTTTGCCTAACATCTGACATAATCTTCACCTGGTTATTATCAACAAAAAGAAAGTAATCTTGACCTTTGTATTCGACAAGGAAATTAACGAACGATGATAAATAAATATCAGCTTCTGAATGATAATACGAGTTTTGACCATTGACTTTTCAAATGTGTGTTGAGACTTGAGAGACATGTGCTCCTGAATAGCTCCAAACTTATTAAATTGATTGAATGAGAAAATTATTTCATTTCACACAGAATACAGTTTGAAAAAAAGTTTTGTCTTTTTTTCTAAAGTGTAATTTTACATAACACTATATTATATACTCATTTCGTTCCTTCAATTATATTTCATGCGTATTTTTTTGGATAGCAGTCAATTCATATGGAATATAACTGTTAATGTCTGTGTTGATTTTTTTTGTTTTGTTCAAGAACTAATGTGTGTATTGATATATTGTAAAATTATAGTGTGAAGTGAGATTCTTAGGGAAGTTTCATCATCCAAATCTGGTGAAGCTCTTGGGTTATTGCTGGGAAGAAAATCAATTCCTCTTGGTCTACGAGTATCTGCCTAAAGGAAGCCTTGAAAATCACCTCTTCTCAAGTACATTTTTTTCACTCATATCCGTTAATTACCTTTTGCTTATACATCTATTTATATTAATATATAAAAGATTTTGCACGTAATGTTGATGCAGAAGGAGAGGCGCTGACGTGGGACACACGTTTGAAGATAGCCATCGAAGCAGCTCAAGGACTCACCTTTTTGCATAACTCCGAGAAGAGTGTTATCTACAGAGACTTCAAGGCTTCCAATATTCTTCTCGACTCCGTACGGTTCCAAAACAAAACTAAAACTGCATGCTGTTTTGTAGAATGTCCTTTTTTAGCTAACAGTTTTCCTGCCGTTTTTTTCAGAACTTCAACGCCAAGCTTTCTGACTTCGGGCTAGCCAAACACGGTCCAATTAATGGATTCTCCCACGTCACCACACGTGTCATGGGCACACACGGTTATGCAGCTCCCGAGTACATGGCTACAGGTAAATCATTAAAAACGTGCAAATTAGTAGAAAACACAACAACATGTTTAATTGATATGAACAAAAGATCACGTTTAGTTTCATTTCATATGAATTTTGGACTAAGTTTTTTGTTGTTGTTGTTGTTGTTTTATAGGTCATTTATATGTGAGGAGTGATGTATACGGTTTTGGAGTTGTACTCTTAGAGCTTTTAACCGGTCTAAGAGCACTAGACCCAACTCGACCATCTGCGCAACAGAATCTCGTGGAATGGGCTAAACCGGTTCTGACCCAAAAGAAAAAGATCCAGAAAATGATGGACCCACGGCTCGAGCATAAGTATCCACTTATAGCGGTGGTCAGAACCGCTGGACTCATCCTACGGTGTCTCGAGGCTGACCCAAAGAACCGACCTCCCATGGACGATGTACTCAGAGAATTAGATATCGTTAGGACTATCAGAGACGAACCGAAAGAAGAGAAGCGTAAACGAACCACTGGTGGTTCAGATAAAAACCGGACTAATGGATATGGTTCACCACACGGCCGTCGAACCGGTCGAACCTGATAGCCAAATAAACCTTATGTTACACACTATACACACAAACATACGTAAACCTATTACAATTTCATAATGTTAGTATTGAGTATTGATAGTTTTTTTTTCTCTCTTGCGAATACTCATAATTTATAGCAAAAGCAAATTTCATTTTTTGTAATTATAATTATGTTGTCTCTTCTTATCTCCTATTTTTGTTCCTTACAATGCAAATCCATTTTCTACAGAAAAAAAGTAGATGCTTATTTATGTTCTAAGTTTATGAAAGAAATGAAATTATTAAAAATGAGTATCTACATTTGCAAACAAGCCTCACATAACAAAAGTAGTAATAAACAACAAAACTTCAATTTTTTGTTTTCTATACACTATGAACAATGCTTACACAAACATAAAACTATATTGTCTCATCTCCTATTATATGATCTTCTTCTTCTTATTCTTGTTGTCAAGAAGGGCATCCACTAGCAGAAGAACGTTCAGGGAGATACTGAGAAGAGAGCTGAATCAAAAGCTTAATGGTTTGTCCAGGGAAAGATCTGCAAACATCTACACATTCCTCTACATCATCATCACATCTCAGCAAAACCCATTCATTGTCTTCATCTAAATATTTCAGATCATATCTGCTCACATCTTCTATACTAAACCGTTTCGCTATCTCCCACAATAGATCTTTCAAGCTACGCGAGTTTCGCATCCTAAACCGTATCTTCTCCTCCTCATAGCTTACCTTTATCCTCAGAAAATCCTCCTCTTGTGATGATGTTGTTGATGGTGACAACTGTGTGACCTGCGTTTCCTTAAAAGATCTTGAGAAAGTCGTCACTGTCTCTTGTCTGGTCTTATCCGTAGTAGGATCCTCCTTGTTTACTTGTGTCTCACTGGAACAGCTCGAGCTGTGACTACACGAGGAGGCAGGGGATTTTCCAGGCTGTGAATGTGGAGGAGAAGACAAGAATGTCGTTTTCTTGGATTGTTGCTGTAATGAAGATGCTGCTTCTTGTGAAGAAGCAAGAATTGGGAAGTTCGCATAGAAAGAGCCTATAGGAAGATGATGACCAGAAACGCCTTGAACAGAATCAATCACTCGTTGGATCTTCTGAAGCGAATGGCCAACTTTCTTGATCTTTCTTGATGGCCATCTCTGTATCCCATGCTGTCTACATATTCTCTTCAACGTCGTTGGACAAACTAAAAAAACAAAATCCAAGATCAACTGATGAATTCAAATAATTTCAAGAACAAGAATGTCTATGTTTTTTGCTTACCACCAATACTCTTGGCAGCATCTTTGAGACTCCCTGCGAAATACTGTCGAAGAACATCCAAAGTTATGTTCTTTTCGGCTTTCGTTCGCTTCTTCTCAGCCGTTCTATTGAAACCAACAGCATTAGAGAAAGTGCTGTTCTCATTCACACTCAATCCTTTGCCATAGTCAAAGCCTAGCTCTCCCATCTTTGATGTTCCTCCATCAAATACATTTTGAGGATTATTACTGTTACTTTGAAGTACCTCAGATGTGTTCTCTATCTTTGGCAATGTCATGACCTCGCTGGCCATTGAGTCTCCCTCTTCTTCTAGCTCCTTCTCAGTGACTGTCCTTAAGCTTCTTGGCACATGCGCCATTATAGTAGAAAGAGCATTCAACATTTTCCTCTGTTCCTCTATATCCCTACAATTCTTAGGCAAGAAAAACTCCAAGACGAAATCAGCTGTGCCTGTGTGGATGCAGCGTAAGCGTATAGCGACAGTGCCGTGAAAGCCAAACATAGTTGCGTGGTGAGAGAGAGGGTACTCAGACTTCTTGTAGCTGGAGACATCAGATGAAAAGCAAGGACCATTGGTCAAAAACGCTTCTCCAACTACTCCTTGACCTTTTAAGAGATGATGCTCAGAGCAAGCTTCGTGGAACTCTCGGACTGTAGGATCACCAACGTAGCAAGCATCATCGATTGTGGACACGCAGTGGATGTAATTCTCATCGTTGTGACGACAACCGGTTTTGCTCTGTTTTAGACAAGAGACCCATGTTTGTGCTAATGGTAGCTTATGAGTCTCGCAAGCACATCTCAAGAGGTTTCTGATTTCAGGTAATGCAGCTTGGTAGGAGAAGTCAGGTCCCTGATGTTTGAATGGTTTAGTTTTGTTGTTAGTTAGTCAAAACAAAGTAAAGTTTAAACCTTTTTACCTTTAGAGAAGGTGAAATTGGAACTTCTGTGCTTCTAAGATCAACTGCCTGTGAAGTAATATAAACAATCTTTAAGGTTTCAAGAAAAGTGTATTCCAAGAGAGACATAGCAAGAAGAAACAAGAACCTGAAGTGCTCTGCAGATGCTTTCAAGATCAGGTCTCAGTTTAACCATCTGTGTGGTCATCACAACCTCAATCACACCTAAGCAGATCTTACTACCTTGCTCAAACACAGGAATAGCTAACGTGCCACGAACGTCGCAGTCTTGAGCGTGTTGCACTCTCGGATACTCCTCGTTCTTGAAAAACCTAACATCAGGAGTCCACTCAGGAACCTGTCCCAAGAAAACCCTTCCAGGCAAACCAACCAAGTCCTTGGAGCTTGAATCTTCTTGCTCAGCAGAGAACTGGTAATTCACAGAGATCTCTCTGTAATGAGCAAGCCTTTGGCACATTGGATCATGGCTAAAAGGTTGTTCCTTTGTGGTTAAAACTCTCTTCCCACCTCTATCCACAGGAACCCACAGCTGTATAAGAGATCCTTCTCCTCTCTCACTTGTGAAGTCTTTAATGTGTTTCACTGCTTGAATCAGTCTCTCCATAACCGTAGAGCCATGACCAGTTGGTGCAATCCACCACCGTCTGTTATTACTAAGGGTAGAGAGATCTTTCCCTTGATCCTCAAGACTTGATCTTTCTGCAGCATCCTGACCGTACATCTGAGATAAGGTTGATGAAGAGATTGTTGCTGTGTTTTCTTGCGTTGGAGACCACATGAAGGAAGAAGGATCAAAAGGTGTTACAGATGTTGAAGGACTGAAATTGAGGAACTCTGATGCATCTGTTGTCTCTAACCAGCAACCTTCTAGAAGTAATCCGTCCATGAATGATGAAGAATCCATTGATGGATCCATGGGAAGAGAATTGTTTTCCATTTTCTCAAAATCAATCAAGCTACAACTGAAAGAAAAGAAAACAGAGCATCCATTTATCAACAAGATCCCTAAAAAGAAGTGAGAGATTAGTTATTTGATTCTCACCATTTTTTGTTACATTTCAGAAGTTGGAAGAAATCATGAATCTTTCACCAAACCCTCCACAGAGTAAAATGGAAACAAAAATAAACCCATTTCAGGAGGAGAATCAAATCAAACAAAAAAATCTTGTAAATAGTTAAAGAAAAGAGAATCAAGAGTGAAAAGCCTCCAGCTTTTGATTCCTACAAGTTGGTTAAACTATACCCTAATCCCTTGTGGGTTAAGATATACTGTGATTTAACCCCAATCAAAGAAGAATTTTAACACTAATCTGGTTCTTGATTAACAAAGAGAAAAAGAGGAAGACTTTTGAGTTTTTAGAAATGAAAACAAAAATAGAAAGGGGAAAGAAAACTCACAAAGACGTCAGATTCTCCGGAGATTCCTGGAGTAGGTTTAAATGTTTTTGTTTTTTGCTTCTCCTTTTTAATTGAAGAATCTTGAACTGTCCCAAATGGAAGACCACTTGTTGTCTGAGAGACAGGAGAAACAGTTGAAGCAACCCCAAATCTGAGGGAAAAGAAAGCTGTAAAGATGTCTTTGATGGGTATGTCCCTGGTGAAGAAGTAAGTATGTGTACCTCTTCCACGGAAATTTCAAGAAGACCAAAAAAAAAAATCATAACTGTGGCATCGTTATCTTATATCATCGGGAATAAAAGACCCTTCAAATTAATTTTGTATTTTCCTATCTTTTATATTTTGATATTTTCACAACAAAACATGACTGTCTCTCACTCTCTCTCTATCTTTCTCCCACTTCCAGGCTGCGTGGATGTTGAGAAAAGTATCGAAGGACGGAGATTCCCATACTCTTTAGAGAGAGAGAGAGATTATAATTTTTTTCTTCAGAACTTTTTTTTGTCTTGGGCAGTGAATTTCTCTTAATGTACCATCCCTAGTGTTAATATGAAAAGAAAAAATATATGTCTATGTAAGAAGTCAACTTATTTCGGCCAATGCTGAAAGAAAGAATCAGCAATTACCACTAAGTAGTAATTAAAAATGTTTGATTTGGAATCTGAATCTAAGTGTGATTAGGCAAAGTTTTGGAGCCAATAGTAAAGGAACAAACAGAGTTGACAAAATTAATTAAATTATAAGAAAAATCATATAAGTTGAATTTTCGCCGCTGACTTTGTTATTTACATGTTTTTTTTAATTCGATTAGTTATGTTGTAAAAATCCAACAAAATTGGAAAAATAGGTGTCTATGAAACGATTTCGTATCTGTTTAGAGAGTAATGTACGATCAATGGATTATTCTTGAACAGTTCTTGTGGTGATCATGTGTGTCGCATAGATTTTCATTTTTGCTATTGAAGATTGGACGAAAAAATAAATTAGGTAAATAAGCTAAAAATAAAACAAAGGTTCTTCCATGTGTACATTCTCGAAAAGAGAACTATTTGACAGTTATTAAACATAAAATAAAAATAATTCGAAAAGCAAAGTTATGAAGTAATTACTTAAAGTTTGAAGTAATTAATAATTGATGGGTGGCAAGTTGGAATGTAAAACAAGTGGGGAGCAGGTTTTTGCTTTTCAGTTTTCCCCCTATGGGTAAAAATAATAAATAAAAACCAAAACTTAATTATTTTTGTTTGTTCTATTGTAGTTTTTTCTTTTGGTCAGCGATTGTCCTAATAGAAATGGAAGACAATGTGTGTCCCACTTAGCCTCGTGGAGATGTGACTACTCTTCGAGAAACATTTGTGTTTCCATTTTTGTTTGTTAACGAACATTTGGGTTTCCTTGCTAAAATCATTTAGGTATAAAAGTGTCAAAACGGATTAATATACCGTAGCACAGTGAGCTACATATAGTTTTTGAAACTGTTAGTAGATTGGTCTATAAGAAATAGGTCCATGTGTTTGAACTTATGACAGATACCTGACAAAAGTAAACTGTTAGATCTGGTAATAAACCAAAAAGCAGCTAATTAAAAAGTTATAACAGTTTGAATGATAAATGCTATTTTGAATATTATTTTTCAAAAACATTATTGACAAATACGCAAAGTGAAGAATGGAAAACAAGTGGTGGACGAGTGGCTTCCCTCCACTTGGGTTTTGTCCTAAAACTCCCACTTGAGAGGGCAAAGAAGCATATGTCACTCCCACTTTAATTACATACTTTGACTTCAACTAATACACTTTTTAAATGTTGCTCTAAATTAACCATTAATATATTTTACTCAGCTCTTACGTTTGGCTATAAAAATATAGTTTCTCTCAACCAACTTAACCTGTTAACAGTTATGTTACAAAAATAATGCTTTCACGATCACAAACTTATTTTGATCTCTGGTTAGAAATGTATATAGAGTAAATAAAAAGCTTAGTCTTCACCATTTATAAAAATCAAATCGCATATAAAAGTCGTTCTACTAACCACTTATGGATCTTACATTCTTACCTGTCAAGTGTCAAACTCTTTAGATAATAGAGATGTGGTTTTGTGAGGTTGAGGTTATTTTGTTTCTTTCTTGTGTTTTGGTTAAGATGATTATAATTTTGTTTTTTGCAACTTACATGTACGAAGAAGCAAAATGCAACGCGTACGCAGTTTTTTGCTCTTCTCCTACACAATCTTTTATACATTAATACCATCTTGTAACTATTTATTTGCCTCTGTAAGTGATTTGAATTCCTTTTTTGGCAAAAAGACACACATCCAATGAAAAATGGAGACAGTGGGTTAATATGATTAAGAAAATTGAGAGGAACAACCAACTTTGACATAACATGTACGGGAGAAGATTCCGATTATATAATATGACAAGGGAATCTCTCTCTGATATGGTTTAAAATGTGTACACGACAAATTAGCAATAAAGTTTTGATATAAAAGAAAACCTTACATGATTATTGGTCGAATAACCTTTTCCAAGTTGTGATAGTTTAGGTAAAGAGTTGCCACTTTTGCTGTCTTGTCACTCACAAAATTAATATATTTGCTGACAACATTGGTTGGTAGGTAAACCTCCAGATGATTAACCTTCATAATGTTTTTATGGACGGATAAACTGTAAACCGTAATTCTTACTATAACTAACATAGAATAAGGAAACGGATACATCACTAATCGGACCACAACTCATAATAATATACAATATCCTATAAAGTTTTCCTTCATATGTAAACAAAGTTCTAGCCATCATGAAAATTATTTTTTCCTAAACACGGATCCAAGATTTTGTAAACTACACCCAAAGCTCATCATTGGACTCGTAAGCGAATATTATATTACACATTGTACTGTTAACTATTTAAAAATTGGCTTATTGTGATGAGCTTACAAACATAAGACATAAGATAAGAGCCTATTACGAACACACACACCAACAACAACACATAGAGGCTACCAAAATAAAAGCTTTTAATCGGAGAGTTTTAGGGATTAACTAATTAATCAACGGCGATCGATTTAAGGAGTTTCATGCATTCCTATATATATTCAGATCATCATCCTAAAAATTGAGACTGTTCAGTAGTTAATTTTCTAGCTGAGAGATTGATCACATTTATGTTGAAAATGTTGTTGATGAAATGGGAGACTCGGACTCAGAGATTAATATTAAGGAAGCAACAACTTCTCATATAGTCTCTGACATAAAGACCAGTAAGAGATGAATCAAAATGTTTTGTATCTCGTTGGTAACCAGTAAGAGATGCAGGAGAGTAGTGGTTGAATAATATTGTTTTTCATGTTTACATTTTGATGTGATTCAACAACTAAGATTGGTTTTAATTCACAGTGTGATGATTGTTTGTGTGCATTTAGTGTTGAAAACAACATGATCCAGTAGTTCAATAATACCGTTTTTCATGTTTACATTTTGATGTGATTCAAAACTAAGTTTGCTTTTAATTCATAATTTGATGTTTGTTTCTATGCATATGTTTGGTTTTAGCTCTTTTGGATCTGATTCTGATCTCAACCCCAGTTAGAGGAAATTAAGGCTTTGTTGAATAATAAGCTATTCAAAAATTTGTGTGATTTTTGTGCACACATCCTAAATGGGAAAAATCACCTATTTTTATTTGCTAGTATAGAATAAAGAAAATAAGTAAAGGCTTTGTTCAAGACTAAGCTACAAGATCTAATGTTTGAGAATTATATTTAATCAGATTTTTTAATTTTAATTTATATATAGTAAATATATATATTTTGGTAAAGTAGAAAAAAGAATATTATGATTTATTTGGATTATTAGTTAGAGTAATGTGTCTTTCAAAAGTGATGTTCTTATTGCTCTATTTTAGACTTTGAATTACTCTGTTTTGGATTCCAAGAGATTATTGGGTACTAGTACTCCTGACATCAATTGTCACCATCGCTTACTTTTTCTTCTTGTACTTTCATTGCATATGAATCTCCTTGATCAATATCTCCAACTTTTCTTGCCATATGATCCTCACCAAATTCTGTTTTTCCCCTCTGCATTTCAACATAAAGAAATTCAGATTCTTGATTAATTTGAACTTATTTATGTTTACTTGATTCTCTTAGGTAATTTTATACATTGATATAGTAGTACTGATTCTCTTAGGTAATTTTATACATTGATATAGTAGTACTGGTTTTTATTTCCGCTATCACATTCTCTACACAACATTATACATAGTACTGGTTTTTCAACATCTCATGCCTCAGGAATGTATATATATATATATATATATATATATATATAAAATGAATCTTATAGCTAATTGTATAAAATAAAAAAATGAATCTTATAGCTAATCTATGTTCAAAATCTCGCTTCTCGCTTACCGTTCGGTCAGGTAGCGATAACCGCAAAAATTCGGGGATTAACCAGGGTAAAATTTTAGGTTTATTTTGATATATTTTAAATATTATAATTATATAAAACATTAATAATACAAAAGATAATACAAAACTCTTAATTTTTTTTGATTTTTCTCAATTTACAAACATTTCTAATACAAAAAAAATAATAGTTTCACCCACAAATATTACAAAAAAATATTATCTTGATCATATTAAAACATACAAAAATATATAAAAGATGGTAATAGATAATGTGGGTTCAATTTATAAAAATATGGGCCTCAATATCAAATTCAAAAAATCTGGCCCAAACGATTTTACAATTTCTCGGACATTTATCGGAATTTTGTGGTTAAACCGATCAAATCACGGTTGATCGATTTTTGACACTGATTTTACCGTATCGCTACGGTTCCCTCCCGACATAGGATAAACCTGAGGTTTATCGTCACTTATCGCCGATATTTTCTTTATTCTAATAGTTGAAGCTGCTCTTCTCTGACATGTACCAGCTCACCCTTCGTGCTTTGTTTAGTACTAGACACATAATCTTTAGTTTAACAGTCTTCTTTATTTTTGTAAAAATCGAATTGGGACATCGATACACTAAAAGGAGCATTAGACATCTTCTTAATATAAAATCAATTATATGGTTTTAAAGGACCGGACGTTAATATATTGTAAGCATACGATTGTAGTATAATTCTGATATTTGCTACGCAACGTATAATCGTCTAGGACTCATGAATTGTATCTTTCGTCTCGTTTTAAAATCGCAGCGTCAGCATCCTACGACTAAAATATAAGCTACTTGCAACCCAAACATGCGGAGAGTAATAGCGGCAACATCGTTAAACAAGTCGCAGCGACCATATTAGTTGCCGCCGGTAGCCGGAAATCCCGATGCTGCGTCACGTTTTTCAATCTGGACAGTATTTGTGTTACTCTGTTGATGTTTAATTTTGAGTCGCCGAAAGTGAACGCGCGACATCGTAACGAACATGGCTGAAGCAACAGCTTCTCATATAGTCTCTGACATAAAGACCAGTAAGAGATGGATCAAGATGTTTTGTATCTCGTTGGTAACACGTGGTTCTTGCTGTTTTAAGCATTGCCATATTTCTTAATCCATCTAGTTTAGTTTCCTCCTCATACGCCATGTGCAAGAAATTAAAACCACATAAACTCATTTAAAAGGTCCAAGTTTGCAATGCTTACAAATTCTAGTAATGTTTTAAGAGTTTTTGGTGAGACGAGTGTTAAACAATGTTCTAGTGAGAAGAAGAATAAACTTCTTCAAAGTACCTTTAAGGTAAACAAATATCATTCATTCTATACAAAAAAATGAAAGTTCTAACAAATCGGTTCCATTTATTGGATTCACTAATTACCGACTAATTTTATAGCTTAAAAATGAATATAATTATACATCTCCAAAAGGCTTCTTTATTTGTCACGCTTAACCCTAAATAGCTTCACCGTGATTTTTTTTTTCCCTGTTGAGCTTCGCCGTCTGTTATTCGTCGTTACTCCATCTGCGACGCGTTCTCTCTCTCTCTCTCTTTCTGGGTAAGCTTCTTTGATTTTCCTCTTAAGCAATTGTGTCTCATCTCAAATTGATAAACCTAAATGTTCCCATTCAATTGTAGAAACATCCGCTTAGATTAGTGGAGATCTATTCATTATTCGTCAGGAATCTAATTGCTGCTTCGATTTGATCGTTTGTGATGCAGAAACCCTAATTTCTCCATCCCTGTGCAGTCGCAGAGCTTCCACACTCTCATCACCAGCTCAAATCCGGAAGCAATTTCGAAATTCCAAGTGGAAGAAAGCTATGAGCAACTAACTGAGTGTAAATCGTAAGATCCACCACCGACATCAGATCTTCTCTCCGAATCCAATCCAAAATGTCGATCGATGAAGAGAACGGAACTCCAATCGAACCTTCAAACGCTCCTGAAACCACCGCCAAAGAGACTTGGTCCAGTCTATTGCTCCGTCAAGCTTCCGTCTACGGCGTCGCTGCCGGTTACTGCATCTCAGCTTCTCTCCTCTCGATCATCAACAAATGGGCGATCATGAAATTCCCTTACCCAGGCGCGTTAACCGCGATGCAGTACTTCACGAGCGCCGCCGGCGTCTTGCTCTGCGCTCAGACGAAGCTAATCGAGCACGATCCACTCAATCTCGCAACCATGTGGAGGTTCCTCCCCGCGGCGATGATATTCTACTTGTCCCTCTTCACCAACAGCGAGCTCCTCCTCCACGCCAACGTCGACACGTTCATCGTCTTCCGCTCCGCAGTCCCGATCTTCGTCGCGATCGGGGAAACGATCTTCCTCCACCAGCCGTGGCCGTCGATGAAAACCTGGGGATCTCTGGCTACAATCTTCGGTGGAAGCCTGCTTTACGTTTTCACTGATTATCAGTTCACGATCGCTGCTTATAGCTGGGCTCTTGCGTATCTCGTGAGCATGACGATTGATTTCGTTTACATCAAGCATGTGGTGATGACGATTGGGTTGAACACATGGGGGCTTGTGCTCTACAATAACCTTGAGGCTCTGCTTTTGTTTCCTCTTGAGCTGCTTATAATGGGAGAGTTGAAGAAGATCAAGCATGAGATCACTGACGAGACTGATTGGTACTCGTTTCAGGTGCTTTTACCTGTTGGTTTGTCGTGTTTGTTTGGGTTGGCGATATCGTTCTTTGGGTTCTCGTGCCGCCGGGCGATTTCGGCGACGGGGTTTACGGTTCTTGGGATTGTGAACAAGCTGTTGACTGTTGTGATCAATTTGATTGTTTGGGATAAGCATTCGACGTTCGTTGGCACTTTGGGGCTTTTGATTTGTATGTTTGGTGGTGTCATGTATCAGCAGAGTACTGTTAAGAAACCGCAAGAAGAGAAACCGGAAGAGGAAGATGAGGAGGAGCAAGAGAAGCTGCTAGAGATGCAGGAGAGTAAGAGTGTTGATGTAAAGGAAGCTCTGAATGCAGAAGGTGGTAAATAGATTCCTCGGCCTCTTCTCTCTGTCTCTTGCTTGACATGTTGATTCTTGAAGTGGGCATTGAGTTTCTTCGGTAGTGATACGTTTTTGATTCGAGTAAAAGAAGGATATTGTTGTAGTTAGTGGTTATGCGATTCTTTTTGTAATTAGGAGGTAAGAGTATTGCGTTATTCGTTGGTTAAATGAGACGAACCTGATCCAGTAGTTGAATAATATCGTTTTTCATGTGATTCGAAAACTAAGATGAGGTTTTAATTCACACTGTGATGATCGTTTGTGTGCATTAGTTCGATCTATTAGTGTAAAAACAACATTTTGATTCGTTCACTTTAAGTTGAGAACTATTTTCAGGTAAAAGTAATCGAAGATTCAAAAGTATTTGCGTTTTGGACTAGATCTAATCTTTGCTAAGTTAAGTTTAAAGATATAAGACGAGTAATGTCTGATTTTGATTCCAGAAATGAAAAAAAATATATCGTCAACAGCAGGGTTCGAACCTGCGCGGGCGAAGCCCAATAGATTTCAAGTCTATCTCCTTAACCACTCGGACATATTGACTCATTGTGTTTCTATTGAAAACATTACTTATTGTTGAATAGACCTGAGCTAGTAGTTCAATAATACCGTTTTTCATGTTTACATTTTGATGTGATTCAAAACTAATTGCTTTTAATTCATAGTTTGATGTTTGTATGCATATGTTCTTATCTCGACCCCAGTTAAAGGAAATTAAGGCATTGGTTAATAATAATCTATTCAAAAATTGGTGTGATTTTTGGGCACACATCCTAAATGGGAAAAATCACCAATTTTTATTTGCTAGTATAGAATAAAGAAAATAAATTAAAGGCTTTGTTAAAGAAAAAGTTCCAAGATATAAGGTTTGAGAATTATCTTTAATCAGAGTTTTTAATTTGAATTTATATATAGTAAATAGATATATTTTGGTAAAGTGGAAAAAAGAAGATTATGATTTATTTGGATTATTAGTTAGAATAATGTTTCTTTCAAAAGTGACGTTCTTGGGATATTGACAACATCTTTATAAAATTAGCACATGAGAAGTTTTATCCCATATTTGAGGAGAATCTCAATATTATTCATCTTCACTTAAACGTAATCCAAAATGTAAGTACCTTTGCATGTCTGAAGGCCTTGTACTTCTTATCACACTCTCTTTTCACTTTTCCATCCTTTTTCTGGAATCCATGAGAACAGCGGATGATCTCTTGATCAGAATCTGAGCGCTGCTAAGACCATTAAGAACAAAAAGAGATGATTAATCAACGGTTAGAGCCCAACAAAAAGTGATTTAATCAATCACGGAGAAACTTGAGACTCGTTTCCTCATAGATTCATTAAACATCAACTTGAAAGAATGTCCATCATTCTCCAAAAACGAGCTCCAAATATTTGGGAGTAGAAATCAGTAGCATGTGATTAAAGTGTTTGACAATTTCTCAAAAATCAGCCATATAACTTCCCAAATGGGTTCTCATTTCCTTTAATCTCACATGAATTCTCTATTATCAAATCATTAACTTCATTGTTGCTTACCAGTAAACAGATATGTTAAAGGAATTAAAGGTTTGTTGAATAATAGGCTATTCAAAAATTTGTATGATTTTCGTCCACTGACTCAAAATGGGAAAAGCCACCAATTTTATTTGCTAGTATAGAATGAAGAAAATAAAGGTTTTGTTAAAGAATGTGTCTTTTAAAATTGATGTTCTTGTGATATCGACAACATCTCTATAAAATTAGCACATGAGAAGTTTTATCCCATCTTTGAAGAGAATCTTCTCACTAGTGTCAAGAACAATTGTAAGTTGGATAGAAAACAGTGTTTTTGTCGTCTTTGAACCTTCTTCTAAAGAAAAGAGACTCACTAGTCATTTGTGAATATATGATGGTTTAGAGTGTAACATGATATGCTCTCTGAGTTTTTTTGAGTTAAGTAACCGATGACTTGATTCTTTTGTGTAACAGATTATACAAGTTCAATAAAATTAGAAGAAGTTTTTTTTTAATCAAGGTTATTGCTCAATGATCACAACGTTAAATGCTTCATTAAAGTTGCAAGTCCTATTAAGGATGACAATTAATTAGCCTTCATACAAGTGCCTATGGCGCAATAGTTTATCAAAAAATACACAACCATTTACTCTATTAACTTAAACTATGAACAATGGAACCAGAGAAGACGCCGTTGAACAAGGACACTATATTACACATAACGAAGCTATCAAAGTTTCTACCCAGGGGGATTGTTCTGATGCATATTTGTAGCCTGAATGTTGTGGAACTCAGTTGAGATCACGTTTTGGAACATTCCCGGTGGCATCGTGTTGTGATACTGCCCCTCCGTTACCGCCTGCAACAACGGTCTTGCACCAGTCTGTAAATGGAAAACGATCATCACAACCTTGTCTTTAACCATATGAATTAGATTACATTTGGGACGAGAGAGATGAAATTACACGTACCATATGTTGAAATCCTTCATGGCTTCCCTCACCAATGATTCCAGACTGAGCCAAATGCTGCTGCATAAACGAATAAATGACAATGAATTAGAGCCAATCATGAATGAAGTTATCATCATAAAGGGTAAAAGAAAAACCTAACAGACCTTTGCCTTTTTAGATGTATTGTTAAAGCCAATTCTCTTCTCCCTTCTGGTATCAGCTTGCCCTAGATTACCATCTGCATGTATGTGAGACTCGGCTCCAATCTGCTTCGATGTGGATCCATATTGACTTTCTTCTTGAATTGCAGCTTCTTCAAACCGATTGGGATGTTCAACGGCAGTACTCTTAACAGCACACTGTTTAAAAGCTTCTTTCATCGCAGACATGGCGATATCATAACTCTCTTGAGAAAGAGAACCTTCTTCTCCCAATATAACAGCTCGCCGGCAAAGATCATTGAGACGCCGGATATTACACTGCACAACCTCAAGGTCTCCGCTGATCCGATGCTTGTTTCTAGCCGCGTTCGTCCATCTCTGCAACACGTAGTTAACCGGAATGGTGAAAACACCAGACATTTGCAGAACAACGATCGCGTGCCTACAGAGATAACCCTTGTACTCAAACGAACGGCAAGAACAGTAAATATCAGACTTTGTCTCATCCCAATCCACCAAATACTTCTGATCGTCTTCAAAGTCTTTAACACTGTAACTTATCCCTCCCTCGCTCTCCTTCGTAAGATGACAAGCAGCAGCACCAAGAATCTCTACTTGGAACTTCTTAAATATCTCATGAGTGTATACAAGCAACATCTGCTTCTCAAAAGGAGACGGAGATTTCAGCTCAGGCGCTTCATGCCAAGCATCGAAATCAGCTTTCGCTTCCTCTTCGTACCTATCTTCTAACATCACCCCATACCCTTCTAAAAACTCCTTAAGCGAAGTCTCACCTTGAACATACCTATCAAACAGAGAACTCACACTCTCCGAACGGTAACGCGTTGATAAACCTGCAAATGTCTTTCCCCTCATAAACGCAGGCGCCCAAAACTTACGCTCCTCATACAAACTCCTCATCCACTGAACATCTCTAAGATGAAACCTTTCTATCAATTTCATCCACCTCCTGTCGAACTCCTCCTCTGACCATGACCTGTATATACATTTGAGAAACTTCTTCAAGAAAGTGTCCTGCCACATGCTCCAATAGTCAAGATTCCGAGGAAGCCGTTCAAGAACATGCCACAAGCAGTAGCAATGGCGAGTCTCCGGTAAGACCGCCGCGACTGCTGCTTTTAAAGCATTGTTCTGATCGGTGAGCATTGCTTTCGGCGTTGAGCCACCCATCGCCAGCAACCAGGACTGGATCAGCCAGACGTAAGTATAAACCGTTTCATCTGCAATCAATCCACATCCAAGCAACAGAGGTTGTACATGATGATTGACTCCAACGAAGAGCACAATCGGAATCTTGTATTTACTCACCATGTAACTCGTCTCGAGAGAAACCACATCGCTGAAGCTTCTGTAATCTTCAATCCCTTTCGCATCAACCCAGAAGACGTTTCTCAGAAGATGATCTTCGCTGAAATCAACGGCGTAGAAGAATTTCGGATTCTCTTCCTGCATCCGCGCGAGAAACTCAAGCAGGATCTGAGCATCGTCGGTGCTAATCACCAGACGCCGTCCTTTATCGTGCTGATTCCTCATGTAACCGTCGAGAAAATCGAGGTCGTGGTAAGCGCTGAGATGTTTACAAGCAGCGGCCAACGGATTGTTCTTCTTCCTCCTGCTGAGACGCGAATCGGATTTCGCCGGTGGCTCCGTGTTGTTGTTTCGATGGCTCCGGAAGAAATGAGCTTGCTCCGGTAAAAGCTCGTGATTGTGCTCTTTGACGAAGCTGTAAACGTACCATTTCCCGTCTGGTCTTCGCTTGACGTGCATACTCGCTTTGCAGCCGATTTTAGGGGAAGCTCTAGGGTTGATTGCGTCGTCGGATTGCTGTTTGTTTCCGTAGCGTATGCAGGAGAATTTTGCGTCGATGAATTCTTTCGAAGCTCTCGATCTCCGGCTGCTCAATTTCGCGGTTCCGAATCCGACTGATTTCGCGTAGTCTTTGTAAAACGAATACGCATCTTCGTGAGTTTCGAACTCCATTGGAGAGAGAGACCTCCAAGCTCGAATCAACAGCGAAATTCGATACAGAATCGGTGACTACAACACGAGAAACAGATTGACTAACATAGATCGAGAATCAAAGAATCGTTTTATCTTCACCAGACTGGATTTTAGAAAGATCCGAAGAAACTCACATCACTGATTACAAATTTACGATGAAGACAGTGAGTTTGGGCCGTATTGGGCTTCTTTTTGTTTTCTCAGGGTTTTAAATTGGCTTTTGGTTTGTTGATTTCGGTTTGTTTTGATAACCGGATTCTAATCATTGCTGTGAACAGTAGTAAATGTACATTGAGATTTGACTTGTGTGAATTGAGATTTTGACTTGTGTGAAGTGAAAAAGTAAGAAGAAAGAAAAAGGAAAAGCAAAAAAGTGAAAGCCGCTAAGCTATGTTTTTATAAATAAATCATAAATTTCATAATTTGATTTTATTTTGTCGGCAATTTGATTAGAAACTAAATAAAATGAGGGTATTTAACTATTTATTCATTATGATGACCATTTAATTATTTTTGTTTTAACATTCGATGAGTTTTAAATGCGGTTAAGGAAAATGAAATTAAGAAAGCGGTTGGTGGTCGGCGACATTGAAAATACAATGGACCATTGGACCGTTGGGTTCGCGTGGCAAGAGTAGTAATAATACTCCAAATAAGGAAGAAAATAAACCAAAGGATTTGAAAAACGCACATGTCTGTGTTAATAAATATAGCCGTTGGGTTCATGTTTCTAAAAGAAGTCGAGCTTTTTTCTCCATCAGGGTTTTGTTGAGGCTGCAATCCAACGGCTCATATTAACTAGCCGTTAATTTCTTTTACCAAAAAGAAAAATATTTTTGTGTTTGCGGACATATATCCGCTCTTCGCGTCTTCAAAAAATCTTTTATTAATCTCTGCATTCCTTTTTTTTCTTCGATTTTGTTTCCATTCTGAGAGAAAGAAGATAAAGAAGGAACTCTTGAGAGGTCGATTCTCTGCTGTGTTATGGAATTTAACTGCTGACAGAGAGAGAGAGAGACGATTCGATCGGTTTTTCAGGGATTGTTGAAAGCGTAAAGGTACAAAATTTCATCTGGGTTTTTAGAGATTGCGTCTTGTTCTTGATTCGGGTCTTTTCAAAATTGTCGAATTCGATCAAAAGACACGATTTTTAATTGAGATTTTACTTGGGTTTTTCTCCATCAGATACGGAGTAAGAAGAATGGGTGGATCAGACGAGAACAGACACGGTGTTATTGGACCTATGAATCTACAAGGTTTGTTTAATCGGAATCGAACAATAATCCCCTGTTTAATCGATCCATCTTTTGATTTACTGAAAACGATTTTGCCAATTTTTCGTAAAAGGTGGTCTACGTGGAGGACAGACAAGAAGAGCACTGAGTACCATAAACAAGAACATCATCGGAGCTCCGGTTTATCCTTGTGCTGTCAACAAGAGACCATTCACTGAGTAAGTTTTTTTCAAAAAACTTCTTCTTTTGAATGAGTATTGTATATGTATCCACAGAGATCCCAAAGAACCAATTTGTTTTTGTCTGGTTTTGTTTATGTTTTCAGGAGAAATGGGATGTGTAACAAGATTCCACCTGTTCCTGTGCATCGACCAATCACTCGGTCAGTAAATAGATTAACCCAATTGACTCTTTAGTGCTTTTATGCTTCAGTGTGACAATTGTATGATGAGTTTTGTTTGTTCTTGATTTGTTTTTTTCAGGAAGTTTGCTGCTCAATTAGCTGAGAACAATCCCCAAATCCAAAAGAAGGTACTTTTTTACATTGACAAGTATTGAATTTGGTGTTTGAATATATGACATAGTTTAGGTCTTAATCCTCAACTGGTTTATGTCTTAGGAAACCAAGAAATCAGACTCGATTTCTTCGAACGAACCATTAGATAGAATCATAACAGATGTGGAAGAACAGGAAGAAGATGGAGACTTTAACGAGCCGATGTTTGTTCAACACACTGAAGCCATGCTTGAAGAGATTGACCGAATGGTAACAACAGTAGAAAAAAAAACCTTCTTTTTTTTCTAATGAAAACGCCATGAGTTTTACTAAAAATGATTTCTTTTTGTAACAGGAGGGGATTGAAATGGAAGATTCGAATGATTTCAATGAAGAGCAAGAGTCTGTGAAGGATATAGACAGCTGCGACAAGAAGAATCCTCTGCAAGTAGTCGAATACATTGATGACATATACAACTTCTACAAGAAAAATGAGGTACCTTTACTTGTTCTGTTTCTGTATCAGTGATCATCATTCTAATTTCAAGATGTTTGTTACTAATTGTGAAACCAATTCGATTGTTTTGTGCAGTGTCGTAGCTGCGTCCCGGTTAATTACATGGAGAATCAACCTGATATTAACGAGAGGATGAGAGGAATCTTAGTTGATTGGTTAATTGAGGTAAACAGAGTTTGCTCTGTTTTGCTCTGTTTTTGTTTGTTAGAGATAGTTTTAGCAAATTTTCACCATTGTTTTGACTGTGAATGTTTTTTGTGTAGGTGCATTACAAGTTTGAGCTGATGGAGGAGACGCTTTACCTCACAATCAATCTCATCGACAGATTTCTCTCTGTTCACCATCAAATCGCAAGGAAAAAGCTTCAGCTTGTTGGTGTGACAGCTATGTTGCTTGCTTGCAAATACGAAGAAGTCTCTGTTCCTGTTGTTGATGATCTTATCCTCATCTCTGACAAAGCCTACACTAGGAGAGAAGTTCTTGACATGGTAAATCTTAAAGCTTTTTCACTAGGTACATAGATGATGTCAAATCATTGTGTTGATGTGTTTGTTTGCTTGCAGGAGAAGTTAATGGCGAATACTCTGCAATTCAACTTCTGTCTCCCAACTCCGTATGTGTTCATGAGGAGGTTTCTCAAAGCTGCACAGTCTGACAAAAAGGTTTGTGGTCATGTCTTCTTCTCTCTTATATGTAAAGAATCAACCAATCAAACAGAATCATAACGTTTGAGAATGTTTTGTGTGTTTTCAGCTTGAGCTTCTATCGTTCTTCATGATAGAGCTTTGCTTGGTGGAGTACGAGATGCTTCAGTACGCTCCTTCTCAGTTAGCTGCTTCAGCGATCTACACTGCTCAATCTACACTCAAAGGATTCGAAGAATGGAACAAGACCTGCGAGTTTCACACAGGCTACGCTGAAGAAAAGCTTCGGTAAGAACAGAAAATTTTGAAGCTTTTATATGGATATGATTTGAAGATGTAAATCGTCACAGGCTGAAATTGTTTTTTTTTTTTTTTTGATGGTTAATTTTCACAGGGAATGTTCGAGAAAGATGGTTGCTTTCCATCACAAGGCAGGGACAGGGAAGCTAACCGGTGTTCACAGGAAATACAACACGTCCAGATTCGGTTATGCTGCTAGGACCGAAGCAGCTGGGTTTCTTCTGCTGTAAACCAACCGGTTTAGGTCACTCGGAATCTACGATGACTGAAGAAAGAGCAACATTAGTTGCATAAAATTTGGAAATTGATGAACACTCTGTTCATTTGTTTGTTTTCGAAACATCTGTTTTAACATTTTCACTCTCGTTTAATAAAAATGCATTACGTACTTGGGAAGTTAGCTTCTTACAACAATCCAGAAAACGACACTTTAGGGTTCTTGATTTCATCATTTATCTTTCCTCTCTTCTCGTCAGGGATAAATATATGGTTGACGACTTGACGTTGACTTGCGTCAATCCAAGACGCGAAGACAGTTTGGTCTTGGTTGACTGGTCTTTTGCTCTGTTTTTGTTGTTATTTTCTCTATTTTTTCTCAAGTCTTTTGGTGTTTGGGACGTTTCGTTTGGATTTCTTTGATAATGAATTATGAAAACTACCCTTAATGGAAAATAAGTGGCTCTCGAAAAGATTTTAGAAAATAAAAAATTCGGTGGCCTAAATCCATTGCCTACTCCACTTGTCTTCCAGGACTGGCTGAGTAAGATAAGATGATGAGTGTGTGTGTGTGTATATAATGGCAAATCATCTCTCCCAAATACATATGAAATCAAAGAAATCAAAATAATTTACCAAAAAAAAGAAAAGAAAAAAATGAAGGGAAGAAGATGTGTTTATTTGGCAATAGTGTTGCTGCTACTGCTTTTATCATCACCTCTTGAGACATTGCAAGTCTCGACTTTCCCAACTGGTCTGTCTAATTATCTTGTTTTCTAGCTTCTCTAATAGGTTTCTCATTGTTGTAACTTCTCCGTCCTCACACACACACACACAAAAAAGAAGAAAAGAAAAAGGGTTTAGGTTATATTCTGAAAGTTTTTTGTAATTTAAAGGTGTCATCGTCCAAACAAGTAGCTATCTTTTTTTTCATCCGATGATAAAATAGTTTAAAAGGATAGCGTCTTGATAAAGATTCTCATCGAAAAACAAAGACTTCAATCTACACAGGTGGAAGATGCAGAAGACGTAGAGTGCAATCTTTACATTCGGAATTTTCACGGGTGCGTCCACAAGACAGCGGTTCAGATAGCAATGCAGACAGCAGCTGTTCGCCGCCGGATGGTCAGTGGAAGACTAAGACATAATTTAAAAAAAAAAAGAAGCTTCGCATTATCCGTCTTCATCACTCGTCAGTCACACTGTACCACTAAGAACATCATGAATTATAAATAAATAAAAATATATACTGTACTTTAAGTGTAATACTTTCGTTTTCATTGTAGAGTCAATTCGAATTTCGAGTAAACATCGACAGATTCATCAGATGATCTCATATATATGTATGTCCAATTTCTAGACCTGAAAACGCCCATCACTGTTGGCATAGTGCTTTGTCCATCTTGATATAGAGAACAGTGAGTCAGTGACCATATATTTCACATTTGCAACCCAAAAAAAAAACAATGGCCATATCGACAAAAAAAATGAAAAAAAAAAAAACAATGACAATATCATTTACATGTTGCTGTTTCAACAAACCACCCAAAATCACGAATGAACTTATATTCGAAAACTGAAAAATCCAATAAAACAAAACAATTTGAATAATGATTTTTATTTTGGAAATATCTGTAACAATGAAATTGACTCTAATCGTCTACTACCATTGACGTCGATGTATTTGATAAGTATAATCTCTCATATCAATGGTAAGTCTAATCTCAATGGCGGAGCCAGCTTATTAGGAGGAGGTGAGTCATTTGACCCATGTCAACTTTTATTTTTTAAAATGCTATAAAATTAGTTTATTGACACATGTAGTATATGTGGATAGTTTGTGGATAGTAACTAAATCTCATCCATCTTATCCCAGTTTCTCTTATTATTATTATTCAATACATTCCATATTATGTTTACTATTTACAGTCGTTTACCATTGTAAGATTAAAAACAGATAAAAAAATGAGAGGTGGTGTAAAGATAAGGGTTTTCCAATAAGCAACTTTTAAAAACTTATGAAAGAATATGGAAACACTTGTCTTTTTTTTGTGAATGTGTCAAAAAGAGATTGTTATTCAAAATTTAACATTTAATTAGATCAAATCTAGAAAATGAGATTCTCTTTAAATTTAACATTTTGGTGTTCAGATTCAGTTAACTAAAATCCACTTGTGATAATTTCACTCAGATTCTCTAACTAGACGTGGTCTAGCTTCTTCATAGATTCTCATTTCATTGGAAGTCAAACGTTACAGAAAGAAAAAAACAAACCTATAAATACAAGCTAATACCATAAGCTGGCTAATCCACTTTTCTAAGATTTTACGAAGCTAAGCAAGTAAACAACCATAGAGAACACATGGAAGGAACAATCCGGTGCCCGGCCAACTACGTCCCGCTTACTCCGATCAGCTTCCTCAACAGAGCCGCCTTAGTCTTTGGCCACAGAACCTCCGTCATCTATGGTGATATTCAGTACACGTGGCAGCAGACTCGTGACCGTTGCGTCCGCCTCGCCTCTTCTCTCTCCGACATCGGTCTCTCCCGCCACGACGTGGTTAGTTTAGTTGTGTAACGATTTATTTTAGTCATCAAACAATAACATTATTAAAAAAATAAAAATATTAGGTAGCTGCATTGGGACCAAACGTTCCTGCGATATGTGAGCTGCATTTCGGAGCTCCGATGGCTGGAGCCGTACTTTGCGTGTTGAACACGCATTACGATCCTCAGATGCTTGCGATGGCGCTAGAGAAAACCAAACCAAAAGTCTTCTTCGTCGACTCTGAATTCATCTCCCTAGCTGAAGAATCTCTCAACCTCCTCACCGAGGAACAACGTCCTCTCATCATCACAATCACAGAAAATCCAACCGAGAAATCAAACTACATGCAGTACGAAGATTTTCTCTCCTCCGGAAACCCTAACTTCGAACCGAAACGACCTCTCGACGAATGCGATCCAATCGCGCTCAACTTCACGTCGGGAACAACATCGACCCCCAAATGCGTCGTCTATAGCCACCGCGGCGCGTATCTCAACGCAACCGCTGTTGGTGTTATCAACGAGATGAGACCAATGCCGGTTTATCTATGGACAGTTCCGATGTATCATTGTAGCGGTTGGTGTTCTGTTTGGACAGTCGCGGCTTTTGGTGGAGTCAACGTCTGTCTAAGGGAAGTCAACGACAAAGTTATATTTGATAGTGTCGTGAAGCACAAGGTAACTGATTTTGGTGGCTCGCCTGCGCTTCTCAACATGATCGCCAATGCACGAGACTTGGTCAAGAAGTCTTTCCCGTGGACCGTTCAGGTTATGACCGGCGGTTCCCCGCCGCCTCCTGAGGTAAACCTTGTTTTAAATTTTAATACTTATTCGGTTTTGGATTGTATATGATGTTAATATACTTGGACGAACAGATTATTTCGAGACTCGGGAAACTAGGGTTTAGGGTGATGACAGCTTTCGGGAGCACAGAAGTGTATGGAGCAGGAGCAGCATGTTTATGGATGCCTGAATGGGAGACTCTACCTGAGGAAGAGAGTTTGAGGCTCAAGGCAAGACACGTCAACCATTTTGCTATGGAAGCCGTGGATGTGATGGACCCAAACACCATGAAACCGGTTCCACACGATGGAAAGACGATCGGGGAGATTGTTCTTAAAGGAAACACCGTCATGAGCGGTTACTTCAGTGACAAGGAAGCCACGGAGGCGGCTTTTAAAGGCGGATGGTTTTGGAGTCGCGACATGGCTGTCATAGATCCTGATGGGTAAGTAAAATGAATCATATTCATGGGTCATGGCTTTGAGTTTTGAATATATATAACTCTTAGATTTCTAATGATTATATAAATGTTTTCTTCCTCCTGATAGGTACATACATGTGAAAGATAGGTCACAAGATGTAATAATATGCGGCGGAGAAATCGTGGGGTCTACGGAGATCGAAGGGCTTCTGTATAGTCACCCGGCGGTTTATGAAGCAGCGGTGGTTGGACGACCGGACGAAGCTTTAGGAGAGTCGGTGTGTGCTTTCGTGAAGCTCAAGGAAGGAGCTGAAGCGAAAGAGGGAGAGATCATTGAGTTTTGTGAGAGAAAGCTTGGGAACAAGAACAAGAAGATGGTTCCAAAGACAGTTGTCTTCTCGGATCTTCCTAAGACTTCTACTGGGAAGACTCAGAAGAATGTTCTGAAAATGATGGCTAAGAATATGGGCCATGTGCCTATGTTCAGTAGCAAGCAGTGAAGTGATGATTTATCAATCCAAAATTCCAAACTAATTGCCTTTGTGAGACAATATCAGTACGAGAATGGGTAAATTTGGCATGTACTATTCTCTTGTTATTATTTTTAACAGAAAAATATGATATTGCTTTTATATATAGTTTGATAGTTTCATTGTAGCCTACTAATCTTATCAGTACATGTGTTTTGTTGATTTACGACAATGTTTCAAAACAAATAATATGTATGATGATGAATAAAAATGTTAGAAACTTAGAAATATCTTTCACAAGTTTTGCTAACTTTATTCATATTGTGAAAAAAGTGAATGAGCTTTATATCTTTTCTTCCATGGCTCTCTGTTGACTTGCTCCTTGGGCAGCTATTAAACTAAACCAAACCAGATCAAAATTAAACCGGAGAGAAATTGGAAATGCTCTCAATCAGAAAATCAATGGAGAATAATAGTAAATGGGCCAACTTTGAAGAAGACGGCCCAATAACTGTTCTTCCACATCATCAGGTTCCGATAAACCTGAAACGAGTAATTTGATTCCGTTTGTTTTCTTCCGGCAAGCTTTCTCTTACATCATTTACATGTTCGCAGCCTCTCGTGCAGATTGCTGAAACCCAGAGAGCGAGATCGATACATAAACTCAAATGAGATTCGGTCAATCAAAGAGTATAGCTTTGTGAAGTAAAGTTTCTCCCTTTTCGTGTGTTTCCGTCGATCTCCAGAAAATGAGATTGATAAATCTAATCGCTCCCGTTTCTATCGTAGTCGTGTGATACAATCGTAGAAGCCCAGATTTTGGTACGGACCTCGTAATCGAGCTCTGGAAGCGCAATGTACAGAGCTCTGTAAGTTATTTGGCGATTGATGCCTTTTTTTCCGATTTTCAATTACTTCAATGAATGTTAATGGAGTTTCTTCTTGTTTGTACAATGAAGGCGGCTTTCTCCATTGCGATTTATCGTGAGCTCAAAGTTGACGCCAACCGTATCTCGGGTTAGTTATCTGTTTCTTCTACCAATTTCTTCGTTGTTTGAAAAAAAAAAATTGCAACTTGATTACTGGGTTTTGACTTTAGGGACGAGGACGAAGTGGAATCGATGATAATAGTGCTGCTTGTTCTTGCTCTCGTAGTGTTACCACATTGATTGGTATATGTATGATTTATCCTCTTTTTTTTTTTATATTTCATAACTTAATTGGATTCTTAAAGACGAGATTTTTGTAACTTGAGCATACATGCGCAGGTAATGAATTCATTCGATGCCAAGATGAGTCGTCGTCCACTAGGAAGATCTTCATACCAAAAAAAACTAGGAAGATCTTACAGGTGCAGATTGTTGATGCACTTCGTTCAGGAGAAAGGCATGGAGCGTCGTCTCTGCTTTTGAAGTTTGTACACGGAAAATATTCACTTCGTGCGTTCGATTTTCATGGCATTCTCGAGTATTGTGCACGATCACCTGATCCTGTGGTAAGTTGGATGATTAAAACTATGTTGGCACCGGTTTTTAAGAAGTATGTTGCATGTTTATCTGACCTCAAGGCAGTAACTTCTTATTGTAGTTTGTCATGGAGACTTATACTGTAATGTGCAAGAAGAAAATCAATCTGGACAGCAGATCTTTGCTGTTCATAGTACAAGCTCTTTGTAATGGTGGACATTTGGATAAGGTATAAACATTCCAATCAAATTTGTTTCCGTTGATAATATTGTAGCTCATTTTTGTTGTCTAATTATCTCGCCGGATGTAATTGTTTAGGCGTCAGAGTTTATTTACGCTCTTGGAGAAAATGATAGTATCTCTCCACTTTTACCGGTCTATAACTTTTTTCTTGGAGCCTGTGTAAAAACGAGAAGTTGGAATTACGCTGGTAAATGTTTGGAATGGATGGATCAACGGAGAGTGGGGAAGAATGAAATCACATACGCAGAACTTCTCAAGGTTAGTTCATGGCCTTTTGTATTTCAAGATCTTACTTATCTTTGTTAACTGATTAATGTTATTTTTCAGCTTGCAGTTTTCCAGCGCAATCTGTCGTCTGTTTATGAGATACTGAAGCACTATGTCGACAACTATAGTCTGAACATACTCTCTCTCAGGAAATTCATATGGTCCTTTACGAGGCTGGGGGATTTGAAATCAGCGTATGAGTTATTGCAACACATGGTGGCTCTAGCTTCAAGAGGAGAGAAAGTTGTTTCAAAACTGGATATTCCTATACCGTCAACTGGCCAGACGGCGGTATCAGAGAAAGTTGCTTTTGGAGCAAATGATCATGGAAACAACACTGTGGAGTGCAAATCGTCTGATGCACGGAGCAAGAAAAGTAAGTCTTCCAAAGTGGCTTTACCGAAAGGTCGCAACAAAGTTCCTGCAACTAGGGTCCTCAGGTGGTCGTTCAATGATGTGATTCATGCATGTGGACAGTCTAAAAACTCTGAGCTGGCGGAGCAGCTAATGCTGCAGGTATTTTCTACTATTCTTGCTGGGCTGTAGAATTCTGTTATAATATCTTCCGGTACTGCTTTAGTGGTGTTTCTGACTTTCTTCTTCTCTGCACTAACAGATGCAAAACCTTGGGTTGCGACCATCAAGCCACACATATGATGGCTTCATTAGAGCTGTCGCATTTCCAGGAGGATACGAACATGGCGTGGCACTGGTAAGAGTTTATGTACTCTACAAGGCCATCTCTTTCATAATTTGTTTCTTTTATGTAGTTCAGATTTGTAATAACTATAGATTTCTTATCTCTTCGCAGTTGAAAGTAATGCAGCAGCAAAATCTGAAACCATATGATTCAACTCTTGCTACGGTTTCAGCCTATTGCAGTAGAGCCTTTCAAGTTGATTTAGCTGAACATCTGCTGGATCAAATATCTGAATGCCCTTACACATATCCTTTTAATAACCTTCTCGCTGCGTATGACTCCTTGGTAAGTTATCTTGATTCTACATGTGGCTGTCATGTTTCATATTGTTCATAATTTAGTTCTGTTAATCTACGCAAAGCCACTATGAGGTTCAGTTTCTGACTAATGTTTTGTAGGATCAACCAGAGCGAGCCGTCCGAGTTTTGGCTAGAATGAAGCAGCTAAAACTGCGTCCGGATATGAGGACGTACGAGCTGCTCTTTTCATTATTTGGTAATGTGAATGCACCATATGAAGAGGGCAACATGCTGTCCCAAGTAGAATGTTGCAAAAGGATTAACGCCATAGAAGTAGACATGGTCAAAAATGGTTTTCAGCACAGTCCTACCTCGAGGAAGAATGTGGTTAGTTTCTGCTCTTTATAGATACTTCTTGATCTGTTTGAAGCAGAAGAATCAGATGTGCTTCGTTATTGCGTGTGTGTGTTATCATTTCAGAACAATAAAATGATTGTTTGCCATTTCCATTTACTTTCTCCAGCTGAGAGCACTCGGAGCTGAAGGTATGGTGAATGAGATGATCCGACACCTGCAAAGAGCTGAGAATATGCATGTAGAAACAGCTACATACAACATAGTGCTTCATTCACTTCTTGAGGCAAATGAAGTAAGTTTTCATCCGTCTAATAGCTCGTTTAAAGTTTTCATTGCATATAGTGCTATAAATTGACCGTTATTCATAATTGACATGCAGACTAACATGGTGATCAAAATATTCAAACGTATGAAAGCATGTGGCTACCCTGCAGACGCTGCTACCTACAATATCATGATTGATTGTTGCAAGCTTATTCACTCTTATGAATTAGCTTGTGCTCTAGTTTCTATGATGATCCGTGACGGGTTTCTTCCAAAAGCGCTTACGTTTACTGCTCTGATGAAGGTACTAACAGATTTATCTGATTACAAGTTTAAAAAGTTTGCTGCCATCATTTTTCAAGAACTTGCTACAAGTATCTGTTATGTTAACCAAAGCTTTGTATTTCCTTTTAGATTTTGTTGAACGATGGGAACTTCGAGGAGGCACTCAATCTCTTGGACCAAGCTGCACTGCAAGAGATACACCTCGATCTCTTATCATACAACATCATTCTGCGTAAAGCATTTGAGAAGGTATTTGTCGTCTAAAAGTAATGAAAGCGAATAAAACTGCTTAAGCTCACACATGACTTTGTCTGCAGGGAGTGATTGATGTGATTGAGTACATAGTGGAGCAAATGCACAGAGAGAAAGTGAGTCCAGATCCTACAACATGCCATTATGTTTTCAGTTGTTATGTGGAAAACGGGTATCATGCAACAGCAATAGAGGCGTTGAATGTTCTGAGCCTAAGAATGCTCAGCGAAGAAGACAAAGAGAGTCTTCAGGAGAGGAAAGCAGAGCTTGAGGAAAAATATGTCATGAGTGAAGACCCTGAAGCAGAAACAAAGATAATAGAGCTGTTCAGAGACTCTGAGGAGAATCTTGCTGCTGCACTGTTGAATCTAAGATGGTGCTCGATGCTCGGGGTTCGGATTATATGGTCGGAAGACCAAAGCTCTTGGGCTAGAGAACTCTCCAACAAGTATGGTTAAAACTTAAAAGGTAGAATGTCAAATTGTTTTACATTGTTACTGAGAAGAAGAGCGGTATAGTTTTTGTAAAAGTATTTTTGTTTTTAGTTGTAAAATCATATTTTACTGTTTTTTTCACGAATATAATCTGCAGAAAGATTTCAAACTGGCACCAATTGATCTTTGTGATCCTAAATTGTGCTTTTCTTAATAAAAAGCAACTTTTTAAAGAAAACTTTTGACTAACTTGAGATTATATGCGTGTTGTTGTTGTATCATAAAGTTTAAAGAGTTTTAGATCTATAACTAGAGTAATTGTGAATTGCAAGTGGATGCTTTTGTTGTTTCTTTATTGTATTTGTAGCATTTGATTTAGTGTTTTGTTCCTCGTTTAGATGTAAAACGGTCTGACTGTGTAACAAACAGTTTTCAGTTGCCCAACTAATTATTTAGCTAGATGATCTCTTTTGCCTCAGTGTGTGTAAAATAAGTAATTTACTGTGAAAACATAAAGGACAAATGAAAAACGACAGAAACAAACGTAATAATGTTACAAGTTGCTCCTGTTTGCTTTGTTTTTGCTCCACCAGTACAAAAGTACAAAACCTTTACCATATACATACGTGACATGACCAATCCTTCGTTGTTGGTTAAACGATCACAGACCATTTATTTCTGTGTAGAAATACCAATCCAGAGTTTACCAACCATTATATTCATGTTGTACTTGTACAACGCAAGCAGACAAAAAGGTATAAAAGTTTTTACTCTTTAACCAAAATGGTATAAAAGTTTCACTCATTAGCAAAACACTTGTACATAGAATACTGTCAAAAAGAAGCAAATAGTACTACATAATCGGTTAAAACTTAAAAGTAACTAAAACAATGGAAATACGATTCCCACAAACAAAAGAAAATTATGAACTCAATTTTGGTCTAATACTATTATTTAGTAAAAGGTTGCCATCTACATCTTACACACTCACATTACCAAATTTGAATCCAAATTACGATACACTGACATCAACAGTATAAAGTGAAATCACTATGTTCAGTGAATCAATATAAACTTGTTTAATAGTGAAATGACTGTGTTCAGTGAATCAATATAAACTCGTTTAATCAAAAATTTCAGTGAATTATAAATTAGAAAAAGCTACACATTTATAAAAAAAAAATTGTCAAGTAATTCATTTAAATCTTAATTGTTTTTTAAAAAGATGTAAGACAGAACTGTATTAAGAAGAAGTACCCGAAAACAAAACTCGATTTCTCTCTTTCTGATTATTTGTTTGTTTGAAGAAAAAAGGAAACTTTAGAATCGAGAGGATATTGTTGTTGTTGTTCTCGCTCGTGATCCAAAGCATGCTTTTCTGATTCTGCAAACCTAACATTCAAAAACATGTTTTGATTGATTCCACTCTCTCTTCTTCTCTTCTCTATCTCTCTCACTCTCTGGCGCAGAGCGGCGAGGTAGTTGCGCGACGGCCGCCATGACTTACCATCAGCGGCGGCGCTACCCTTACTACAACCGTATCCGCCGTCTCCTCCCTCTCGTTTTCGCCGTCTCCTTAGCTCTCCTCGTCCTCTTCGCTTTCCTCTCCTTCCTCGCTCCTCCTCCTGGCGATTCCGATCGCCTTCCCTCACGCTTCCGCCACACATCCGTACTCACTCTCTCCCTCTCTCTCTCTCTCTCTCTCTCTCTCTCTCTCTCTCTCTCTCTCTCTCTTTCCTGGTAAAATCCATATCTACAGATTTTGATCCATCCTTTATTCGCTTTGCCAAAGCAGATTAACATTGGAGCCAATGATGCGATCAAATCAGCGAGTTTCCGAGTTCCGGTTAGTAGATTCGTCCTTCTCCAATTTTGAAGTTTTTCGTCCTGTTGTGAAAAAATGGCTGGATCTCTGATGTGTCTTCATCAATGGGTCGTTTTGGTTTTTGTGACCGACAGAGAGATGGAGGCAGATCGGATCGCGATATTTGGCGTTCCCGAAACGCTGAATTCTTTTACGGTTGCAGCAATGCCAGTAGCAAGTTCTCAAGTGCGTATTAACACTTTCTTTTAATCCTCAAATCGATTCACTTGTTGGGTCATTAGTAGTAAGTAGTAACATTGATCTTAAGAAAAGTAGGAAACTTTTGCTTAGTTGAAAAAAAAGGAAACTTTGATAATTTGGAAACAGCATTAGTAGTAGTAATGTTATCAAAATCAGGAATTGAGATTGGTGACACAAAAACTTGAATTTTCTTTCTTTGTTTGCAGATGCGAAAGCAGTGACGAGAAGTGATCGGTACTTGGCAATAGCCACCAGTGGTGGTTTAAACCAACAACGCACTGGAGTAAGTTATTTGACCTTCTTTGGTTTTTGGTTTTATCTCCATGGATTATCACATAGGAGCAATGTTCCTCGGCTACTCCTAATTCTCTCTGTTTGGATCTACTTCTTATACAAATGCATTCTTGTACAGATTGTAGATGCAGTTGTTGCGGCGAGAATTCTAAATGCTACTCTTGTTGTTCCAAAGTTAGACCAGAAGTCTTACTGGAAAGATGCCAGGTTCGTTACATAATCTTTTCTCAGAAACGGAAAGAAAATGTTTTTTAATTTTTTAGTAACCTTGCGTGTGTTTTTGTGGCAGTGACTTCTCGCATATTTTCGATGTGGATTGGTTTATGTCGTTTCTATCGGAAGACGTTAGGATTATAAAGCAACTTCCACAGAAAGGAGGGAAACCATGGAGTCCAAGCAGGATGCGTGTACCGAGGAAATGTAACGAGAGATGCTACATTAACCGGGTCTTACCTGTTCTTCACAAAAGGCATGTAAGTTTCCTTCTTCTCTAAACCTTTAGCATATTGCTAACATGTTCATGTTTGTTTAAGCATTTTTGTACCCCATTGTGGTTGCCTTTTTGGATAAGCATGATCTCGCTATAGGCTTATATCAGTTTTGATCTGTGTTATATGCTTCAGGCAGTTCAACTGAACAAATTTGACTATAGACTTTCAAACAAGTTGAGTGATGACTTGCAAAAGCTAAGATGTAGAGTAAACTACCATGCTCTGAAGTTCACTGATCCTATACTTACAATGGGTAATGAATTGGTCCGGCGCATGCGGTTGAGGAGCAACCACTTCATCGCTTTACATCTAAGGTAGCACAAATCGTTATGATTATTCTACTTTTCCATGTTGCAGCTAGAGTGTGTGTCTTGACGGAAGCGATGATGAAATTTGTTGCAGGTTTGAGCCTGATATGCTTGCATTCTCTGGGTGCTACTACGGTGGTGGTGACAAGGAAAGAAGAGAACTTGCAGCAATAAGAAGGAGATGGAAAACATTACATGTAACGTTCTTAGAGATTAGATGCTACTTTACATGCTACTTCATTGTATATGAACAAGCTACTAATGACTAGTTTTGCAACTTTGTTGCAGATTAACAATCCTGATAAACAGAGGAGACAAGGAAGATGTCCGCTGACTCCAGAAGAAGTCGGACTGATGCTTAGAGCTTTGGGATACGGAAGTGATGTTCATATATACGTCGCGTCTGGTGAAGTATATGGAGGAGAAGAGTCCTTAGCTCCTCTGAAAGCACTCTTCCCACATTTCTATTCAAAAGACACTATAGCTACTAAAGAAGAGTTAGAACCTTTTTCTTCATTCTCTTCTCGAATGGCTGCTCTCGACTTCCTCGTTTGTGACGAAAGCGACGTTTTTGTCACCAACAACAATGGCAACATGGCAAAGATATTAGCTGGGAGAAGGTACTGCAACATCATCATTCTTCTTCTTCAATTTTCCTATTCGTCTCTTAGATGGAAGTGCAAAGGTTTAAGCTTTTTTAGATTTGTTTGCAAAGGTGTAAGCTTTTGGTTATATGAAATTTTGCAGGAGATACTTTGGACATAAACCGACGGTTAGGCCAAATGCGAAGAAGCTTTACAGATTATTCATGAACAAAGAGAACACTACTTGGGAGGAGTTTACTTCAAGAGTCCGTTCGTTTCAGAGAGGTTTCATGGGAGAGCCAAAAGAAGTAAGAGCCGGTAGAGGTGAGTTTCACGAGAACCCATCTACGTGCATATGTGAAGATACAGAGGCCAAAGCAAAGGCGCAAATAGAATCTAGAAAACTTGGAAAGAAGAACAAATCGATGAGTAAAGACACAGTGACCAATGATGATCAAAGCGAAGAGGATGAGCCAGATTGGTCGGAGCCTGACTATGAAGAAGAACAGAGTGATCTTCAGGACAGAGGATTGTACAACGGGACGAGTTTAGATTACGATGATCCATCTACCTCCGATGAGCCTGAGCTTGAAGAAATGCTATCAGACTAATCATTACACTGAATCTCTCCTCTGCTTGAATGTCTCTACTGTACATAGAAACTGTCATCGACGATAGAGCCGTTTCCTTTGTTTCTCAGGATCCAGAGGAAAGAGCCATTTTTGTTTTCAGTTATATTTTAGCAATATTCAGAATCAGGGCTTGACCAGAGAGATGTAGCTAGAGAAAGGCATATGTAGCATTATGACAAAGATTTCATCCGAATATTTTCTCTATATAAACTGAATTATAGCAACCTCAAGTCTCTCTCTAGCTTCATTTACTTTGTAAGAGTATTATTTTCACTCGTGACTTGAGTGATAAAGATGAACATAATTCAAGAATTGTACAAGAATAGTGATTATTATGAAAACGTTCAAAATCTGTATCAAATTGGTAACATATGATAACGAAGCTTTCTCTGAAGCGCTTGCTTCTTTAAATGGGTTCGTGAACCTATCTTCGTGGCAGGAAAGGCTTGACGGATTCGATCACAACCTATCATAAGCAAACACCAAAATTTATCAGATGATTTCTACAACAAATGGTTTATTTCATAGTTCTTTAGGTTCTTGTTATAAGCAACGTTACTTACCCTCCCGTCATATGACAATGATGCAAAGATCCAAGGCTCACGCGAGCTCCAAGCAAGGCCTGCGACAGCAAATTATTTTAGTAATCTCATGTATTTTTCGTGGAAGAATTTGGGAATCTAAACTCGGTTTGGTCTTAAGAGCATTTACCATAGACACTGTCTTCGTAGTCAGTATAAGAATTTAGCAACGGGTTCACTCGCTGACGCGATGCTTCCAACGAGCTGCACAACAACATTGGGCCATTAGAAGTAAAGTTCCAAACAAAGTTTAAACAAGTGAGTGCTATGATAAAGAGAATTAACCTTTCTGAGGTTTTATTCTCACTAGATGCTGAAGCAAACCACAAGTTTACAGCCGAGTCTGTTCCAACGCTCTGTATTTGATTAATCATAATCAGAAACTGACTCTTAAGATATACATAGTGACATTACTTGTTTCTGAAACCATCAACAAGGATGAAGTAGGAGAAAATGAGTACCAGAATTAGCTCTTCATACTCAGGGTTACACCTCACAGCCCATGTCCTGCCAATTTTGTCAAAGCAATAGGTTTGTTTGTATGTGAAGCAGAACCATGGAAGGCAACAAAAATCCACAAATGCGCATGGATCTAAAGTTACCAGTGAGTATGACCAGGGAGTTCTTGGACAGGAACCTTGGCCTTCCTAAGATCCCATACATGTATCCCAGATTCATCATCTGCAGTGACCTACACAATAGACAAACATCTGATAACATTTTCTTTGTCACATTGCTGGAAAACCATTAAAGATATTTATTTATGGAGTGGAGTCTTACAAGTATGTTTTCTCTTTTGCTGTTGTAATCAACATTACGTACATGGGCTCGCTCAATTGAATTAACCTTCCTGTATACATCCAAACATAGCAAACTCAGCATAAAGGTATGTCATTTTGGATCACAAAAAGTAATAATGAGTAAATATGTTAACTTTCATGGGAACACAAGAGATAAACAAATGATGACATACTTCATAGTCCTTAAGTCCCAAAACTGGATAGATGATTCAGAAGTCGCTGCAACAGAATTCACATCATGTGGATTCCATGCTCCACCAGATAAAGAATGCCTCATACCAGCTGACTCCTTGGATATAACCTATCATTATCAAATAGCTATGAAGCGGAAAGTACCTCAAAAGCGGTGGAAAAATCATTTAAGAGAAATTTTTTCACTCCATTCTCAAAAGCTCAAATCACCTCAGCACTTTTCTTTGAACAGTCTAAGCTCCACAAGACGAGGTTTTGTTCGTCCAAGCTGACCAACTTGTCAGATTTTCCAGAGGGACACCAAAGAACACTGTTTCCACAAGAGCATAAAAAGAGTCTCAATGGCAAATAATAATAAGAAAATAGCTACAACCTCTAAGACTGCTGAAATTATATAAACCATGAACTCACCAATTAATCTTACCAACATGTGCATCAAGTGAAGCAACACACTCCAACGTTGAAGAATTCGATTGACCATACGGCTCAGGAATCTGCCATATTGCTGCTCCAAATGACTCGCCTTCAAATTGGAAACAACATTGTTATGCAAACAACCACTTAGTCGAAATTATACAAGACAGTTACTTTCCCGCGTTAACTATGTTTGTAGCTTCACAATCCAAATGAGAGTATGCTATTAAGTCTATATTGAACATCAAAATAGCAGTTTGAAATTGAGAATTACCAGTGGAGAAGACAGTAGAGAAAATGCGTTGATCGAATGGGGAAGAAGCAAGGTCCCAAATCTCATCAGGATGCGAAAACAAACCCTCGCAAACCAGCTCAGATCCACCCGGTGACAGACGAAGCAGATGAACCTAAAAATTTAACAATTCAGAAACGAGGATCGAACAGATCCGGAGAAACGGAAAAAAATGCAATCGGAGGATCAATCACCTCGTTTTCTTCTTTGAGGCTTAAGGTTCCAGTGAGGAAGCTGGTGTGATCTCTATCTGCTTTCACATCCGATATACATCTGGCCTGGAAAAAAAAACGACAGATTCCGCCATTGAAGAAGGTGTAAAATGGGAAGAAGATCTGACACTGAAGATGATTGTGAGCTACCTGATACTTCAAACCGTAGCCAATACCCGATGATCCTCCTTGCATTGTGACTACAGCCTTCACGAATCACGCATGAGCCAACGTACGGATTCAGGAAGGAGATCTTCCAACGATTTACCGCTCTCTGACTTTGCTAGTTTCGGGCAGATTATACTAGTGGGCCATTGTTAAGGCATTTAAGCCCATATAAATAAGCCCACTGTTAAGGCTTATCCAAATTGAGTTTTAATTTTATTTAAGACCATTATGAGGTCAACATTATGGACTACAAATTTAAACCAGAGGTGCTACAATTCCCAGAATCTAAAACAAGAGAAATGACTATTCCTTTTCTTTAGCATCGTAAAAACATTCAAAGATCTAACGATTAAGACCTTGAACACCTTGTACCTATTTATAATTTATCCCTTTGTTGTCTTTTTATTTAGACTATTTCTCATTTAGCATAATGTATAGTTGACACCGAATGTACGTAATGGTTTTGATAATTTTTGTTTCTCTCGAATACACATGTTGTTTTTTCGTCCACTTTTCTTCTCCTCTTGTTAAATAAAAATAAAAATAAAAATACTTTTTTTGCCTCCCAAACCACCTAATTTTTAACACCACATCTTTCAAGTATTAAATCCTTCAATATATTTGTGCCATCATCCCCTTTGACACTAACTCTATATGTATTTATTCAAACTGACAAAGGGGTTTGAAACTTGACCAAACGATTTAACTCTTGGAATGACAACGAAAAAAAAATTTAGTACAGTAATTAAAACGTCCATAAATCTCCATTAAGCTACCGAGGAAACGTGAGTAAAGAAAAAAAAAATGAGAGCACTTTCTTTGTAAGTAAGTAACGTAATTAATCCGTATAAAATTGAAATAATTGTCGGTTTTATATGACTAGATATTCATATTTCATACTAGAGAAATAAAATAAATAAAAGAGTAAAAAGGAAAAAAAAAAAAAAATCAATCCCACGCTGAAAGTTGATTTCACCTTCCACCATAACAAACTATTGCGCCTCCCCGAATCAGTTCGAAGTTTTGAAAAAAAGCAAAAAAAACAAAAAAAAAACACATAAATCTCTCTCGGCAAATCGACGGTGGTTGGACTTCTCAGATTAGGGCTGCGATCACTCACGTCGCCGTCATGTACGTTCCCAGAAGAGTCTCCGACGTCGATCGCCGTCTTCTCCTCCTCCTCGTAATCCCTTGCCTCTCTCTCCTCCTCTTGCTCTCCCTCTCCACCATCACCCTCGAACCCTTCCCAACTCTCGCGCCTCTACGTAACCTAATCTACACTCATACCCTAACCGCCACCACCGAAACCTCCGATTTCGCATCCGATTCGAAACCTAACGACGTAAATCCGCCGGACGAGATAGAGAATCGACGGCGGAGGAAGAAGGAGGAGTTAGTGAATTCGAAGATTGCGGTGTGTTTGGTGGGAGGAGCGAGACGGTTCGAGCTAACCGGACCGTCGATCATTGAGAAGATCCTGAGTGTTTATCCAAATGCTGATTTGTTTCTCAACAGTCCTCTCGATCAAAACTCGTTCAAGCTCCGTCTGCTTAAGGACGCACCAAGGCTCGCGTGGGTTCGTATCTTCGAGCCTAAACCGATCAACGAGACTGAACCGATGGTTCGAGTCCTTACACCCATGAATTCGCCTAATGGCATTAAGGTAAATTATCAATAACTTTCTTACCTTATTTAACGTTTTGATTAGATTTTTAATTAAACCTTAAAATATAAAAGGCTCAAAAATATTAAATGGAGAGGATGAGAAAGTAAGTCAAGAGAGGGTCAGTTTTAGTTGGAGGTGTTAATTAGGGTTGGTGTAACCGTTTCTTGATCCTTACGTTATTCGTGTGTGATGGAATTTTTGTTTGGTGGTGTGTTTGGTATTTGGTGTTCTCACATCATATCAACGAATACTGTTTTTTTTTTGTTTTAACGTTATTTTTGCAACGAAATGGTTTTATAAATGTCATTTCAAATGTTAATTGATGACACTTAAGTTGTGTGTCGTATTAATTAGCCTCTTTCTCGATTCAGTTTATGATTTATTGGTAATTGACTAATTGTCATTGTCTCGTATTAGCCTTGTAGTCTTGTAATCTTATTAGATCGAGAATTGAAATTGACTTCTTATCGTTTCGGGACCCACTCTCCCACATAAAGAAGATCTTGATTATTTTGACAGCTTGTGGTTTACATATATGGTTAGTAGAAAAAAGGTGTTTTGCTTTTTGGTATTTTTCCATATGTGGTAATAATTGTTTATGAAATGGTTAATGCGTGGTATGATGATGTTAATGTGTGGCGTCATCATGTCAATGCGGATTTTGGTAACTCTAAGCATGTATGTACATATACATTGGTTTAAACTTTGTTGCATATAAATATTTTTCACTTTAGCGTTTTATATATTGAACTACTTTTGCTTCAATCATTTCATCCCATATAAAAAATTACTGAAATGAATCGTATCATCCTTTTTCTGTTTATTTGATTTTTTTTTTTTGAACAATTTATTTATTTATTTGATTCTCTTGATTAATTTTTACTATATGTTACATTCGTTTACTTTTCATGTTATTCATTACCATGTTTTAAAAGAATTTTCAAAGAAAATGTTCTTATCTCTTCATGGTGCTAATGACAGGGATTGTTACAATATTTCAATCTCGTAGAAGGCTGCATCACGATGATAAAGGCATACCAAAACGAAAACAACTTCACATACGACTGGATAGTCCGGACCCGTGTAGACGGTTACTGGTCTGACCCGCTAGACCCGGAATATTTCAAACCGGGTCAGTACCTAGTCCCACCTGGATCCTCCTACGGTGGCCTCAACGACCGTTTCGGTGTCGGCGATCTCAACACCTCAACGGTGGCTCTCTCTCGCCTCTCTCTCATCCCGGACCTAGACTCGGCCGGGTTAACCCGTCTCAACTCCGAGTCCGCCTTTAAAGCTCAGCTCTCGACTCACCGTGTCCCTTACGTCACCAAACCTCTCCCTTTCTGCATCATGACCGATCGGACCTACGATTATCCTCCGGCTAGCTACGGAGTTCCCGTGGCTGCACTTTCGAGAAACGGACCGTTGAACGGTGCTAAGTGCCGTCCGTGTACGGCCGCGTGCAGCGGTTCTTGCGTGGCTGAAGTGATGGGAAAGCTGAATAAGGGATGGAGCTGGACGGAGTGGGAGAACGGAACGATGACGCTCTGCGACGCGCATGGAGAGTGGGAGGAAGGTTGGGAGAAGATATTTGACGGAGTCGCCGGTGAAAAACTCGCACGTGCGAGGGAACAAGCCGGAGGTTTGGATTCGATGAGATGTGTGAGAGAGTTTGAAGAGATGAGAGGGGTGACCGTTAAATGGGAAGCTCCCGCCTCCGAAGAGATTTGTAATTTGGGCATAAGGCCCAATTAGAGCAGATTGTGGTTTTAGGTCAACTTAATTCGCTAACAAATTTTCCCCTTTCTTTGTTGGAGAAGATAGATATTTCTGGTTATAAGATTACATCAAACCAAACTATAACATTGAGATTTGAGCTGGACCATGATCTTGCGAAAAAAAAAGAATTAAACTATAATATCTACGACATGGAAGAACTAACAAATGTATTCGGAAATTGAACCCGTTACAGGATTCGATGTTTTTAACATTGATTTAGTGTAGATTTTATACATCTTTTTACGCATCATTACATTACATGTACACACTCTTCAACTATAGTTCCCTAAATTTCTTGTGTGTATGGATTTGTAACATTGTAAGATAGTTGGAATCTTAGTGTAGCGGTTATACAACTATTATTTAACATGTTCACGTCATCACGTGACATTGCCAGATGGTTGGAATCTCGGCACATCACGCGAGGAAAGATACGAATATCTATATATCAACCTTGTGTTATTTTTCGACAAATGTTTTCAGTCGGCTAATTTCATGGAAAAGGAGAGGCTGTGAATTTCGTATCCCTATTATAATTGGCAAACTATACATCTCATCTATTTGATCAAAAAGAAAGAAAAACCCAAGAGCTTAATTTAGACAATGATCTTTCGAAAGTAAAAAACCTCCAATCATCCAATGTTTGAACAAGGATGATTTCGTTTCGATGGGCCTGCATATGTATAAGAATTGTCTCAAACAATATAATGAAAGACATGTTATAACCGTAAACTTCTTGCCTTCTTGGTATGAGTTGGTTTAAAAAATGATGTTTTTTTCCTTCTGAAAACAACTCATACATTAAGACAAGCAAATGCTATTGGTACATGCCTATACGGTACGCATGTATAATGTAGAAGAAAGCAGATCCCTTCTATGAAAACAAAATATATCTGAAATCAAATGAATTCACTCAAATCTTGTAAAACAAAACTACTACAACCATACATAAACAACAAAAAGAACTTCAATACCAAAAAAAAAAAAAAAAAAAGGTTGGATCGGATCGTCTAAAATACTTTATAGCATAAAAAACTAAGGGAGCTAAATCTTAACTGTAAAAGCAAACAAAAAAAAGTAAATTAAATTAAGCATATAATGACGTATCATAGTTCATAACATTATTACAACCACTAAGTTTTATGACATTTTACTTGGAGAAATCATATAGATGGATTCCCATCGATCTAAAACACTTAAATCGAGATATATCTTTACAATCCTATCACAGAGAGTCTGAGTGGCTCCTCACGTTTTTATCTGAAGTCAGTTGCAATTAAATCCAGATATCAAAGTCACATGCATAACAAAATCAAATTATGTTAGCGTTAAGTAAGGCCGTCATAATGTTTGTGGATCTACGCCGAAACACTCGTTTTTTAAGAAGTCCACACGCTTGCACAACCTAATTATCTATTGCTTAGTTTAAGTAAATTCTCGATTTAAGGGCTAGTTTAGATTATACAACTAATATCTCATTTTTCCGTGATCGTGGTTAGACAAAAATGAAGTGTCTTGAACAAGAAAAAACGTGATTTTGATCCTTTGATGCATACTTGGAGCTGCTCTTCTCTGACACGTACCAGCTCACCCCTCGTGCTTTGTTAATTACTAGACACATAATCCTTAGTTTAACAGTCTTCTTAATATAAAATCAATTATATGGTTTTAAAGGACCGGATCGGAGGTTAATATATATTGTAAACATACGATAATTCAGATATTTGCTCCACAATGTAATATCGTTTTTATTATGAGAGGACTCGTAAATTGTATCTCTAGTCTTATTTGTTCATCATTTTAAAAATCGATTTTAACAACCAAATCGCCAAATGAATATACAAAATGGATATGATTATACGTATACCCTCTATTCTCTTCATGCTATTCAATATAAATAATTCATGTTGATGATCGTTCATAAGCATGTGAGAAAAACTGTGTTGACGCGTTTAAGCACTTCCTACCAAATAAGTTTATGGAAGACTTCAAGTATGTTTATTTAAATAAAAATGATGTGATAATAATACGATAAACCGAGTGGGAATTACACAATCAGCAAGTGATGAGATCAGTTTTGGATTGGAGGGTTTAGCTTGGTTGGCCAACCCACGTGTGTCCCCTCTCCGCTTTAAATGGAACATTTGTTATGTCTCTTAACTCGTTAAACCTGACTAATCAATTCATCATTCACCATTCCACCTTACATATAAAAAAAAATCATACACTAGATAACTACATATCACTATATAGGAGCTTCTCCGAATTTATATATGCATGAGTTTGGCTCTAACTGAGATTTGTGTTTAAGAAAACGTAAATCGGATATATGTTGATTAAACGTTCAGGTAACTAAAACGTATAATGTGTGCATTTTAAGTTTTTAACCGAACTTAAAAAACAAAATATAGTTGGGGAAATAATAATAAGAAAGAAATTTATCCTCAAAAAGTATTGAAACTCTCGCACGTGCACATCATCTCAAACTCACAGAATGGGCCCCACAACTACACCATTCGCGCGTGTGTATATAAAACGGCTCCTTCTTCCTCTTCTTTCACCATTTCAAAAATCAAACCATATATCTCTCTCCTCTCTCTCTTCTCTCCATCTCTCTCAGAAATGGTCGTTGGCGTTTTCCGGCGATCTCTCTCTTTCCCGAACAAACCATCTCCGCCGTCGAAGCCACGTGTCTCTCACCACACTAGATCCATCAGTCTCCCTTGCCGATCCCATCCCTTAATCTCACACATCAACCACGAGATCTCCCAGCTCAAATCCTGGTCCTCCTTCGCCGGAGAAACCCAACGCCGCCGCACCACCGCCTGGATCACCGACGGACTCAGCCTCCTCAACGACGTCCAGGAAACGCTCGCCGATATTCTCCACCTCCCGCAATCTCAGGAATCTCTCCGTAACCGTCCTGTCTTCTTCGAGAATCTCCTAGAAGACCTTCTCCGTTTCGTCGACGCCTACGGAATCTTCCGCTCGTCGATCCTCATCCTCCGAGAGTACCAATCCGCCGCTCAGGTCGCTCTCCGGAAAAAAGACGACGAGAAAATCTCCTCCTACATAAAATCTCGCCGGTCTCTCGCGCGAGATATCGCCAAACTAACGTCGTCTATCCGCGAGCCGAAAACGAAGTATCAGCACTGCCACGTCGACATTGTGAACGGATCTTACGGTGACGCAGAGCTGTCGTCAGTTATAGGTGACGTCATCGAAGCGACTGTCTTGGTTACCGTCGCTCTTTTTAACGGCGTCTATTTGTCTCTCCGTTCCGCGAAAACGACGCCGTTTATTGGGTTTTTGAATAGATCCGAGAGAAAGGAGAAATGCGACGAAGGAATCTTGGAGTTGAAGCAAGTTGAGGACAAGAGCTTGATTGGATTGAGCAAGAAGAAAAACGAAGAAGTAAAGATTCTAACGAAGAAGATGATGGAGTTGGAGAATTCGATACGTGAAATCGAGTGTGGGAGCGAGAAAGTGTTTAGGGGTTTGATTACCACTCGTGTCTCACTGCTTAATGCCCTAACACATTAACTATTTACTACACTCGACCTTCTTCTTTCTCTGTTCTGTACGTTTTTGAACTATTATTTTTATTATTTTTGAGTTAAATACTTGGAAGAAAATAGAAAAACAAACAAATAAAACATACTTTACATTTCCTTGTATCTTTATAAATAGTTTGCATTTCCTTGTATCCTAAAGAAAAAAACTTAAGCCTTGAATAAACGATTTCTTTACAAATCACCAAACGGGTTAGCTACTTAGCTAGAAGAAGAAAAATAACAGAAAGAACAAAAAGATGTTGGCATAAATATTTGTTATCTCTCTAACTGGTGACGTTTTTGAAATTGATTACAATTCATTTATATCTTTCCATCGCAAATACAATCTAAACCTAGAACGTAACCAGCCCAAATTGTAAACTAATCGTTCTTTATTTTTTATGTACGTATATATCCAATTTTACTGCCTTTTTGTTGTTTTTGTGTTCTAAGTTCTAACTAAACAGACCCATTTTGTTTGATATCTGGTTAATTAGGTTACCAGAAACGTATATATGATAGATCATGTTATAATTATTTCAATACCTTTTTAAAAAAATGGTTACGCGTTAAGAACCAAGGTCCACTTATTTTCACAAGCCATACCATGGCCATGCATTATCATTATTTGGCAGACAACAAAACATCAAACATTAGTACACAAAACGGCATGCATGAACAAAGTCACCTGACACATATATTTGCCGGAAATAATTTAGAGGATAATAAATTATAGGTCATAAGAAGACATATATATAGCTTGTAACCATTTTCACGTCGATGGATTCGTTCTAGTATTTTGTGGCCTCTCATAAGTTTTAATTCGTGATAACCCAGAAAGCCACCACATGGTTGGTTAGGAAGATGCTTTCCAATTATCAACTTGATCTGATTCGGATTAGCACTTAATTATTTGGCTAACACCTTATTAAACGTGGGGTTTGCTGGAAACATAACGTAGTTTAGTGCTATTTATTTAAGATTTAATTGGCTGATTAATTATCGTAGTCTCCTTACTATCTTTCCTCTTTTAGCGGCGGTACGTGTTAGCGCTTAGCGGTCTTTGCCGGTTAGACCTATGAATTTAATAGCCGGACTACTATCACGAGATTCACGACACTAAACCGGTTAACTGTGGAGCTATAATTGGGTTGGTTGCTTTGAAATGCAACTTGCGCAATTATTTGTTCAAATAAATGCTTACTATAACAACGATGCAAATATTGACAACTCGGATTTGGTCATGACTTCAACCGAACTCCCAACAACGAAGATAAAACACAGATGGAAAAGGGGATATTGGTCTTCAATAGTTCAATTAATGATTAGTGTTTGATTGGTTTAGGACCCAATTCAAAGTTTAAAGCACTACGTATTTAGAGAAGATAATAATTAGATCATGAACTTTACATGTTCCTAATAATTAAAGACTTCCAATATCCTACCCAATTATTGTTCACTATTCGTTATACATCAATTATGTGTAGTTAGTTGGTTATTTCTTTTGTCAATATGTACATAGTTGGTTTTAGTTTAGATGTTAGGTTTTATCCTTGTATATCAAGTGACTGTCTTTTATTACGTCACAAATTCTTATTTCAAGCATGCTTTCATTGTTCAAGCATACTTGTGTATAGTTTTTTTTTCACATTATAGTTTAGTTCATAAATTGAACATGGATACAAATTACAGCTACATATCTATGTTGAGGAATGCATTTAACTTCGTGCCGAAAATGCCAAAAATTAAAACGGTGTAGCTTATTATTAGAGAGAAGAAAGCCAAAATACACCAAACCATGTGTACCAAAACTTTTTAAATTCTTTTTTCACAAATAACGGTTTGTTTCACGCTTCACAAACATGTCATTGTCACGCATGTTTTTAAGATTTTCAAACTGCACGCCGTTTCAGCTAAGGGTATTTAACAATGACGAATGACATGCACGTCAACTGTTGGGCCTTGTAAAGGTTCTCAAGAGCCCAATATGTATATCCCCACAATCAAGAGGAGTTGTCGTTGATGAGAAAAAAGGAAATCTCATTTATGTAGAGGAATCGTTGTCGCTGATGAGAACGAAAAAAGGAAAAAAAGAGGAATTTGTTGTCATTGATGAAAAAAAGGAAAAAATCTCATTTATCTGATTTACCCTCAAACGTGGTAAGTCGGCAATCTCAGGTCTATAAATAGAGACTGTAACCCTCACTATCTATCTCACTTTTGTTTCCTCAGCCACCTTTGAGAATTTCTTTCGCTTCGATTTCGATTTTTTTTACTTCGAACAAGGTTTCTGAAGCGCGATCTGAAACCCTAGAGTCGATTCGGTCAGAGAACTTGAAGATGGAAAAACAAATAGTGGAATCAAGAAAGGTGCAAGCGAAATATCACGAGAAGAAGGAGAAATCCATTAAGAAAGAGGAAGACTTCCCGAGCAAGCAAGTCTCGGAAGAATCTGAGAAGAGTTGTTTGACAGACGAAGAAGAACTAGAAGAAGGTGAAATTAGGTCTGATCAGAGCAGTAACAAGAGGAGAGGAGAAGCTACGACGACGATCGCTTGTGAATCAAGAAAGGTACAATCGAAATATCATGAGAAGAAGGAGAAATCGATTAATAAAAAGGATTACTTCTCGAGCAATCAAGTCTCGGAAGAATCTGAGAAGAGTTGTTTGACAGACAAAGAAGAAGAGCTAGAAGAAGGTGAAATTAGGTCTGATCACAACAGTAAGAAGAGGAGAAGAGAAGCTACGACGGCGATCGCTTGCGAATCAAAGAAGAGAACGAAGCTTAATCATAAGCCAAGCGAAGAATCTCGCTACGATGATACTACGTCGTTTGATGACTGGCTTTTTGGTACCATTAATCATCAGAAGAATGGGACTAGCTATAAGAAAGCAGCTGCGAAGATTGGTGAGGATGATAAAGACGTGATCAACACGAAATTGCAGAGATCATCAGGAGCTTTTGTCGCTTTTCCTAGGGCTCAATATTTGTCTCATGTGGGAATTTTTTCATTACCATACACAGTCATATTTTAGGTCTCCAATATTTGTTTTCTTTCTGTTCTCTTCGTTAACTCTTGAAAGGGAAGAAACAATATGTATGATTCAGTATTTGATATAAATAAGTATGTTTGAGTTAAAAAAAAAAAACTCTGCGTTAGCTTGTATACACTTGGGACGATCGTAACAATCACAATGTCATTGGGACTATAAAGATCTGTTTATAAGGATTGGAAAATACTGATGTTGTATATGCTCATGTTTCCATATGTGAGAGCCAATTGTAATATATTCATTTTTTTCTAATTGAAAATATTGATTTTGAGATTTTAAAAACAATTTTGGTGCTGCCCAGGATCGAACTGGAGACTTTTTGCGTGTAAGGCAAACGTGATAACCACTACACCACAGCACCTTATTGATTAATACATTCTTTGATATAATGCAGACATAAATAGAGTAACAATAGGATATTATGTAAGATAACGTTAGGAACATATATATCCAGGCTGTCACAGAGATCAACTTCGTCAATGATTTTGCTTATAGAAGTATCTTCCGTTCGTGCATATTCACAGCTTTCCCCAATCAGACAAATATAATATTGCATGTATTCGTGTGTATATATTATAGAAAAATGGTACTTGGACATTTCTTGATATATATGAAATCTCCAATGATGTATAAGCAGTCTCCAATGATGTATAAGCAATCTCCAATGGTTGCTGGGATTTGAAAACGACGTAGAAGCAAACAGTAGTTATTGTTTCTTGTTGGCTTCATACTTCCGCAGCTAAGCCGGAGGTTGCGGCACCTATAAGCAGTCTAGTAACTATTGCAAACTAAACCATGTCAAGATTTGTTGTTATTAGTAGTATTTTTTTACTCCAAATTTGTTTTGTTCTTCTTGGTTTAAATTCCAAACTCATGATGTTGTTTCAACGAATCAAGGGAATGAGAAAAAAGTTTGTAGGTAAGGATTCACAGAAATAGCTAGCTATAAATGAAATGAAGACTATGTATAACAAGTCATGACAAAATTATACTACTAGACTACTAGTTGATAATAATACAAAAAAACAGCAAATATCATTACGAAGATGAGTGTGTATATAAGTAAATGGATTTGTCATTTGCCTGTCGGAAGAAACTCAAATCAAAACAGCTAATTCCAGCCTGTGTTTATATTCGTCTCTATTGACTTACCTCTAGTGCACGACTATACACGAAACCACACATGCGTGTAGATTTAAAACTCACATAGACGTATTTATGAGAAAATTGAGCCTTTCTTGATTATTCTTTAGTTTCTTTATAGAGTGTTCTCATCCATGGCTGCTGCTACTTCATCATCATCTGGTGCACACGTGCGTTCAACAAGCTGGTACGAAGATGCTCATCCTCTGTCTCGAGCCATCGAAGATCATCTTCTGATGCTGACGCAAAGACCAGAGTCTTCTTGCTGTCGGAAACTCGAAGTTCTAAAGAATATGTTCGAGGTTGTCGAAGTTTTCCTCCGTTTTCAAACGGCTAAAACCAAAAAAGCTTTCACCGATTTGGAAGATGTTTCCGATGGGTTTCTCGAGGTTCTTGATATCTGCAGCACAATCAGAGACGTTTTGACGCAGATCAAAGAGCAAGTCAGAGAACTCGAGTTGAGTTTGAGGAGGAGATTGATCAAAACCAAATCTGGAGGAGATCATCAAGAGGCTTTCTTAGCGAGTGAGATCGACGCTTACGTGTTTAAGAGAAGAGCGTTGAGCAAAACGGTCGAGAAGCAGTTGAAGAAAACAGAGGAGAAGATGAAGAAGAAGAGGAAGAAGAAAGATTGTGGTGACGATACTAATGTGATGAAAAAGGTTAAAGAGACGAGCTTTAATGTTTTAGTTTCTTTGTTGGTCGAAGTAGTGACGATAAATGTGAGAGATCATAAGGAGAGATCGAGAAGTGGAGGTATAGGAACTCTGTCTAGGATGTTTAATAAGAAGAATCAAGAAGTTGTTGATGCAAGGGAGCTGAAGAAGTTGAGAGAGACAGAGCATAAGGTTGAAGAAACAGAGAGAGAGTTGGAGTGTGTGTATAAGAAGCTGTTGAAGACAAGAGTTTCTCTTCTTAACATGCTTACTCTTTGTTATTGAATACATGTACTTTTGGCCGTTTCAGAATTTGTGAATACTGAAAGTTCATATACACTTACAAATATTACATGAGATATACAATAACAAGCTTAATAATTTGAGCCTAATGGACTTATTAATTAGGCCCTAATGGACCTAGTAAACGGAGCTGATAATAATTGCAAAGAAAATGTCTGTCTATACATTATGCTGACAAAAAAGTATATAATGCTTAATGCATGATTGATAATTTGTTATAAGTCGCAGCTCTACCTTCCAAACGGAATATCGAATCATAAGATTTCTCCTCTAACAACAGAATAGTATTATGAGTGCATTTGGATCTAGTTATGTATAATTCTTATAGATTTTGAGGAGATATTAATTTGTTAAAAAATAACCTGAGATATTTTAATATCTTAAGACCATCTCCAACCCCTCATGCCATATGTTATTGCAAATGGCAAAAATATAGCAATAGCATTGGGTTTCTCTCCAACCCCTCATGCCATATATCATGCTATAATTTTTTTCCAACTTATTATTAATTGTTAAAACTACTTGATTTCTTCAAATTTTACAAAGTGAATCATTTGTTTTTCTTTTTTGCAAAAACAACCAGAATTATATATATATTTTTTTTATTATAATATTAAAACAAAATACATCATATTACATAAAAATTATAGAAAACAAAGATTTTAACCTATTGTTTTATGTTTTTTGAATTTCAGTATTTTTAAAAATAAAATTTTAAGTTTATTATGGTTATGTTTTTATATTTCTATGAAATAAATATTATTTATATTTTGAAAAAGTTATGAGTATTGTTTATTTATTTAAATAAATCATAATCAATATAATTAAACTGTTAAATTAAAAGTAATTACAAATTGAAGGACTATTTTATAAATAAAAAAGTTCAATGGCAAAATAGCATATTGCATAATCTCATGCCAAATATAGAAGCAAAAATAGCATGATGCTATTTTGCAATAGCATATGCAATTGGGTTGGAGCAAAAATTATGGCAAAATAGCATATATGTCATATTTAGCATGGGGTTGGAGATGCTCTAACAACAAAAAAAACTCTTAACAATCACAAAATCTAAATTATCTAATGTGGCAGTAGTTAGCATGTATGCATATATAGATCTAAGGTATATATTTCTTTTATTAGTTTACATATTTATCCTCGTCTATTTACTTGGCCTGAAGGTGTTAGTTTGGACACTTGGACTTGAAAATGTAATATCCAATAGTGATCTATGTGGTTTCATGGTTTAAACTTTAAAGTTCAAGCCAACCATTGTCCCATAATATAATTATATCAATTTGATTTTAAAACTTGATCATCATCACTGACAAACACGTAACACAATTTCAAAACCCTTTAAAAAAAAAAAAAAAAAAAAAAAAAAAAAAAAAAAAAAAAAAACACGTAACACAATATTTAAATTCTGACCTAAAGTTTGAAACATTTCTTCCATTTTAAATTCGTCTCTTCAATTCCCAACTAGTGTAATTGCCGGACACAGCCTGGCACCGTCGCGCTCGTGCATGCATGGTATGTAGTTAAACCTTATCACTTCAAGACTTCATCAAGTCTTCAACAGTAGTAAAACAAAAACATTAAAACTATATATTATAAATAGAAGATCTAAACAAATCCACAATGTATCCTATTCCTAATCCACGAGTGTCTCTTACGTGCATATAGAAGGTTCCTTGAGACATGGTTTGATTCATTTAACTCATTATTGTCTATAATACCTCCAAAAATGAGCTGTTCCCCAGATGTCCCACGTCCGTACAAAACCCCAAATTATGGATCCTTCGTTGTACTTTCTTCACTTCCCTCTCTATATAATCTCCATCTATACACACATCCATGATTATATCTCTATATACGTTATTCCTCGCTAAAAATTCTCAAAAATCCCTAAAAAACAAATCACAATATTTGATCAAACTACATTTTCCATTCATTTTGTTAGATTCATATAGCTAAAGATCTAGAAAATATTAAGATCTATATGGATCAGATTAACTTCGAGAGTTTGAGGGAGCTACACGACTGCGCAAACTATCTTCTTGATCACTGTCCGAAAACAAGAGAATCTCTGTCTCAACAAGGACAAGAGAAATGGACGGAACAAGTTTCAGAAGCTTCACTGAGGATGTTAGACATCTGTAACGTATCCAAAGATGTGATGACGCTAGTGAAACACAGCTTGCAAGATCTACAACTGACTCTACGTGGCAACGAATCATCAGATGTCAACGAGAAGATCGCTGCGTATTATCGGTTCAAGAACAAGCTCAAGAAGGAGACACTGAAATGCTTAAACTGTTTGAAGAACATGAAAGGAAGCAGCGGAGGAGGAGGAAGAGAGACGACGATGCCAATAGAACATAACCTTTTGTTTGTTGCAGAGGTTTTGAAGGAAGTGAGAGTAGCTGTTGTGAGCATGGTTGAGTCTTTGTTCTCGCTTGGTTGTATTCCTTGGCTAGAAAAGAGTTCGAACAAAGGATCATTGATGTCTTCGATCTTTACCATTCGGTCTTCTGATTGGTTAGATGATATATGGGATGAGACCGCCGTTCAGAGCGCGACTACGAGGTTGGAAGCGGCGGAGATTGCTATAGAGCAGCTTGAGATCGAGTTGGAATCTTTTTTCCGGCGACTTATTCACACACGAGTTTCACTTCTCAATATTCTTACCAGTTAGATTTATATCACTTTCCCGCTAGCTTTTAGTTTCAAGCGTACATGTTTGATTAACAATAATTAGTTTGTTCATTCTAAACAACAATTTTTTGGTATCCATTTAAGGCTTAAAGTCATTTGTTTATTTATTTACCTACGAATAATTTAAAAATATTCTTTACCTGAGATTGTTATATAATTTTATCAACTAGTTTATTAAGCTGTTAACATGGTTAGACTTATCATTCTTTTTGCCACCGATGGCTATGTAAAAATGATTTTAATTCAGAAAAATAATTCATTTTCTACTAAATAAGCTACAAGCATCACTTTTTCTATACTTAGATCAAACACCACGAATCTCGATATTGGTTTTTATTTCAAATTCATTTGTATAAAGCAAAACAACATCAGGCAAATGCAAACCAAATTGCAGCTTAAAACAGAAGTAGGAAGTCTTACAAAGTTGTGTACAATAACAATTCATTTTCTTCACAGTTCTCCTTATTAAAACATATAAAGCTGAAAAACAAAACAAAAAGATCCACTTTTTCGCCATGATCTTCAAACGTTCGATGAGACCTAACACCAAAACCCAAAACCAGATTAGTCTTAAGTGTTGTTCAAAAAAAAAAAAGATTTGTCTTAAGTAACTTTAGCAATGCTCTTATCAAGATTATAGCTTATTGTTTGGCTAACTACAAACTAACGATGTGTCTCTACAAAGAAAAATCGCATAATGTGAGCTACTACACTATTAATGAACTTTCTGAACAAAAACCCTCCATTGTCATTCACTCTGTACACAAAATATAAATCAAGAACAGCCTTAGAGCAGCTAATGATCCTCAAACCTTTCACCATATAAATATGAAATAAATCCTGAACAAAGCTACGAACGTTCTTCAAAACTAAATGAGATGAGATCTATCTAGCAAGTAACCCCTTAGTATCGCTAAGCAGCATTATGTGCGTTTAGCAGGGAAAATAAAGTTTTTTCTTCATCAATATGCGAACGTTTAAGAACTTTAACGATTCCATAAAAAGTGCTAATAGAGACATTACCTAGTGATGATCTCCGTGACCGTGATCACCATGGCCATCCCATGGGTGCCTCCATCCCTAGCAGTTGCCAAATAGTAAAATCACATTTAGCCATACTCAATGGAGTATACATGAAAACAATTCAACTAAAAAAGCTCGAAACTTTACAAAAAGTGAGGCAAAGATAAAAAAGGAAACGGAGTCTTACCATGACTACAGGTCCATCTTTCTTTGCCCTGTACAGAATCCAGAACCTGAGAACAACAACAACAAAATTGAGTTTTTAAGAGGTGATTGGTTCTTCAATCATTTTCATCGAATTGAAGCATAATCCAATTCAATTCAGCATCTACCCAATTGCCTCTTGACACTAATTCGACAAATCCATTAACAATTTGTGATTCACAATCTAGATACGGATTCGTCAGATGATCAATTAAGCGAAATCGGATTATGAGATCTAGCTTCGATCGAATTCGAAAAAGAGTAAAAACCCGAAGCTAAGTCCCAAAAGCAAAAGCGGAGGTGTGGAGGATAGAAATGTGTACCACATAACGGCGCACAATCCCTTTCCGGTGACGGTGTGCCACGTCTTGGGAGTGTGCACAGTGACTCCCTTGTAAGTTAGACCTCCGCCATGTCCTCCTCCGCCCATTCTCTCGAAACCCTAGATTCCGGCGTCGCACTTGCGATTTCAGACAGGAAAGCTTTTTCTCTTCTCTCCTCCGCTTTGACAAATGACAATCTCTCACCTGAGATTTGATTCAAGCGTGTGAGTTGTGTGAGTGACTTTCGTTACATATCTTTTGAAAAGGCCTCAATTAAACGGCATAGGCCCAATAAAAAGCCCATATCGTCAGAAGTTCCACTTCTCTGTTTTTATGTTCCAAAAATCGAAACTCATTTTTAGTTTTTTTTGTTGCTTAAAAATTTCATGATTGTTAGTGTTTCAAACTTTCAATCGGTTCTTCAGTTGGTATAATTATATGAATCGATTTTATATATCCCTGATATATTAAAAGAGAAAACACTAACTAAATAACCTTTGTCTAATGTGTTATTAACAAGAATGTCATTGCTTAGGTGTCATCACTAGGTTCACTCTTAGAGCAATTTCTAATTAAGACAAGCTTTACTAGACAAATTACAATATATGCCATTGCATATTATGCTTACAACCAAATAATGAAATTAAATTTATCATTCTCTTTCCTTAATTGGCAACTACGAAAATTAGTAAATAAGGAAGATATGAGATTCAATTTAATTCATCATAATAATTTCTTTTAAAATCAGTATACATCTTCTATCATCTTTGTTTAAATTTATTTAATAAAATAATTTGAATCACAATATAAAAAATCTATCAAAAAAAATCTAAAACTTTTTCTGTACATGTTATGATTTGAATTTTTAAAAACAAAATAATATAAATTGTTTCGTATATAACCTCATTTAGTAGGTATCCAAAGGTAATTTTTTTTTCATTTAATATGGTTTTTTAATTAAAATCTATAATAAATCGAATAAAAAAAGTTCTTTTTATAAATATTTTATTTTGATTAAACTTTTGAATATTACTCTATCTGTTTCAACTTTCTATACAAAATTAATTATATTTTTGCTGTTTTGACAATTTGGATTCTGCATATTATTTTCTGATTGGTTGGATTGTTTTGAAATTATAATAAAGCATGTTTTAGTTTTGAAAGAAAGAAAAAATTAGTTCTAATCCGTGTCCACACAGCTAAAACTTTTTATCTTATGAAATACATGATGTATAATTTTTCTAAAGAATAATGTTTTATTTTCAATTTTTTTTTTAAACTATCTTATTATATTATAGTTATTTGAGTTTTATGTATCTCGGTTAAATCTATCATATTTAATATGTGGTTACGATCAATGCTTTAATTTATTTCTTTTTTTAAAATGCCTAATTTCATACTATAAACGAATAACAAAGGTTAAAAATCTCTCGCATAAAATGTCGAAATATTTAAATATTTTTAATAAAAATACAAATTCAGAAACTATCACGGGTCAAACCCTAGTGCTTATTATATTACCAAATTGGACAATATAGTCAATATAATCTAAACAGAAGAAGTGTATCCATGTTTTTTAAGTTCTTGTAAATTTATAACCATCAAAAATAATAAATTTACAACTCTGAGGGACTTATTACAAGAACATATTAGTACATTCAAACGAGAAAAACCATTCTCGCAAAAAAGCAATCTATAACATCATATTTTCAAATTCACAACTCCGATTTGTTATGAAACTAAGGACTGTCCACGAAAGAGAGAGGAGACTGAAGCTCCCTTGCAGGTGCTTGAAGAAGAAGCCACTAAGCTCTTCATATCATCGTGATTGTAATCATCGGACATACTTCTCCTCACAAGCATGATGATGTGATTCATTAAACTTCCATCGCAAGGAACCTGTAAAGGACCGTCAATGGTAGTGCCAAACTCATCCTCAGCCATCTCCAACAACACTTGTAAGATCGGATGGTTGAGATAATCCAATGGCAATAAGAATCTCTTCCCTTCTCTCGTGTACACAGCGAAGTGCCCTTTCTTTCTTTTCCTCCATTTCTCCATCAAATCAGAGAGTTTAATTCCTTTTGAATGTATTTTCTTCATATTTGTGTGTGTTACTTCGACTCTGATACTTTCGTTGTGAATATCTCTGTATGTAACCATAATTGCGTAGCTGCTTCTATATATATAAAGAGGGAGATGTTGCTTTTTTAATTTTGTCCACAATTTTGATCACGGCCACTCGTGGAGTTTTGTACTATCCTTCTACAAATATCTAGAGATTTTCATTTTTTCTAACCTTATTTCCGTTAAACTACGACTAAACGTTTTGGTTACTAGCTACTAATACACTTGTTTGGACCCTGTTAACATTTTCTTTTTGAAAGTAAGGAACTTTGACCAAGCAATATCTCCATCTTTGTTAACATTCATTCAATGTCTCATTATTTGGTACTCTGACATAACCAAATTATAGCTAAACCAGAGATTAACAGATCATAACAATACATGTAACACAAGCTGTTATCACGTTTTTCCCCCAAATATTTAAATCACAGTACAATAGTGGTTGCAGCCGAACGCAAAGATTGTGGTGGTGATACAACCATGTGAGCTTTCTCGAGCAAGTTGCTTACTACTTTTTTATTTTATAGTACTCTCTTCTACTTTCATGAGTGTTCTTTTATTTCTTTCATTTTCATGAGTGTTCGTTGTTTTCTCTTTTCTAGTCACATGAAAATCCTGTAAACCATTTTCAAAATAATCGAAATAAGCACACAATTGTATTAAGACTTTGAGAGCAATATAGATAGATTAGCAAAACTTAATCACAAAAAAAATGCTCAAATAAACATAATCTTCGTGATCGTGTGCCAACCAAAAACAATGCAACCTCCATACTATTTTCCCTTCATTTTACCCCAAAACATGTCTGATTTCATAACCACTTTATACAGAAAAAAAAAACAACCTTTTCAACCACTTTTGTTCTGAGCAAGCGTCCCAGAGTCAGGTTTATAACCTCAGGTCAGGTCTATTCTTAGAGCGTTGCGTCCCAGAGTCTGCCTGAGCCTAACTATCATCTTCATTGATGAATATAAGAGTTAGGCTTGGTTGCGTGTGAAGATAAAAGGTTTGAAAATGCTCAGTGGTTTGATCGGTCTTTTACATAGAGAGAGGAAGAAGCATTCTTCGCTTCTTCTTCCTCGCTAGTCTCACTTGCTTTGTGATTTTCATCGAAACAAGGAATAGTAAGCTGACACAAACCAGGATGAATGCGAGTTGCAACCTCCTGAAGTACAATGATACTGCTGAAAACACCAGGAACGCTAAGATCACTAGCTCCCATATGACAAATACTACGACGTCGAATCTGGAATCAAAGCAAAAGAGACAGGAGAGAGCATAAGTACCACAGTAAAAATTGTTCATGTCAAGCTACAACAATGGCAATGGACTCAATTTAAGACTAAGAGATAAGAAAACGAAGTGTATATCGACTTTGTATTCATACCAATAAGGGCCAAAGAATAATCACAAACTTCTACAATCACAAAATGACCAAGTCCATCCATTAACATGCCTAGATATGAATCATTCTCAGTGAAAGTGATGGTACAACGATGACTAATTTCATCGAAATTATAGTTCCTCGCGTAAATTTCACATCGAAATGCTGCCTAGATGCAGTCATATCCAATGTTCTCTGTCAAAGCCTTTTAACGATCGTGTTGGATGATCTATGAGACATTCTCGATTCCAATTGAATTTGAAATTCTACAAAGTCTAAATTTCAATGCGATCAAATCTAAATGCCATGAGACGAACATAGCTCTCTCTCTGCACGCAGATCTCAAATCCTGATTAGAATACTAATTCTCTAACCTGGTAGAGGAGAAATTCGAGGTGGAAGAGAAGAAAGAGACGGAGGCCCAATCATGCTTTGATCTAATCTGATATTCCCTGAGCTGTTCTGCTAGATTCGATCTCGTTATCATCGCTTTCCGAAATCACCACCAAATCCCTTCTTTCTCGACTACTCCGCTCTCTCCCCGATCGACGGAAAGCTCGAGAAGCGCCGGATAAACTGTGGATGCAGGACGAATGTGTGACAAACATGTACCACCGGAAAAATTATCAGCGATAAGGAAATTATTCGTGTTCAAATTCACAGCGACGAAACCATGTTTGATTCGTTGGGATGATCGTTGACGTGGACTCTCTCTATCAACAACGGGGTCGGGTTATAGACCCGATCTCAAACCCACAGGCCCATTTTTATGGATGTTGGGCCTATCAATTACATATGAGGCGTTTTTTTAAATGACGGACGATTAATTAATGATAAGAATGAAATGATTTTTAACAAAAAAAATTAGCAATGCATATTCTCGTGTCCCACACAAATAAAGCGTGTGGTAAAATAACCGTTGAAATATTCCTCATTTGACAACGATAAGGCAAATATCACGTCCACAAAACGCAGACGGGCGGTGTAAAGCAAAAATAGACGTAAGATTAGCAGCGACTGATGCAATTAAGCACTTTCTTTTTGTCGAATTCCTCGTAAATTTATCAATTTTTTAAGTTGAATTGTAAAAATCACCAGATAAGTATGTATTATAACGAGAATGTCGGCTAGTGCAAGTTGTCGGTTCGCTATCACCGATAACAATATATTCAAAGAACAAGTACAAAAAAAGACGACCAAGTTAGAATCGAAAACGATTGGTTTGTCTGATATGTGTGTTGGTACCTCGCGGTTCGTGATACGTCTCGACTAAAATTTGAGACGAGAGACTACGAATGATGTGGCATGTCGTGTTCAATCTTTAAATGGCACACGGTTTATTGTATTTTTTAGGCAAACGTTGAGAGATGGTGCATTTGCGATAACCCATCTGTCCCTTTGAATAATTTAAGTTTCGTTTTTTAATAGGTCGAAAATGACATGCATACACATTAGCATATGTCATTATCCTACAAGTAATCGTATGCTTACTTGTTTGTCCTGATTTCTGAAATATATATACATCTTAGTTATCTTTTCATAAGTTAGAAGCACTTGGATCGTATATAATGTGTTTGTATAAAAATAAAAAAATTGTTTGATTTGATCATTCGTGTCAAAGTTCAGGTCCAATATTTTTTTAATAAAATAGTCTCAATGAATAGTTCGACATGTTAGGTAATAATTCCAAAACGTTCATTAAAAACGCGGTTGTTGTTTTTTTGTTTGTAACGCTTATAAGGGCTGTATTGCCCGATATTTTGCTCCAAAATGAAGAAATCTCAAAATGAGATTGGGTTTTGCTCCAATGTATTGCTTCATTTTTTGCTTCAAAAAGAATATTCCTAAAATATTATTCTTGAAAAACTTTTTATTAATTACTAAATTTACATTGTATATTTATATCTATTACAAATTGCCCCATATATTTTTTTTTCTTCAAAACTTTCACAATTAATTATAATTATTTAAATTAATTATGAAAATATTATTAATACATTATTACAAGACTAAAAATAACAACATAAATACTACTTCTTCTAAAGGAACTCTCACGAACTACTTCTTTTGGACAATATTTTAGTGATATTGGTGGATCCGGAAACTAAACTAAATTAAAAATCAGTAATAAGTTGTTTTAATAAATTTCTTTTTGATGTTATTTCTAATAAAAGTGTTTTTTTTTTAAATTTATTATTAGCTTAAATAATTAAATTTCTTATTAAATATGTGTTATTTGTATTTTAGAGTAAAAATAAAGATCAAAATAATTAATTATATATCTTAAACTGAATTAATTTAAAACTTCAAGGACTGTTATATAAATTAAAAACTTCAACTCCAAAATGGAGATGAAAATGGGATCAATCTCATTTTGGGAAAAAATATGGCATTTTGCCATTTTAAGATTGGAAATGGGGTTGGATTGGAAGCAAAATTGGCTCCAAAATAGTAATAAAGGTGAAATATTGGGTTGGTTTGGAGATGCTGTAAGAAAATACTGAAAAGGAGACGTTACAATTTCATATTTCTTTTCCACCAAGCTTCTTCCAGCGTGGCATCAGTCAATAAGTCAAGTGGACCCACATCACCGACACCCACGTCTTTTATACTTTTATACCAATCAATTACACGTTATTGGGTCCCACGCAAGGACAAGCTTCCACGTTATATTAACACGTGTCAGTGTTTGATTGCTTAACATCACTTTTCTCTCTTTTCCCTTTTTTTTTCTGTCTACATCCCCTCTTCACATTTTCTACCTGTTGTTTTGCCGCTACTCACACCTCCGTCGTCCGATTTATAACGCTTGACACGTGTCTGTCCATCAATGGTGCGTTCAATTGTTTGGTACTACTCTCTCTTTTCTGTAAACCATTTTAAGGAATGTGCTATTTCATTTCCGTCCCTATATTTCCAATTTCAATCAAGAAAACCCGAAACTCCAAGAAATTTCGATTAGAAAACCTGAAAAACTGATATTGAAAATTATGAAACGTAAATGGAGAGTAAAAGCCTAAATTAAACTCTAAACTGTTATGTCCAAACCACTAAGTTCTCAATTTAGTATTTAATCTAGGCATCTCTATCTAGTTTACACCATTCTTATCCATTCTCATTTTTATGGTTTTAGTCATCCATTAAATTAAATAAAAAATACCGAATGGCCTCCGATCACGTAAGCAAACTTTTGATATATGATTAACTAATTAATTTTATCACAATTACAATCTTATCCAATTTTAAAAAAGAAAAGAATGTTTAATTACGTGGAGACGAAGAGAAGAAGCCATTAAGCTAAAGAAAAAAACCAAAGTGGGACCATTTTGCAATTTAGAAATAAAAAAATTATCACAGAGCGTTAAATCCGCGTTGGATTGGGGTCCCACACACAAGTCCTCTCACTATAAAAGGCACTTTCTCTCGTCTCTCTGTTCTCATCGTCTCTTACACAAACAATCTCATTTCGTATTCTCTCATTAACCAAGCAAACTCTTTTTTTCGATAACTATGGCGGAGGAAAACAAGAACGTTCCTGAGCAATCAACGACCCCGGAGGTCACCGATCGTGGATTGTTCGATTTCTTGGGGAAGAAGAAGGACGAAGAAACAAAACCTGAGGGAACAACGCTCGAGTCCGATTTCGAGCATCAGGTTAAGATCTCTGAGCCAGCGCCGGAGGTTAAGCACGAGGAAGAGGAGAAGAAGCCTAGTCTCCTTGAGAAGCTTCACCGTAGCGACAGCTCTTCAAGCTCCGTAAGTTAGATCTGATATGATCAATAAATTCAAAATATATGTGTTAATGTTAGATCGGATCTGTTGATGCTAACTGTAAACCTAATCTTTGGATTTTGACAGTCAAGCGAGGAAGAAGGTTCAGACGGCGAGAAGAGGAAGAAGAAGAAGAAGGAGAAGAAGAAGTCTGAGACCACTACTGGTGAAGGAGAAGTGAAAACAGAGGAGGAGAAGAAAGGGTTTATGGAGAAGCTGAAGGAGAAGCTTCCGGGACACGCTAAGAAGCCGGAGGATGGATCGCCAGCTGTTGCACCACCACCGGTGGTTGTTGCTCCGGTGGAGGAAGCGCATCCGGCGGAGAAGAAGGGTATTTTGGAGAAGATCAAGGAGAAGCTTCCAGGATACCATCCTAAAACCGCAGAGGATGAGAAGAAGGAAAAGACATCTGGTTGATAAATTAAAAAAAAAGTGTGATGATCATTCAAAATTTTAAATAATGATGATGGAAGATTTGCTTTGTTTTTGTGATGAATGATGATGATCATCTTTTGCTTTTGTGATATGGAAGTTTGTTGGCTTTTTCTTTCTTTTGTTCAAAGTTTGTTCTATTTTTTTTCTTTGTTATGATTGTATATGATTTCAAAGAATTTAATGGTATGGATATTTTCATTTGAAATATTTTGGACTTGGAAATGTTTTATATTTTTTCGATTTCGTTAAGACAATGATCTAATGTCCATGATTGTGATCGTAAATTATTGATCTTAGCCCTACACATGACCCCAGCCTGACTATCATTCCTATAGTCCAAGTTCGTATTTATGAAATTAAATGCGTTGGTATTAAAGAAACATGATTAGTCACGATCGAGAATCATGGAATTGAGATATTTTTTTATAGATTAACTTACATATGGTTGGTAATCTGCTGGTTTTTGATAAGAACAAATCAGATCCCATCAAAGTATCACATCCTTGGTTAATGTTCAATAAAAGCTATCAATTTAGGATATGATCGAAAGTGGTCATTATAGTTTTAGAGGAAAAATATCTCATATGTCATGATTTGGCTAGTTAGCTAATTGACTACGAGTAATTTGTGATCTTAAACGCGTTAAGTGCGGACATCAGACCGACCAAACAGAGAGACGGACCGAACCGCTGTTAGCTGTGGCTTTTACCACATTAGTATTGGCATGTTGACTTGTGGACCTTGTTTAGTCTTGTAATTGGGTTTTGGTGAGAGGCAAAGAACACACAAAAATGAGTTTTGATAAGGCGTGAGAATCTATTAGGCCCAATTACTCATCAGGTTAAACTAATAATGTCAAAACGGCGTCGTTATGGGCAGCTGACTCTGAGTTAGGTTGTTTTTTGCCGGTTTGAGCAAAATCACCGCCGACTAGTAAACCCGGAGTTTCTCATTCACCGGTAAAGATGGAGGCAGGCGAAGCCAAGTCCAAGAAAGCAGGAGGCCCTCGTCTCTGCTGCATCTGTAATCTGAGACGACCCGTCCTCAAAAGACCCAAAACCCTTCAACAGGTAAACTTTTCGAATCTCACTGCAAACAAATTCGAAGGAGCTTAATTTTGGAACATCTTGTTTGGCACAGTTTTAGGCCTTTCTCAGATTAGAAATGATAAGTTGGAAACAACATCAATAAAAATTTAGGCTGTTTATGAATTTTGCCAGTGATTAGAGGTTTCAATCCAAGTTATCTACCAAATCTCTGTAAAGACAAAATTTTGTTTCTGTGTTTGAAGATATGTAGAGAGTGCTTTTATGAGGTGTTTGAGGAGGAGATTCACCAAGTCATCGTCAAGAATCATTTATTCAAGTCCGGTGAGCGTGTTGCTATAGGTGCCTCCGGTGGAAAAGGTTATTTCTTTTTGTACTCCAATTTCCTCTGCTTCAAACCTTCTGAATGTTTATATATCTCTTTGTTCAGCTTATTAACTCAAAAGTTTGGTGCTTTTGCAGATTCGACAGTGTTGGCGTATGTGTTATCAGAGCTAAACAAACGTCACAGTTACGGGCTCGATCTTTTCCTCTTGTCCATTGATGAAGGCATTACTGGTTATCGTGATGATTCTCTTGAGACCGTTAAAAGAAACGAAGTCCAAGTAAGCTTTTTGAATCTTTATGTGTAAAATGTGTTTGTTCATGAAGACGATGCCAACATTGCAATTTCTTTCTTTCTTCCGCAGTATGGATTGCCTCTTCAGATTGTATCATACAAAGATCTGTATGGATGGACAATGGACGATATTGTGAAGATGATCGGACTCAAAAACAATTGCACCTTCTGTGGTGTATTTCGTCGTCAGGTTGGGGACCAACTTTCTTCATAACTTCATAACATTCTCTCTTTGATCAAGTTTAATCTTTTTCTGTTTTATGATTTCTTGAAGGCGCTTGATCGAGGAGCTGCGTTACTGAAAGTAGATAAGATAGTCACTGGACATAACGCGGATGATATAGCCGAAACAGTTCTCTTAAACATTCTCCGAGGAGATATCGCAAGGTGGTGAAATATACATTTGTTTCTTCTGCTGATGCTTTCTCAATCATTACATTTGATTGATTTGTGTAACTTGTTGGGTAATTGTAGGTTGAGTCGGTGCACATCGATCACTACAGGGGAAGACGGTCCGATTCCAAGATGTAAACCTTTCAAATATACATACGAGAAAGAGATTGTCATATATCCTTTTTTGCTGTTTAAAACTCTGTAGCAATATTTTTGCTTTTAAACTGTCAAAATAAGATATTGTGAGACCTTAACATAGAAGCTTCACGTATGCTTATTTCAAGAAGCTAGACTACTTCTCCACCGAATGTAAGTCTCTAATGCTTATTTCTCTGTTCTTCAACATCACTTGAATGCATAGTCGGTCCAAGTATATTAGAGTTTATTTCATATATTGTGTATTGCAGGCATATACTCTCCTAATGCGTATCGTGGATTCGCTCGTGAGTTCATCAAAGACTTGGAAAGACTAAGGTTCTTCTTCTTTAACTTCTTGTTTTTGTTTTATATTCATTCAAGAACTAAATAAGCAAGAAGATCTCTAACGTGATGTGATGATATGAATTTGGCAGGCCAAAGGCTATTCTTGATATTATAAAGTCCGGTGAAGATTTCAGAATCGCGACAACGACCAAAATGCCTGAGCAAGGAACGTGTGAGCGATGCGGTTATATTTCAAGCCAGGTGAGACTAAGATTATGCAAACGTGCTTGTGTTTTTTTTCTTGTTCTTGAATGTGTTGGATACGTTATAACGATTTGAGTTCAATGGTGAATGCAGAAATGGTGTAAAGCTTGTGTTTTGTTGGAAGGACTAAACCGTGGTTTGCCTAAGATGGGGATTGGAAGATCACGAGCAGGAGACGTAAATGGTGATCTTCATAACAAGAATGAATCAAAGTCTGGACCTACTGTTAAATCTATAGAGAGCCGCAAACAATGTGGATCTCTCGATTTCTGAAATTAAGAAATGCTGTAACAATGCAGAAACTTGTTCTGTATAGAGAAATTGTTCAAAACTCCATTGTTGTAATACCGGTTGCGTTTTGAATGTTTGAAATCGCGTTTGTTTTGGGATATGTGGTTTTGCGTTTGGTGCGTTTTAAATGTTGAATAAAAACCCAATTCTCTCTTGGTTGATTTTTTTTTAACTAACAACAAGGTGGTTGTCCCGCACCTTGTGCGGGTACAATATTTTTAAAATACATTAATTAATTAAAAGTTTTAATAAGATAAATAGTATAACTTTTTATAATAAATGATTTTCTATAATGAAATTCTTCTATAATAATTTAAGTTTTTAAAATGCACCAAAAACTAAACCCTACACCCATCAATATAAATCCTACATCCTAAACCCAAACCCTACAGTGTAACACCACCCCCTAAACAACCCAAACACCATAGTGTAACACCCTCCGCCCCCGGTCCCCCCTCCCGCCAATCTGTACACCCGAACCCACATTTTAGAAATTGGTTCTATATTTACTTTTATTTTATTTTTAACATAAGTTTTTTTATATCGGTAATTTAGTGTATTCAAATTTTTTTAAATGCATCAACAACTAAATTTTACGCCCATCAGTATAAACCGTACATCATAAACCTCAACCCTATTTTATCTTTTTATTTTAATTTGTCTTTTACTTCATATTTTTTCTTCATTTTCTACTTTTTTTTTCTTATTCTTATCAAACTTTCTATTCTCTTTTAATTTTCTCTTCATCGTCATCTTATTATTTCCTGCTTTTTATCAGTTTTCTTCCTTTTATTTACAATTTGTTTTTCAACTGTCTTTGTGTTCTTATTCTTCGTTTTTTTTATCTTTTGATTTTTTTTCAACTTCTTTATTGTTCACATATTCTTCAAATATTTTCTTCTTTTGTTCTGTTTCTTTTGTTTTTTCCGTCTTTGTCTTCCAACTTTCATCTTTTCCTTGTTTTTATTCAGTCTTTTCTTCTTATTTCATTTTGTACTCTTTATCATTTTGTGTTATCAATCCTTTTCATTTTTGCAACATCTTATTTTATTAGTTTCATCTTTCTTCTTGTATTTCTTCTTACATGAAGAAAGATGAAACTGATAAAATAAAAGAAGAGAGTCGAGGAGACTGTGAATAAATATTGTATTTCTTCTTTGTCATCTTCTTCATCCTCAATTTCATCGTAATTTGGCCACATGTTAGCATCAGGAAATATCTTCTCATTGAATCATTACCTCTTCGTAGTGTTTCTCTTTTCTTTAATTGACTCGACTCTCCAAAAGTAAGAAGAATTCAGAATAAGGTTCTCTCTCCTTTAGTAGACGAAACAGGAACTCAAAAATCGTCTTGTCCTACTAAAGAAAGCTTACTGCGCAAGTAAGAAAAAAAAACAAAAGGTTACATCATATGTTACAGAGATTGATGAAGGATTTTTGATGAGTTTTAGAATATTAACCGATCGGCCATCAATGATTTGTTTCTTCATGATCATTCTCTCTACAACAACATAAGGATCTGCAAAGACAATCAATCCAAAGCCACATGCACATCATGTGGTACGGCCTCTCATGATCTCAAGATTCAACCAAATCTTTGTACCTGCTAATATGCTCCCGAAATCATTCTTCTTTCCAGGCTCCGCCAATTCCATTCCTCCAGCTTCATTGAAGAAACTAAAATTAAAAAAAAAAAAAACAGAAAACGTTATACTCTCATCATTAGAATTAGGGTTTCATGAATATTAAGTTGATATATAAAAGAAAAGATGTTCATACCCTCTATTTTTGGGGAAGAATACTTCTGGCTTGGGACCATATATGAACTTCTATTCCATCAGCTTACAAATAATGAATTTTCTGTTACAAAAGTGAGAGAGGAAGTAGTTAGAAGCGGATCAATAGATGATATTGACAGAAAATAACAAATAATCAGTTCATAAATAGTTTTATTAGAACTAAGATCGAACTAAAACAATTAAGGTACATGTGAAGAAGAATATGAGATCTAAGAACTAAAATTACGTATTGAAAGACAAATTGCAAATCGTAATGAAAATTGTGTTGTTTTTCCAAGATCGTATCTATTTATATAATACAGGTCAGTTAAGAATCTTAGGGTTTACTTATTATTTATCTTCCTAAAATTTATAATATCTTCCAAAAATAAGGGGGGATATGGTAGTTAACATATTTATCTAAAAATATTAAAAGTCAATAATCAAATTCGTTTTTAATAAAAAAGGAAAAATTCGAAGATTTAATTGAAAGATTTTCATTAAGGGCATCTCGGTAATTCCGCGGCTGAGAGTTAACGTGGTGGCTCCATTCACGAAAATTGATTTGCAAATACTAATATCATGGCTTCCGCGCCACGGAGGAGCTCTGTGGGGAAAGATCCGGCGAAGGCGTTGAGTGATTTAGCGTCTGGTTTTGTGGAGAACGTGAAGAGGAACAAGCACAGCTTCTTCCAGTTCTTCGCGATCTCCGGGATGTTGCTTCTGAGCTTCCGATCGATAAGTCAAAAGTATCAAATCCACCAGCTGGAGGAAGAAATGGTTGTTCTTAATGATGAGCGTGACTCTCTGAACGATCGCATGAAGCAGATCAAGAGCAGTCTTCTGCGTCAAGCGACGGTTGATTCCACCGGCGTCTTTGCTTCTCGTCTCCGTCTTCTTTTCAGCGACGATGATCAGTGACTCGTTTCTAAGATGCAGTGAAAGTGCTCGACGAAATGCATCTATGACAATGTGGTTTTTGTTTAAAATCAAAATCAGAATCAAATAAATTGTGGTTTAGGCAGCTGGTTCTCTGGTTTAGTGACTCTCTTGAGCCCGGTTTAGTGATTCTCTAAACCAGCAGTGTTTTTCTCCATTAATGACGCTCAACAACTAGCTAATCAAACTGATTCATTTACAATCAACCTTGTTTTGAGGAGTAATGTAAACTTTGAAAACTGCTTAATTTGTTTGACTTTTCTTCTCAACAAAACGACAAACGAGATACTTTCACTTCTTAATGTCATGAAACTGATACTAGTTTTGTTTCTTTCTTAACGAACTAGATTTGCAAAGTGAAAAAAGATTTGAATGGGAAATGTGCCATAAGGAATGTAGTAGTACTGTACAAATGTATTTACGAAAAAGTTAACTTTTGTTCAGGCTTGGGTTTTAGTGCCACGGCACAAACTGTAAGTACGCACCAAACCTATTATACGATGCCGTTTCGTGTTCTAACCACTGTACTACTATGGAGTCGAATGTTGTCCACACATGATACACCTAATCCATGTTCCTTGTTTCATTTACAGTCACTGTTCTGAGAGATTAACGCGTTTTGGATCTTTTTGTTTTGGTATTATTACCATTTAATTTTCGTTTTGTTTTTTGGTATTATACTATTATTGTGATCTTTTTGAAGTGTTGTCATTTATTTTACAGAGGCCTATCGAGGTCAACTTTATTCCATCACAATTATTAACATGCCATGGGACCCCACGGCTCTCTCAAATTGCTCTGACGCGTCGCTTGCTCACCCAATCATAATTTTCTCGTAGCAAATCTCCATTTAGTGGTTAAATATTCTTTTGTTATTCATTTTACCTTAATTTTTGGAGAGTTAATTTGGTGAAAAGTGTGAGTAGTTATTGGCAATAAATCCGGAATTGTAAACGTTTGTGAGGTTAATCTTTTACTTACTTTTTGATAAGTACACGCCAGGTTTCCCCTTCGATTACTTTTTGGACCTTCCTTCAATTTTCGTTTTCACCATGAGGTTTAGATTCACTCAAAGCCAAAATTTGAGAATAACAACTGAAGAAAAAGCTTCTGTCAAGAAGCACGAAGGCAGTGAAAAATGGAATAACCAACATAAGGCCAAATACATTAATATTGAGCTTCCAAAACAAAATTTTGGTCTTGCAACTAGAAATGGGCCCTTCTTCGTCTTCAACCATCTTTAAAAGAGCATAGAACCAAATTTTTCGATAAAACTATATTATTCCGTATTCGAATAATAGATGCATATAGATTTACTTTTAGATGCCTATTTTATTCTTTTATTTTTGTTATCTTCGTTTCGAAGTTTTATGTTTATTTTTTTTCTGAAGTTTTTAATAGCTGCATATTCTATTGGATAATTTCCATAGATTCCCCTCTGAAACAACTGACAATTGAAGAGAAGTTAATCTATAATCCAGAGTTTATCACGCGATTAATATACATTGTGATAAACTTTAGATAATTAATTAACAATTATATTTTTGTTATTTCTAATCGTAAGCATTATATATATTTAACTTTTTTTATTATATGTGTTTCATATTATTTGTCGTACCTTATTTTTTTGTTTCGTTTTACTTATCGTTTTGTACTTTTAATGTACATGTATAATATGTTTTCCAGTTTTATTCATATTCTTTTAACTTATTAACTAGTTATATTAAACAAAACAGATGAAACAATAAATCTAATAAATCTAATTAGTTTCTTGATATATGTCAAAATGTTCTGAATAACATGTAAAGAAAATAGAGCGATGTATGCATTTTTGGAAGAATAAAATATTATGAATATTCACTTTTGGTGATACACTCTATTACGTTCAAAATATCTAAGTGAATATTTTTTGTTGATACACTTGTAAATACATGTTGTTATCCTAATTTAGTTCAACCAGCTATCATCATCTCTTGTGTATATATATACAGTTGTAATCTTCCGTTTGTGAATATAGCTATCCTTCTGAATCATTTTCCATATCTAACGCACATAAACATATAAAAATGTTTAGTTAATACTGTTTATATCTATATTAATTGTCCATAGATTCCCCTCTAAAATATCAATTAGTATTAATTAATAATTTAATATTGACAATTGAAAAGAAGTTAATTATATCACCATAGTTTATCACAATTAATATATATATAAATAGTTAATTGTGATAAACTTTAAATAATGGATTAACAATTACATTTTTGTTCTTTTCAATCGTAAGTATTTTTTCCATATATATTTTTGAGCGCAGATGGATGCATATTCTTAGAAGAAAAAAATATGAGGAATTTGGATTTTTCTCTGAAATATTACTATTTATATTAAACTTTTTATAATTTAACTGTTTATTAGAGGTGAATATTCATTCTCTCGTGATAGACTCTGTTACGTAAAAATAATATTTTTTGTTGATGTTGTTATCCTAATCTATTCAACCTCATCTCTATGAAATTCACAGCTATCATCTCTTGAATATATATATACAGTTGTTGTTGTAATATTCCGTTTACAAATACAGCGATCATTCTGATCATTTTCCATATCAAAGCACAAAAACATATAAAAATGGACAAGTTGCTTGCTTAGCCATGTGTCGTGGAAGACAAATCCAGATTTCAAAGTAACACAGAGTCGCTTGTGGGTCCAGCCACCGACACTGACCTTTGTTTCCTTTCTCTCTTATTCGTTTCCTCTCTCTTTCACTCTTTGCTGTAAACTCTTTTAAATACGTGCCGTCTCTTCTCTAAACAACTCTAGACTCAAATCTGTGTCTACAGAGAGAGAGAGATCAAAGCCAAAATACCTTTCTTCATTCACCCGTTTTCACCAAAAATGGCGGCAAATGCCTCATTCGCCGCCGCGTTCATCATCGGACTATCGCTTCTCTTCGCCGTCACGGCGGAGGATCCGTACAGATTCTTCGAATGGAACGTCACTTACGGTGATATCTACCCACTCGGCGTTCGCCAACAGGTACTAATAACTATTTTACTAATTAAACCAACATCGATCTCGTTGAGGACCTTGAGGTAGAAGTTAAAATTTCCGTTTGCGGTTTTAGATCCGTTTTTTTTTTAATCATCGGATCTCGCATTTTCCGGTTAGGGTATTCTGATCAACGGTGCGTTCCCGGGACCGGACATTCACTCCGTTACCAATGACAATCTCATCATCAACGTCTTCAATAACCTCGACGAACCTTTCCTCCTTTCATGGTAAATACTTTTGTTAATCTTCTTCGAAATATAAATCACTTGCAAATCTGTAATCAATATATTGAATTCTGTCATTGTCGTCGATTGATAATAGTTGCTAGGGAGTAGTTATTTTTTTTTTTGTGAATAGTAGTATTTTAATCTTTTAAAAGTGACGTAAAAATAAAAAACGTGCGTCAAAAAAATCGGTGAGGTACGTAAGGATTTTGTTTTGGCCACACCTTATGTCGACTCGGTCCACGAAATAATTGTTTACACACATTAATTAACAATTTTTTTGTATGCATGGTCATTGACAAACAGTGTGACTACATATTTTTAAACATTTACATGTGTGCGTAATGGTCCACCTTCAACCTAATTATTAGCTGTATCATCCTCTTCCATTTGTATTTTCCGCGGTTAAACTATCTCCAGGGACGAGATTGACAAATCATAATACTTTTCGGGGTAAATCGTAATAATCATAAAATTACGTGACCAAAAATGCAGGAACGGTGTTCAACAGAGGAGGAACTCGTTCGTCGATGGAGTCTACGGAACGACATGCCCAATCCCGCCGGGGAAGAATTACACTTACATTCTTCAGATGAAGGATCAGATCGGAAGTTTCTACTACTTCCCCTCACTCGCTTTCCACAAAGCCGCCGGTGGATTCGGTGGCATCCGCATTCTCAGCCGCCCTAGGATCCCCGTCCCCTTCGCAGATCCCGCCGGCGATTACACCGTCCTCATCGGCGATTGGTACAAATCCAATCACACCGTAAGTAACGATTGATTAATTGCTTAAGAACGCTTGATTGTGCTTCAAATTCGACCAATTTTGACAGATTTTGTTCGATTTCTGTAGGATTTGAAAGCGCAGCTCGATAGCGGAAGGAAGCTTCCTTTACCAGATGGTATCCTCATCAATGGCCGTGGAAGTGGTGCCACTATCAATGTCGAGCAAGGTTTTTGCTCTTCTCCGATTAAGTCAATTACTCTCAGAGTTTACTGATTTAGCTTATGATTTGAGCTCTCTTCTTCCTCAGGGAAGACGTACAGGCTGAGAATATCGAACGTAGGGTTACAAGACTCTCTCAACTTCCGGATCCAAAACCATAAGATGAAAGTTGTTGAAGTCGAAGGCACACACACTCTCCAGACGACTTTCTCTTCGCTCGACGTTCACGTTGGCCAGTCCTACTCGGTGCTCGTGACTGCGGACCAGCCTCCTCAGGACTATTACATGGTGGCCTCTTCTCGGTTTACCTCTAACGTCCTCACCACCACCGGTGTTTTCCGTTACAGTAATTCAGCTGGTGGCGTCTCTGGACCTATCCCCGGTGGACCAACGATACAGATCGACTGGTCATTGAACCAGGCTCGTGCCATTAGGTATTGGCTCAGTGATGATGATTTTGCTGGTTATGCTTGAGGAGAAATCTGATTCTTGTTTTTGTTGTAGGACTAACCTTACCGCGAGTGGACCAAGGCCGAATCCACAAGGATCGTACCATTACGGTATGATCAACACCACGAGAACGATCAGGTTATCTAGCTCGGCTGGTCAGGTGAACGGGAAGCAGAGATACGCTGTGAACAGTGTGTCGTTTAACCCAGCGGACACTCCTCTGAAGCTCGCCGATTACTTTAAGATCGACGGTGTTTACAGAGTTGGAAGCTTGCAGAGCCAACCTACAGGTGGAGGAATATACCTCGACACGTCTGTTTTGCAAGTTGATTACAGAACTTTTATCGAGATTGTTTTCGAAAACTCTGAGAATATTGTCCAGAGTTGGCATCTGGATGGTTACTCTTTCTGGGTCGTTGGGTAAGTCCTTGAATTCTCAAAACACACACACAGAGTAAGCAAATAGTAACATTTTGGATATTTTCTTGATATTCTGATACAGAATGGACGGTGGGCAATGGACTCCTGAGAGTAGGAACGAGTACAATCTACGTGATGCAGTCGCACGCTGCACTGTTCAGGTAAACCATAAAGCAAAAGCTATAACCGAACCTTGTTTTTTTTAACAAATGTGAACCGTTGGATTAATGTTTCTACAGGTGTATCCGAGTTCATGGACGGCTATTTACATAGCCCTAGACAATGTTGGGATGTGGAATCTGAGGTCGGAGTTTTGGGCAAGGCAATATTTAGGACAGCAGTTTTATTTACGTGTCTACACGACATCGACTTCTCTAAGAGATGAGTATCCAATTCCCAAGAACGCTCTTACATGTGGTAGAGCCAGCGGTCGACGCACTAGACCGCTTTGAAACGGCGGTTAGATACAGAGAAAGATGAGAGAATGGTCAGCCAAACCAGCTGACGCATTCTTGACGGGACTAGGTGGTGTTTTTCTATTTTTATTCATTCTTCAATTTGCTTTTTCAAATGAATTTAAAGAGTTATGGTACAATCAGTTTATCAGTTTGTAATGATCTCAGCTCGAGGTCACATTCTTATATTCTTTGTTTTTTCAATATTCGATATAAGTATTTAGTTTCTTAGCAAACCTTATTCACACAAGTGTTGCAGTTCGCTTGGTATGGATCTTTACTTGACAATTCAAAAGCACAACTTTAAGAGTTCACTGCATTGTATTTTATCAAATGTACATGTTAAGCTACTGAATTAAGTTCTTTTAATCAAAACTGGCCAGCTTCAATCAGTAATTACTTACTACAGACGGTAACTGAACAACAATAACCGAAAAAAACTAAGCGCAAAAAAGGGGCGTTCCGAGAATCGAACTCGGGACCTCTCGCACCCAAAGCGAGAATCATACCACTAGACCAAACGCCCATATATGTACTCTGCTAGTATAATATTTAGGAACGTTCGTGATAATATCGAACACGACAAAATCCAATCTTTTTCTTCTCCTTTCCTTTTGAGTTAATCCGAGATTGGGAAGTGTGCAATAATGCTATACTGGGTTTGACAAACAAAGAAAAATATAATCCTGTATTTGGGTATTACTGGATTTGAATTTTCAGTGATTGAATAAAAGCGACACCGTTTGATGTATTTATAGCTCATCTTATCATACACTGAACAACGGAAGAGGGAAAAAAAATCAGCAGGAAAGGAAGCTGAGCTTTGAATCCTGATCTCGGAGATGGCGACTAGCGATTCTGAATTCAATCCTGATCTACTTCTCGCTCACAAGCTCCCCGAGGTTTGTTTTTCTGTTTTGCGTTCTTATTTTTTCCGATCGGATCTTCCGTAATCGAAACGGAAACTTGTCTGTAATCTGATCGCGGTTTTTCTGGTTTTGCTTGCAGTCGCGTTACACCTACAACGAAAGGTTTGCTTCTTCTTCTCTCTTCGTCTCTCTCTCTATTCTCGTGTCTGTGTGTAAATGGATGTTCGTTTTCCTCTCCGGGATTGGGGATGGATAATGGAAAAAAAACAATAGAAAATCGACGGAGATTAGAGAAAATTGAATCTGATTTTACTTGTGTAATTAGAGATGCAGCGATCTATGCCTTGGGAATCGGCGCTTGTGGCAAAGATGCTGTTGATTCCGATGAGCTGAAGTATGTGTATCACCAAAATGGTCAGGAATCTATTCAGGTACCTTAATGATTGATCTTGATTTTGGTTGTCATGTCTCTATACTTTTTGTTGAGTAAATCAATGTAATTTGCCTTTAAAATTATAGGTCCTACCAACTTTTGCTTCACTATTGTCGCTTGGATCTTTGACAGAAGGACTGGATTTGCCAGGTTTTACGTAAGCACTAATATTCTCTCTTATAGTTTTTGAGTACATGGAAGATGTGAGAAAGAATGAATGTTGTTTGTATGTTGTCTGCAGATATGATCCAAGTCTCTTGTTGCATGGACAGCAGTACATAGAAATATACAAGCCATTGCCTTCCAAGGCTTCTGTAAGTATATTATCACATACATGTCTAGTAGAAATAAGTTATGTGGTAAATTAGAGATTTTTAACTTTCTGGTTGGCTTTTAATTCTCTATGCTATATTTTTCTGAATGGATGTTGTTTGTGTTGACGCAGTTAATTAACAAAGTAAGCCTAGCTGGATTGCAGGATAAAGGTACTTGTCACTACTGTTTTGTGTTGTGTGGAACCTTTTACTATCCTAACTTGAGAGTGAAACAATTTGATCTTTGTTGTGTTATGCACTCAGCATTGACAACGGTAGATTTAAGGCATTTTGAGGTTGATCTTTGTATTCTCTCTTTTGGTGATCATTAAGGTAAAGCAGCTATACTTGAAATAGAAACCAAAAGTTACGAGGAAGGTTCAGGGGAACTGTTGTGCATAAATAGGTACAAATGTCTCTGGCAGTACTTAATCTGAGAGTTTTAGCTTTGAAACTAGTGAACTAAGTTTGGGAGTTTCTCTGCAGGACGACTGCATTTTTACGAGGAGCTGGTGGTTTCTCAAATTCACCTCAACCATTTTCTTACAAAAACTATCCAAGTAACCAGGGCTTACCTGTGAAAATCCCCCAAACACAACCTTCGACAGTGTGCGAAGAGCAAACCCAACCATCACAGGCATGTCAATGATTTAAAAACTTGTTTAGAATTTTGTCAATTATTGCTAATATTTGGGAAAACTAATTGTAATTTTCATTTTTTCTGAAGTTGTTTCTGTTCCCTTTAATGGTAAGTGCTTTACATTGTCTGACCATCTGGTTTATATTCTCTGGCAGGCATTGCTTTATAGGCTCTCTGGTGACTATAATCCTCTGCATTCAGATCCAGAATTTGCAAAACATGCCGGGTTAGTGAACCACTCATATAGCTGCTCATTCAGATTAGTGTGTCAATCTAGATCATACTTTCAGATAGAACCATAAACGACTTTGGCTATGTTATCCTGCAAAAATGTATCTCAAGTTACATCATACTCTGAGCTATTGATACTGCCACGACTGATACTGTACTTGTTTTATCAACTTGCGTTAAAGGTTCCCACGTCCGATACTGCATGGACTTTGCACACTCGGGTTTGCAATTAAGGCAATCATCAAGTGTGTTTGCAAAGGTGACCCAACTGCTGTCAAAGCCATATCTGGACGGTTCCTCACGACTGTTTTTCCTGGAGAAACTCTAATAACCGAAATGTGGCTTCAAGGCTTGAGGTATTGTTTCCTCTGTCTCTCTCTCTTCCCTTGTATTGTTCACTGGCAATACTTTACACAGAATATCCCTTAGGCACTGTTATAAGCAAAACCTGAACTTGGCTTTTCATGTATTCACTCACAGGGTTATATATCAGACGAAAGTGAAGGAAAGGAACAAAGCCGTGTTATCTGGTTACGTTGATATTCGCGGTTTATCTTCGTCACTTTAAAAAGTTTTATGGCTCTATATTGTCCATATAAGGTTTGTCATAATATTGCAAAAAGGAACAAACATTACATTTCTCGAGACTCGTGATGTTTGCTTGTCGTAAACAGCCCATAAATAAATACGTTCGACTGACCTTGATGTTTGTATCGAATAATGTGTTGTGGTAAGTTTGTTAAAACGCAAGACGCAAATGTGTTTATGATGAAGCAAAATGCAGTGTACCATAGGCTTTCAGTTAGACCAACACTAGAGAGAGACTAAAAAATCAATAGACTGCAAAGACCCTAATTTTGGGTGTCAATGTCGATGAACTGAATCATAAAAGCGTGAAGTTACAGCTGAAAAATGTGCGAGAACTGCTCATATGGTTACTCACAATTAAGTCCTTCTGTGGACAGAAGAAATAGAGAAAAGATCTGTGGTGTCCTTTTAGTCGGTCCATGAAGCATTCACCACTTTTGCCATGAACGAATACCGATCAGCAGCTTCATCAATCTGTTGAACAATATCAAAATCAGTCAGCAATGGAAAAATGTAAGCAACGAGAATTTTGTTCATTACCATCTTTTGAGTTGGGCGACCAGCTCCGTGGCCAGCCTTAACTTCTATACGACCAATTATTGGGTTTGTCTGTGGACTATTCTCCAAACTTGTGCACAGCACGTGCTGCATCGTCTGCACATGTATACGAGTTTCACAATAAGCATTGCGAGCTCCTTGAGAGAGTATACAAATATATAAATAAAAAGTGGAAACGGACCGCAAGCAACTTCAAAGAGTGAAGTGGCACAACTCTGTCATCGTGATCAGCTGTCAGTAACATGGTTGATGGGTACTGCACGAAATTATCGGTTTGTTTCTCCCATGGCCTCTTCACATTGTGCAGAGGCGAGTACCTTTTTCACATTTCACACCCAAATTGTAACTTTGTATCAAGCATTGGGGAACAAATCAAACACATCACGTTATCATATATGTTAATAAGACTTACTTTATCAGCCAGTGAAACTCTTCTTCATTCTCGGAGCAACCATACTCAGAAGTCCAGGCATGACCTATTGTGAACTTGTGAAACCGTAGCATGTCCATGACTCCCACATGAGCCAAAGCACACCCATAAAGCTCTGGTCTCTGCACAGAATCAAAAATCTCCATGTCTTCAAGTGTGCCCAAATGAAAACGAGTATTTTAAATTATTAGCTTTATTACTTGCCTGATTTATGCAAGCACCGATCAGGAGTCCACCATTACTGCCACCTTCAATACACAGCTTGCTCGGCTGTGTATAACCAGCAGAGACGAGATACTCTGCACCAGAAATGAAGTCATCGAAGCAGCTCTGTTTCTTAGCAAGCGCACCAGCCTTGTGCCATTCCTCACCGTACTCTCCACCACCACGAATGTTTGCAAAGCAGAAAACAACACCGAGATGTTTGCTAAGCACAATCCGGCTGGCACTGAAAGACGGCGTTATGCTTATGTTAAACCCACCATATGCATAGAGAAGACAAGGGTGTGATCCATCTAGCTTGATATCCTTTTTCGCCACAATGAACATTGGTATTTTTGTTCCGTCCTTGCTCGGATAGAACACCTATAAAGAGGAGCAAAAGCAACTTTAACATACGCAAGAAGCAAAAATAGGAAGAGTGTGTGTTGTTACCTGAGTGGCTTGAAATGCTTCCCTATCAAAGCCAGGTACAGTGACCTCCCGGAACACCTTAACTTCTGGAGTTGCATTGGCTAAGTCACACTTGTAAATCACACCAGGAGTGAGGAAGCTAGTAAAGCCAAAGAAAAAGGTGTTGTCCTTGCGCCGAGCAGAGACATCAGATACTGAACCAATATCAACAGGTAACTGGTGAAGCAAGGAGCCAGTTTTCAAGTCCCTGATTTGCAGAATGTGCTTTACATCGCTCATGTAGCATGCGACCAGTTGATTCTCATTGACTGCACAAGCTGATGCTAAGACATCCTTGTCGTGTTCTTCAACAACATCAGTCCAACTGTCTGGCTTCTTTAGATCAACCCGGACCAATTTGTATTTAGGGGCGTCTTTGTTTGTCAAGAAAGTAAACAGAGTCTCGTCATTTGCGATGACACTGTATTGCGCATCAAATGTGTCCACAAGCTTAACGAATGGAAGAAAACTGTTGCTTCCTCTGAAACTCTCAAGACCTCCTGAAAGTGAAGATAGGTCGCAGTAGTATAATTTGTTGACAGGGTCACAACCCTCTCCAATGCTCATGACTAGGAACTGCATGAATAAACAACATTACGAGGCTTAAATCGGAACCCATATAAAGAATTGAAATTCCAGATGAGGAACCATGGCACCACAAAATTAACTAACACAGTTCTAAGTCATGACCATCATTTATAGAAAGGAAAAAGATCAAAATGGTTTTCTCACAGTAATAGCAGGAACAAAACAAAGTGAGGTAAAGAGCTTAATCCAAACTAAAAAAGAACTGGTTGTGTTACCTTCCCATCATCAGTGACTTCAGCTCCAAACATATACTTGGGATTCTCATGATCTCTCCAACATAAGATATCCTGAGATTGATCTGTCCCAAGGAAATGGTAATACAGCTCATGGTACAGATTAGAGTTAGTCTCAGTACCAGCATCGATATCCTCTCCCTCCCTACAGAAGAACCCATCATCAAAATGAAAGAGAATCCAAGCTTGCAAACATTCTGAGCTGAATAGAAAGGCTTCTTCCAACAAATCTGGTACGCCTACAATTCTAAATAATAAGTAATGTCTACGACTTACTTGGGAGCTGGGTATCGTCCATAGAAAAATCCTTTACTGTCATGCGTCCATGTAATCCCGGTAAACTTAACCTATTCCAAGAAGAGGATCAACATCAATATATCACAATTCTTATTGGTAGAACTTTATTGATCAACCTCACTAAGCAGTACATGCATAAAGACCATACCCATGATAAAGTATCAGGCTCCACTTTCTTATCCTCAATCTTCATCACCTTAATCGTCACCCAGTCACTACCACTTGAACTAAGACCATACGCCAAATACTTAGCACCCTCACAGACATCAAAGGTGTTTAACGACACTGTTCCATCATCACTAAGAGAGTTCGGATCAAGCAAGACCTCCGGCTCAGCATCCAGATCATCCTGCACCCAAATAACAATTAAAGTCAATGAGTAAAACAATGCTAGAGCAGAGTTAAAGATGCTAATACACTGTTGATACGAAATCCAGTTCTCTCAATAAGCACCTGCATGTACATCACACTTTGAGCCTGTAGGCCAGTGTTGTGGAAGTAAAAGTACTTATTCGCTCGCCTGAGCAGTGAATCGTAACGCGGATGATCAATAAGCTTTGTTATATTCTGACGGAGCTTCTCCTTCGCTTCGCACTTCTCCAGCACAGAATCTGTCAATTTCACTTGGTTCTGCACAAATTCCTTCACTTCTTCAGCATCTGGATCCTCCAACCTATCAAATCCAATCCAGATTGACTAATTCAACGAGAAACTTCAATAAGAAACTAATAAATCAAACAAATCAGGAGTTTCTCTTAAAGTCAATCTCCAAGTCAAATCCATATAGAATATTCAAAATCCACTATAAGATCCCGATTCCATTTTTCTTCATCCGTCGAGAGCCATCACAAAACCAAAAAAAAAAATGAGAGAGATCGCAGCTGGAAATGAACACTTACCAACGGTACGGATCTCCGATTTTGACGCCATGATAATCCTCGACGACGGAATCGTCACGCCGTGCGGCGGGATACTGTAATTGCTCGCCTAACGCCGAAGAAGATCCCATGATCGCAGAGCTCGGACGGGAAGAAGAAGAAGACGAATAACAACGACGAGAAACAGACTTTTGTTGATTGGAGAAGCTTTCGCTGAGGAGAAGAGAAGATTGGCGACGTAAGGTATTTAAACGGAGGCGGCACGTGCGGTGGAAACGGATTGTTGGGACGGTAACAAACGCGAAAATGTGAGAACGCGCGTGACCTGCAAACGCTGTGACTGTGAGCATCGGTCTTTCTTCTTCACCTTCTTCGGAAGGGACGCGAGTTTCGCGTTTCTGTCAATATTTTATGGATATGGTACCAAAATGCAAAATCTAATAAAAAATTACAAATGCTAATGTGGTTTTAAACTCTGTGATTTTGGGTTGGAAAGTAATTTTTCTGTAATGTTTTACTGTTTTAGAGAAGCTCAAATTCCGTGAAGAACCCAGACAAAATAATTCCTGTGGGACTACGGTTTATTACATGTTTGTGAAAATGATGCATACTATATTTAAAGCCTTTGGGCCCAATCTTATAAGTAATAGAATTTGAAGCCTACATCATACAGATAAATGCTCATATGAACTTTGCACGAGTCAAAGTTTTCCTAAATTGTACCACCGTTTATGAGGAAACTTGGAGGACCAAAAATTTATTATTTTTTCTCTTTCTAAAACGTAGGCATTAGACTATTTTTGCAGAAGATAATCATACGCTACACTAGAGACTCCAGTATAGTAATTAATGGAGTTATTGACTTATTGTTGAATTGACCGAAGAGAAAAAAAGAAATCAAAACAGATAAAGCAACTTTAATTTCACCTACACAACAGGAATGGTAAAAAGTACAAACTTAAAACGGAGTAGGTAAAATAAAAAGAACGGTTCACGGCGTAGTAGAAAGTTGGAGATTGCATTGAAAGGATAATTTAAAATGGTACTGACACACTCACTTCCAATGATGAGGTTACTAGGGAAACGTTAATTGAGTTGAATTGTAATTTATTTTTATTATCTTCAAAGTTGGGCAAATGTATAATAATCTGTACCCTTATTATAATCCGTAGAACCGTAAGGACATCAAAGACATCGTCGAGCATTGTACGTATCTACTTATATATGAAAATCTTTTAACAAAAAATTAGAAAATTATAGGTCACAGAAGGCTCACTCATGTTAGTCATATCATCACCATTACATCCAAATACTCGACGTTAAA